TGACGACGACTTGCTTGTCTTCCATTCATGCAGAAGAGCAGAAAACTTATCACTCTCTGCAGAGATTCCTACATGAAATCAGACTCCCCTCTCTGACTATCTGACTATATGGCTCTAATTAATAAGTTCGTTATGAAATCAATTCTTCAAGAAGTTTTGCTTCGTTCATTTAAATCCGACTCGTGCTGAATTGGCGGAAACTTTATTTGCTCTTATTCACAATTAATTTTGCAAAATATGATTTATTTAGTTCTCTCCTACGTAGTTAGGTTAGATCCTATTTTGGCACTTGAAGCCTTTAAATTCTGTCATCCAATTTTCAGTTCATCATGACAGCCACTTACATCCTAATTATTATTTCGGATCAACGGCATGCGAGAAACATGCACTACAAAATCTGTAGAACCCAACCTCCTCCACTTCGTTGTCGGAAAGTTTTCGAGAGTTTGGGGTAGTGAATTTGGAAATCCAATTTGAGATTGCTTTGGGCTAATACCACAGCCAAAATAAGCATTTACGACTTTCTTTCTAGCATTATGTATGTATGATGCCGATGCCGAAACTCTGCATGGATAGGAAAAATGTGTACTCACAAAGACTTTCACCCATATGTTGGTCATTCCCAAACTAACCAACCAACCAACAAACGAGAGAAGATGCAACTCCTCTCGAGTCTTTGGTCTTTCAACGACCCACATTTGTGAATTTCTGTGAGTAAGAAATTCAACTGAAGATTTTTAAGCGTCAGTATTGCGGTCCCATTTATTCCGACATGTGCTAAGCACAAACACACTCCGGCCTGTGATGAATAGACTCTAAAGTTATCCTCCACGGCGATTGTGGTAGTCTTGCGGATGGGAACAATTTGGCTTCCGGTCGATGTGTTGAGTACTTATCACGAGACGACTCCCATCAGCAATTTCGATGGTGGACGAGAGGGAAAGGAAGAATGGATGTGGTTTTATAAGATAGAATCTTAACGGCCAACCCCAACGGGGCCAATGGGATAAATTCACCAAATGCCTAATAAATTCACATTTGTATTCATTTCATTGAGACGTGAATGGACAAGGATCACCATTTCTGTCTTATGGTAGTATATTAGGCAATCTTCAAAAAAGTTTTAATATCCACTGGGCGGAAGATTGTGTTTATGTCGCTCCAAATCTCTCTGTTATTTGTAAAACCTTCTGCCCCAGAGTGATCATTACGAATGCATTTGATGTTCAATACCCAAACAGTAATATGAGGCGTTTATTTAAATGGGTTTATTTATCTAAGATTATTATTTAAGTACTCGTAAGTGAACTGAAGAATATTTCAACTATGATTATTCGAAGTAATTCACCATGTCAGAATTTGTAACAAGTCATCCATGAGGTGAGGAATCACACATGCAAATGCCATATGTACTATGTGCTCCACGCTGAACAATTTCCATCCTGCCGACGATAACCTTCTCTCCTTCATGTTTCAAAAGTGATTTCATGTTCGTCTGTCGGTAGGTACATAGTTATGCCATGTAAGATTCTAAATTGTCATAGCTTGATGGGTGTACAGAGATTGCTGGAAACAAAGCCTTGGCATTATGCAAAAAGCATTCTTATTCGTAGATATTCAAATATTTGATGACGCTGCCAATCTCACGTGAAATTAAAGTGGAAAGTCAAAGGAATCTGCTATGAGTGGCATGTCAACCTCGAAGACCTTTGATTATTCCACGTCCTTTTGTGACTTGTGCCAAGTCGTAGAAACACGTTTCATCGTTTGGAGACGTCACATCTCATCGCGTCAATGTGAATTCTGCGTAGAAGAAAAACTTGGATTTCTTGTCAAAGTCACCTATTTGATAAGGTTGCAAGGAAATGTGCTTTTAACAATTCTTTCAATTAGGATGCTCAAAATGTTGCTTCACATACTTTCATCTTCGTCTAGCGTTCAATTTAGTGGAGCGTAGACGACAGTATTGTCCATGTTGAAATCACTCATGTTGCAAGATATCAAATCTGATGTACATCATGTAAACGACAAACAATCCTATGTGAAATCAAGGGGAGAAAGAGAAATTAATTTTCCCCTGCAAACTCCTGCCTCCTCTTTGACTACGTAGTGATAAACGTGATGAACGTTGATGAATTATTCATCAGGGATTCAACAAATGTGAATCAACTTAATCATTTAATACATCACAAAAATTTCTCAATTAAGTTCAATTATTCGCATTGTATTCTGATTGTGGAACAGAAATAGAAGAGTGTATCTGCATTCCTCATTCTAAAGGAAAAATGTTGAGACGAGGCTAAATTTACATTGTCACGTTAAATAACGAAATGCAAATTGTAAAAGTTAATTCTAAAATTGAATTACAAGTCCGGCCAAGTTTTCTATCGTTGCATTTGCGAACGAGAAATTTTCATTCCGCGATCCTCGCCTTGATAAATACCATCACACTTCATCACAAAAAGAAAACTGTTGGTTGATAATGTCAACTTTCTCGGGCTCTCTGTCACCATTCAGACAGACACAATATACGTGCATATACCTATGTGTCACAAATATATGCGGAAATGTAATGTAGTACTGCATGTCCTATAATCAAAGAAATGTTCCATTTGATAACTTCTTGCCAATGGGCAAGTCTAACATATGACATAACTTAAAATTAAAACTAACCATTTTTTTCAAAATCCATTAATTTCAATCAAGTTAATGTAGTCAGTTAATTTTAGTTTTAATTTTGCGTAATACATTACATCACAAGTCAGATTTGCTGTCTAATAATATTATGAGAAATATTAGCCATTCAATCTCAATAAGTCAGTTTCCTGTGAAATCTAATAATTTACTATTGACTGGTTTTGAGGTTTAATTGGCCAAACCTGCTTTGAAATGTTGAATTGAAACTGCATTATATACCACGGTTATATTTATACACTCTTATTAGTGTTCCACATATACCTAAATTCGTCTAGTTGCAAAAATTATAAGGTCATAGAATTGATCGATATATAAGTTTATTAACTTGCGAGATATTAATCGGCTCCAGCCAAATTAGCGAAAGTGAACGGTTACACTGGTTGGAAACTTTGGTATCACTACATATAATCGGATTAATGTGTATAACTCTACTTCATAGTTAGCATTATGCTCATGCTGCATGTTGATATTATTAATGATTCATACACATGTTTGGTGGTTCAGCTCTTCCTCAGGATCTGACATTTATTACGCAGTTCGAATAGTCTCAAATCAAGAACTAACTCATGGAAGATAGATCTCCATGTTTTAGTGGAATGTGGAATTCGCTGGTCGGAGGATGCTGTTGAATTGTTGAGCTATTTCTTTTGAAGAGAATCAAAACAAGAGGCAACAGGGGCAGGCATTGCGTACACACGTATTTGCAACTGTAGAGGAGTGGATGAAATATGGGGTAGGACATAAAATGATGCCCAAGAGAAATGAACTGTTCATGTTCGCTCAACGGAAATTCAACGTGGATTCAGTTGTTGCAACCCTAGTTCATTTCTCATTTGCTACACTTTCATGTTATCTGATTTTTCTCCTGCCATCCCCACTTTCACAGACAGACTTTCACTTGGCATGTTGCTCTGAATGGAAACAAGGTAATAACAGCTAGTAAAAACATTCAAATAAATTCCAAACTCTCGACAAACCTAATGGACTCGTATTCAGGCTGCATAACAGACATACTTTTCCAAACCGTTGCATTCATCCTGATCCCAAGTGCTCCGTAACATATGCACGAACAGTATTGGCATCAGCAGAATATGAATAGGTTTGACTCTAACCTTGTCTTCGAAATAAGTAATATCCATACTCTGCTTTCAAATTATTTTTCATTTATAGTTTCCAGAATTAATATCAAACTTTATTAAAAAATTGTTGTGATCATGCTTTCGTATCAGTATGAAAAAATGAAAATTGATTTTCTACAATAGTTGAACAAAATATTTATTTTATTGCCAAAATTCTCCACAATGTCGAAATGCTGAGCTGAAAACTGAAGCCAAGTTTTCTAATTAAGGTTTTACAATAGTTGTAACTTGAGAAAGAGCATCGATATGCATATACATAAGTAGATACGTATAACTTCCTATCAACCTTCCCTTATGGCGAGTGAGGATATTTCGAGGTAACCGATCCCCGGATTGATAATCAGACGGATCATTATGCGAATGGTAATTGTCGTTGCCAACGGCTTTGTCTCTTCAATCCCTGGAATAACTACTTACTTTCATCTCTCTTTTGTTGGTTTATGGGATCAACTTATCTTTCACTTTTTGCAGACCGGAACCTTATATTCCTCCGCGTACGGTACCCTGTGTACTGTGGGCAAACATAATCTTCACTAATTCTCATTATGCTCTTTGCCTCTTTTGAGAAACCCTTTTGATTTGATTTCATTACAGCGAAATCCTTTGATGTCAGCAGTGCAAATAATTTGTATAGTAATTAGTGCAGGGTTTGTTATTGGAAAATGTTGTTATATTTATTTTTAGATCGTGAGCCGGAAATACGCGATCGTGCATGGTACGATCATCAAAGCTAAATACAAATTAGTGCATGCACTGTGTGGGCAATAATGAGATATTATCTCGTCCTCTGTCCCTCTCTTGCGGCTGAGAAAGCTCGCAACTTTTTTTCCCATTGCAACACAAAAATCACATTTGCGGTGACATTGATCGATTGGGGATTTGTCAAATGCGTGGGATGCAGTTCGTACGTGTATGTCTCATCTTTACCTCACTGTCAGATCTAATGGATCACAAAAGAAAACAATTTGATTGACAATGCTCAAATATATTGTGATCTTGCATCGTAACCGTGCCGGTTACAGCGTAAAAACTACGTATGCTATGTCTTCTAGCTTACTAACGGATAATACACATGTACATGTGGTCTACTTATGTATTGCTGTCTGGAAATGAAAGTTCATTCAACTTCATCAGTCTAATTTTGTAAATATTTTTATATTATAGGAGGAAAGGACATCAAGGAGGACTGGCAAATAACGTGAGGACGAGAGTCAATTTTGGAAATTGGGTAAAGAGTTTTGTCCAACTTCTCTGGGTTAGCAAGCAGCAAGTATTACTTGTAATAGCGAAAAGCTCCTCCTGTCGTCCCTATCGGCTGCAAATAGTCGTTTGAGATATAGCTGTTTGGAGGCAAAACTTGACAAAAGTTGTGAACTTGGTTCAAAGCACAGAGTCCATCCACGAACGAACAATGGTGGATAAAACTACAAACGGGAACACTTTCAAGGTGGAATAAATGAAGCCATGTGCAACGGTGTGTGAAATTCAGAACAAGTTTATCCCGACCCGACGGGACAAGACCAATACACTTCCTCTAAACCACAACTGCTAACAACCTCAAGACGTCAAAAGTTGCTCCCACCACTCGTCGTCCTAGAAGGAGAATTGCCTAAAGAACTTTCTTCGTCCCCAGTTCTGCTTGTGTACAGCGTGCATGTCTTGCTCCGTCTACTTTTAACTCTTGTATAAGTGTGAACGACGACGACTACAACGACCACCCACCCAAACCAAATTGTCATACATATTGCTACCTTATAGCATTTTGTCTCTCTTCCACCAGTTCAACTAATACGAGTTCGTGGTGAGCGTTGACTACTTTTGAGGATAAAGTGAGCTAGGAAGTGACGACGCCGGAGTTTTTCGACTTTTCTCCTCAATTTAAATACGTATTTCAAGACTATAACGGTACTATTCTCTCTGCGACGTGTTTTCCTTAACTTTCACCCATCATTGTTTACCCAAATGGTATTGCAAAGGCGTTGCAGTTGGATTTCGTAAAGTTTCACATCAAACGCGATAACTTCTGTGAAAAAGGATATTTGCATTCTTCATAATTACCATACCTCCACACAAAGAGTGGAACCTCAAAATATAATGATCCGCAATTTTTTTGCAATGTGCAAAAAACTACCCTGACTAATGGCTAACTTTATACCGCATAAGATTTCAGAGGTCTCATCAATTTCTCATTAATTTGCATAACCTTGTGACACCTCGTTACTTCCCAAATTTCCGAATGAAATATTAGAAATCACGTTCGTGTGTAAGAGCAAGTCTTGAAGCGCGTGTAATACCAAGAAGAATAGGAAAGCGAAGGAAAAATGAGACGAAAAAATTCCTCGTACGATGTTGGTTTTTTGCTTGGTGGAAAAGCCGTCTGGATGATCAAGATAAATGAAATAGTTGAAAAGTTTCATAATTTTAATGCATTTTTTGGAATAAATTAGAAGGATCAAGAGCCTGTGCGCTGCATGGGAGTAGTTGAGTGAAAGTTGAGCAACTAACTTCACTTGTTAGCGAGTGACTGTCTCCTCTCTCCACGACCGTCTGTATAACAATAAGCAAAACCGTGTTCATGAAATTTATTCGAACCGCAAGCACGACTACTCGGAGAGACAAGCGTTCAATGCTAACCTACTACCGTGGTAAGTGCATGAAATTCCTGTTCAAATGTATTTAGCTGTGGTTCAAACTAGACGTGGTCCGGCAACGAACGATACACTTCTTCTTGTTCTTATTGGTTTTCTAAATCCACTTGCTAAACTTTGCAAATTGGTAATAAAAAGTTTAACACGATGTTCATTACTAATGAATATCGTGCCAAACTTAAACTAATGAATCATTAGTTCATAAATTCTTTAAATGCTCATAATAATTATTGAATTATCATGAATGGGACACGATACAATTCAGTGATATTTCTGTTATAATATAATGCATGTTCTATTTAGTGTGGATCTACTCGTGCAACGGGGTGTTGGGGATCACTTCGGCCATTTTTGCAATTTTTGCAACATTTGTCCTCGCCGATGTTCGACTTTCTCTCTTGGGGTAAGTTGAGAACTTTTATCCAACATTAGTTTATTTTATAATAAAACGGAATGATCGAGAAGGACTAGAAATTGTAGAATGACAGTCTAATCAACTTGAAAGGCTCACAAAAGGTCTTTGTAAACAAAATTTGATAAAGTGAAACAGAACATGATCAAAAGCTTGACTGCAGTTACTTCCCTGATTGATTCGAATAATAAACCGTACACAAATATGTACAGACACGGATGCTGGATTGCTGGGTGCTTGCACAACTTTGCAAAAGTACTTTTGGCTTTTGGTGCTCATCATTTAAAAATATTTATCTCAAATTTATTTGATATGTCAGAATTGATAAACGTTTCCAAAGAGGTCGAAATATGTGCTACATACGTATTTTGATATCTAAAAGCCATTACAATGGGGAAGAGCAGTTCAGATGAGAGGGAGATGTGAGTTGAATTAGATTTGACATTTAGGACACTGATTGATATTAAATCAATGACTAAACACACAGAAATTGGGTGATCACATAAAGATTTGTCGTAATAAAAAAATGAAGAATTCTTTATAGCATTGAAGGATCAATTGCACACAAGTTTCTGTCTAGCTCGGTATAGGTAGGTAGAAGCATGAATGGGTCGGTGATTGATTGTCCTCCGAATCAAATTACCTATACTTTCACAAAGGTAGGATTTTTTATACGATTGTTATCTTCGTCTCACAATTAACTTTCTCTGTGCAAAATCAAGATCTTGATCTTGATCTGGAACTGAAACCCTTGTTATAATTCCCTTTCTCTGTCAGTCAGCATTTTTATTATCCTATTTACTTGTGCGGATATGTAGCAGAGAGGATGAGACGACGAAAATTGAGAGGTAGATGATAAATTGATCCCCCTAATAGGCAAATATGTAGTAGTAGAAGTCGATGGAGTAGTAACGGTAGTGAGGGGTTGGACAATGGAGGGGCACTGCTATTGGAATGAATGAATTTGGGACGGAGACGGATTGTCCCGTTTTGCGTATCGTGCAAGATATCTGGCTGAGATGAAAGTGAGCATCTTGTCCTCAGAGGATGTCAACCAGCTTCCTGCCTTTATCTGATGAGGTGGAAGTAGATTGACTTGAATGGAACATCCTGCGAACAACTTGAGAAAGGTTTCACATTTTCCTCGAGGCATGTCTCAAAGCTTTGAGAAAAACAAAGCAAGAATAAAACCCATTCTCCTTGACCTAATCCCACTTACAATGAAATGAATTGTGCACAGAAGAGGAGGCAATCAGGCTGAATCAGGATTGATAAAGATTCTCATGATTCAAGTTCCCAACTTCATCATGTTGTATGTAAGTAAAGGAATAGTCGAATGGTGATATTTACAAAAGACTGCATTCCTGAACTCAATCGTTTAGCCCATGACCATTAAAAGTAAACGCTTTTTCTATCAACTTTTACAACAGTTTTTTTTTCTAAATCACCATTAAAATGCCTTTTGGAACACTTGCTTTACATTTCGTACATCTGATAAGGATGTTATTTATTTCTGGGTAGGCACGTACGTGCCTACCCTAGAGATGTACATCTCTGTCGTATGCTCTAAAATGCTTAACTTTCTCAAAGAAAGTGCAAGGTAGATACAGTGCAAGTAAATATGCATAGAATTTGATGCTAGTAATATATTATGTACAACGGTTCGAGGAGGTTCGTCGTATTCGAGCATAAAATGAAATTCAACTTCAAACGAATCAATTGGAGCATGTGTGATCAGTAAAGCATCACACAAAAGTAATTGGAAAACAAGAAACACTACAAATTATCGTATAAATAGAATGTGTAGGCCAGAAAATGGAATGGAAGTTCTCTGGTCGATAGATTGCAGATCCACTTCAAAAGAAACTTTCTTTATTTTTCGATAGCTTACTCCAGTTTCAGAAATCTCGAAAGTATATTGAATTAATTTTGAGAGAAAGTGGGAATACGAGATTTTTCTCATTTTTACTTTTTTTTATTTACTAACTTTTGATTCTATTGAATCACGGTTGACAGATTGTTACAAAGTCAGTCCGGACTAAACGAGTTGAAAGGGAAGCAATTTCATCGTTTCAATTTTAGGGAAAGACGGAAGACTTTTCCGAAACGTGACCTCCAAATCTCTCGTTGCTTCTCCTGTAAAATGAAATGAGCTTGTTTTTCTTGTCTTGCTGCTCAAAATGAAATTACAAGTAAACAGTGTGAACGACACACATATATTTGAGGCGAAAGGTGGTACGGTGGGTCTTAAGAGCCTCTCATTCATTGACAACCTGCTTACGACCTCAACGGCACGGACTCCAAAATGGTAATTTTTTTGTTCAAAATTTGTAAGGAGCAAATCCTATCATATATATATATATTCTTGACCAGGGTGACCCAAGGAATGAGCCTAATTTTTTTTGTGAGGTCACACCCCCCGGGGGGCGAACCACCCCCCCTGTGGGGGGAAGTTGAGATTGACCCCTGAATATTGTTAAGCAACTATCGCTGATGTTATATGCCAAATTTCAGAATTTTTGCCCTCATGGTTCGGGTGGTTCATGCATTTGAAAGTTATAAAACAGGCGTTTTGGGGCTGTTTCGACCACACCCCCTGCCCTAAGTGGGAAACATGGGGAAGAGAACATAGTGCAGTTTGATTTACCCCCTCGAGTACTACATAATCCTGCAAAGGTTCCTTGGAAGTGAGCGGGATGCTCTAGATATTTCATGTCGACATCGTCAAAAAAAAGTTTTCGAATTTAACCAACAAAATGTGATGGGAAATGGTGAAAAAAGATGATTTCTCATTCGCAATAGTTTTAGCGAGTGGAATATAATGTCAGGCAAATACTGAAATTGTTGACTCCTCTGGGTCTCTAGTAGAGCAGCCTCCATTTATTAGTGAGTCCGCCACACTATGAGGGCGGCAAAATTTAAGCGAATCCGCCCCATTTCGATTTTTCGAAATAGCAAAAGCGTAAATACTGGAAGTTTTCTTCCATTCGAAGTCAAAAATTGTTGCCTAAAACCATTTCCCATCACATTTTGTTGGTTAAATTCGAAAAAATTTTTTTGACGATGTCGACATGAAATATCTATAGCATCCCGCTCACTTCCAAGGAACCTTTGCAGGATTATGTAGTACTCGAGGGGGTAAATCAAACTGCACTATGTTCTCTTCCCCATGTTTCCCACTTAGGGCAGGGGGTGTGGTCGAAACAGCCCCAAAACGCCTGTTTTATAACTTTCAAATGCATGAACCACCCGAACCATGAGGGCAAAAATTCTGAAATTTGGCAGATAACATCAGCGATAGTTGCTTAACAATATTCAGGGGTCAATCTCAACTTCCCCCCACAGGGGGGGTGGTTCGCCCCCCGGGGGGTGTGACCTCACAAAAAAAAATTAGGCTCATTCCTTGGGTCACCCTGGTCAAGAATATATATATATATAATAGGATTTGCTCCTTTCAAATTTTGAACAAAAAAATTACCATTTTGGAGTCCGTGAACGGGTGCCAAGTGCTCACATTTCTCCTCAACACTTACCATACAATAAAGTCTGTTGGCTTAAATTGCAAGTGAGAAAATGGGTGCAATTTGTGTAACGATGTGTATTTAACAATTTCAGTGGCGTGGAGCTCTACCATCCTACCTTTCTGTACGCTTACGCCGCACTAATTCTCCAATGGTAAGAAAAACTTTTTATTTTTTATTAGTTACAAGAACGTGTGCACCAATCCCTTCACATCTGGCTTGTAGTCTCCTTCATCAAAAAGTAATGATAATTTGTGGAACAAATATGAGCAAAACTCTAATTTCGAAATGTTTCTTTTACGAACTTGACAGTGGAGTTGTACAAACGATCGGATTTCTGGGTGCTAAGAGGTTATCACATTAAAGTCTTTATTTAGCTCAAATCTGGAATCGCTGGCAAACAAGTAATATGCATTTATGTAAATGTAAATAGGTTGTCCCATAAACTGCTTAGCTTTTACTGGATCCTCCTGCTCGTGTTGACCATTGGAGATGTCGTGGTTGGCCTGGTCTGGGTTTTCAAATTGGATAAAGTGAAATTAAATCTGCGTCCTGTCCTGAGTCGAGGTAAATTAATAATTAAACAGATTGGTACACTGCTCACTATAATACTTGATATTCGTTGAATTATAATGACTTTTATTTTATTTACTTCAGAATTCATCTCAAAATACTCAACGGACGAGGTATCATATCTCATTACTAACTTTGAATAAATATGTATTAATTACGAAATGCCAGAGCCAGACACTCAGACATATGTGCGTAATCTTTATTCTCATATTTTCAGTTATTCACAAGGACTTGGAATGCGGTGCAAGCAATGTAAGAAAGCTACTCATACATGTATTTTTGTTTTCCTTGTATTCGTAAATGCTAATTTTAGCGTTAGTAATACATGGGGAAAGTTCAAATGTCTCTACTTTCACTACGTTCTCAGTATTTTTGACGAGTTCAAACACATCAACGTCGTGTATTCAATTCCAGTTGCTGCACCAATTCTAACTATGAAAAATTTGATAGCTCTCACATGCATACTCAAAACAAATGGCCAGTGGATCTCTGGTCAATACATTCCATAAGATTATGCAATGCATCCTCTTTTCTATTGCAGAGAGCATTGTTGTGGAGTTGATGGACCTTTGGACTATGACAAGTTGTCACAAGTTCAATCTCAACACTCGTCCAATCCAAACTCGAGTCTAATTATTGATGTGGAATCAAGCCTTTTGTCTCTGGTAAGTTTGTAGGGGTAACTACTTTTATAAGTTGCACTACAATTAATTCAATGATGAGAAACTGAAAAAAAACAAATGTTGCATAATCAATTTATTCAATTCATTAAATAATATGCATTAAAGTACAATTTATAATTCATCAGGTATATAAATCAAACTTACGGAATACAGTAAAAAAGTGGAAAAATTGAAACGATATACAACCACCCTAATCTTTAATAATTTTTCCATCCTCCCCGATCTCAACAATTTCATTTACATGAACTCCATCCCACTTAACATTAACAATTTTCTCATCCTCAAAATCAATTATCCCCTCACCCTTGCATCTAACACCCCCAATCTCTTTAAAATCCGGATTGATATGATGCGCGACATTACAATTAGCATCAAAACATAGTAAAGGTTTGTTAAAATTTCCAGCAATGTTGTACGCTTTATCCTTCACAGTTTGGTCAAGTTTGTAGAAACGTTCCTCAATCTTTTGGTTGACGATGATGTATTTCAGCATATTGGGTGGCAATGCAAACTTTTGATTCTTGAAAATCAATCCTACTGCCTATACCATGGTCAAAATACATGTAAATTCACTTGTCGGGCTAAAAAAATTAGCAATAGGAAAATTAGAAATTACCTGAATCCAAGCTTTTCGAGTTTAGCATTTTTCATATTTTCATCCTTTTCGGGAGAAGAGAATACCCACTGCTTCACGAGAAATGCTCTGAATCCCTTGTTCATTTTGTAGTCGTAAATTGGCGAAGTATCTTTCTCTCGTTTTGCAAAATGGCGTTGTTGAATTCCAACGGAGCTCCCAACCTTTATCCCGATGTACCAGAAGAGATGGAGGATTTTCGATTGATTGGCTTTTAGCCACGCCTTTACCTCTTTTGCTGCTAATTTTTTCCCATTCTTGTACAGAAAGGATTCTGGAATGAGGAGGACGAGATAGACTGAAGAGTTATCTTGTTCCTTGTGTTTCCTATATATTAGCTTCTTGTAATCGTCATAGTTGTCGAACAATTTCTTCCTCTCTGGGGTTTGAACAATTTCCTCCTCGCTCCCCCACATTTGAAGTGGCGTCACTCGTTCAACGTTAAACGGGTTCACCTCGCCAAGAATTGATTTCGATCTAGGAAAAATTATAGTAAAAATATTTATTAAATAATTACTAAGTAAATTATTAGCATTGTCAATGAGTTAAACATTTAACTCACAAGTCGTCCATTCCATGAATTCTGGCCGTGTGTACGTCCAAGAAAGCTTTTGATGACAAACTCTTGTCACAAACGGCACATTTGTACTTGCCTTTTTCCAGATTTTTTTTCCTTAATTCATTTTGCTTAAGACTTATAAAATTAAAACATTAATCACGATTAGAAACTAAATAGTCCCACAATGATTACAAATGTTTTGCACTTCAAACTTACGCTTTTGACATTGATTTCGAAGTGGACGGAGCGGGGTCAGAAATTAATGGTGACTCTTCATCACTTTCGATCAGGTCTGTTTCTGCGTCCGGTTCCTCCTCTATTAGCCTTGGTTTCTTCTTTTTACCAGAGTCGTTCTTATTCGTCCTTTTGCTCATTGTGAGAACAATCAAGAAATTCAACTATGTTTGTAATAAATACGTGAATAAATATTTATTCTCCTATACAAGAATAAAGTTGTGAGAGAGAGCAACAAAAATCCAAGTAGAGCGTTGATCAGGGAATGAAATCCAGCAGGTTAGCAAACGTTTTGAGCGAGGTCAATGACCTTCTAGATTAAAAGTTGGTGAGGGAATGGAGTTTATGAACTCCAGCGAGCAAGCAAAAGGAGAATGCAACGCTGAATTCTTATCTTTGAAGCATCCTTTCTAGATGCAACGCGTTGTTTATTTTTAAGCATTGGTTGATAACATAAAATACAAATAACCTATCATTCTAAATTCTTTCAGCCCGAGTCCTGTTGCATAGTTCTTTATGACCCTGTCAATGTCAGTGGTGGTGGTGGTGTCGTTGATAGTCTCAATCAGACTCATCGTGGCCCTAATCACCCTCCTGAAACGGAATTCCCTGGCTCATTCAGCCAGGACGGCAGCATCAGGGGCGTTGGAGGGTGGGATGACGGAGGGAATAATAACGTGACAAACTTATTTGCTCTGAGGGGCAACGCCACAACCTCTTTAGATCGCGGTCGTGGTGGCAGCGTAGGTGATGTCAGCAAGTCTTCGTCATCTCACCTGGGACACATTCATTCAGTCGACGACATACTTCTCCAAGATGAAGCTGAGCAACCATCGAGCGACTATTCGTCTAGTTCTGAATCGCTACATCTTATGCAGCAAGACGGTGGTGGTTCTGGGCAAGACTATCCCCCAGAGTTTGAGGACGGGAGAAATAACGTCCTCAGAAGGTTGGAAGAAAAACATCGGATGAGACATGAGAATCACAGGTTGAAAGTAATTTCACCCCATTTGCACAACGACTCTTCAAATCACCATTTTTCCATAAACGACACATCTTTGGAAGGGTCGCCTGATTCAGGTCCTTTGGGTGAAAGTAGTAAGAATCGGACAAAACTAAAACCTAAAACTCAGAAATCGCTTCCAACTTTCTCCTTTCCGGTGAAAGCACCTCCCACACCAGAGCCAGAAACCGCAGAAAAACTACCTATTCCATTCACCTGTCAAAGACACGTCAGAGTTGGTACTCAGAAACAGGGTTCGAATAAGGACGTTTATCAATCTAATAATAATAATCCTGATAAGGGGCCCATGGGCTCAAATCATCTCAACTCGAAATTAAATCCTGGGACTGAGAATTTTGATGCTTCCCCTGAAGCAAGCACCACTCACTCCAGCACAGACGATAACAAGCATGGTAATGATGATCAGCAAAACTCTCTCGTCCCACGAAACTTGTGGGATAATGGAAATCCAAGGAATCGACGAAATAGTCCAATCTTACCTTCGTCATCTTCCTCGTCCTCTCCCAAAAGTGTGTCCTCTGTTACAACGGACGAAAATTTAAAACCAGGTACAGGTTTAAACGAACAAACGAACGTGTTTAGCTTTCTCCACGCTTCGCCATTCCCAATCCCGGAAGATGAGGGTAATAGGAATTCCAATAACATTGGATCCTCGAACCACCACCAGCCAGGCAGAAGAGCTACAGAAATCCAAGCTGCGTATTACCTTGCCTCCCCATTTCATCAGAGTAATTCCTTCAATGTAAGTTTAGCAAAGAGATTCCAAGTGTACAAGTTAGGTTGTGGGGTAAAATTGATCGAATGGGTTGATCGCATTTCCGGAATGGCCTTCATCCTCGGTTTTTGTATCATTGGGTTTGTGAAGACATGTTTCCTTGTCATACTGCGAACAGAAATTCGAGAAATGATTGAAAAAATCCAAGTCCTTGAGTTGGATAACCCAGGTTCTCCCTCCAGATCCGACGGCAAGCTGAAGGACCACCGACTTCATCACGTTTCTCATCCACTTCTCGCTCATCCTCATCGAGCATCCACAGTGTCCGCCAATGCTTATAACGCAGCCTTACCCACAATCAAATCCCCAGAAGGACCCAGTGGACCCAATCGTTTCTCAAAGTCCTATCAAATGCGTCGTCACTCCAACATTATTGGTGACAGGAGCTCCCAACACTCCCAAGAAACAGTCAATATGACCCTCCTCGTTACAAATAGTGATCACAACGGTCGGGGTGGTGGTCCGTGTGCCAGCGGGGGTTGCAACAATCCCGTCAGCCAGTCCGACCAGCCCAAACAAGAGAAGGGACGCTCTAATCCCAATCTAAGTAACTTTCTCCTCCTCAGTCGTGACGACTATGACCCCATCTCAATTTCTGTCCCAAATACAGCCAAATACCTCAGAAGAAGTTCAACTTGTTCAGCAACAGCCCACACCGGGCCAGGCGGCTATTCGTACCTACACTATGACCCAGATCCAAGACCTGGACCCTCGTCCAGATTTTATCACCATGAAATGGCCACCCACCACCATTTGTACCACCAGCATTGTGCCCACGGTCATCACACTACCACCACTGCTAGGCCTCGTCTCTACACCAGGAACATGAGCATAGGAGCTGTAGTTCATCACCCTGTAGGAGGTGGACCATCTGCCATTGGGGCGGCCATGTCCACTTTACGTGGTGGCAGTTCCGGCGGTGGGGAAAGTGCTGCAGGGAGCGGAAACTGTAGCTTTAGTTCGAGAGATGAGAACGAAATCCTGTCAGCATCCATTGAGAACGTGGAGGAAGTGGCACACGCACCATCCATCGCGGATGAGGACGAGAAGGACAAGGAGCGACGAGAAGCTGAAATCCGAGACTGGGCTGCCGCCACGGCGTGCACCGACCTAAATTCGATGGATGGGGGCAGTGCGACCACACCCACGGCTGTCGTCACAGTTTCTCTCGGCGATTATACGAAGGCAGGGTTTAATCACAGCAGCGACTCTGCCGACAGCAATGGTGGTGGTGCGGGGCGAAGAAATGGAAATAATAATGTGGATATCGAATCTTTGCTCCTCGGCACAGCGGTGTAGTTCTTTTAGCTCGGTTATTACACTGCATACATTTTTTGCTCTTCATTATTTTCTCATATTAAACTCGACTCCAGCAGGAGTTCCCAGAAGTTAAGGCTGCTGGATAGATAATAGGCCAGCCATGCCAGGTCTCATCATGTTGAGATATTTTGCTGCTTTCTCCGTCCCTAAAAAGAATGGAGCAAAGTTGAGCAAAGAGCGAATGTGGGAGGGAGGGGAAAGGAGTGAAAGTGACACTGGCTCAATTGCCCCCATTCTGCAGAGACCAAGTTACATGCTTATATTATTCCAATTCGCTCTCTTGGAGGATGCATGCATGGAATCCATTTTGTGTTGTTTGTGCTTTGACTGAAGCGAAAAAAATTGGATTTTCATATTGATTTCTGTGAACCGAAAAAGGTGAACTGTTGCCTGTTACGCAAGGCTCATGGTCGCAATTTTATGTGTATTGACATAAGATAATTTGGAGATTCTGATTGAATGGTGGTTCAAGGAAAACAAAGTGTATGTATGCGAGGAAGGGATGAATCTCAATTTATTGTCAATTCAATATACTTATTTCTGTACATGAATGAAATGGAAAACAAATCCAATTGTAAATTACATCAAGACATCCAATCATTGCTTGATCCAACTGTATATTTCTGGCTAAAATTAAACGCAAACAATTCTCTTTTCATTCCGTGCACATGAACACAAACATGCATTTGGCTGATTCTCATGGTACATACCACTGAAAGGGGCGCTTTAATTTACAATTTTGCAATTAAAGTGCAAAGCAACCAACCTGAAAATCATTTTTTTACATAATACTAGACCATTCATCTCAAGTCCCCGAATTATATATCACGTCTCATGATTTTCGGTTCCTAGGATTATTTGCTGGTTTCTACCGAGCGTAAATTAATCCCTGCTCCAAGAACCAAACACGTTTGGGTTTTACGTAGGACGTTTTAGGGCAACTTTCCCTTCTGCAAATGCAGTCTGGCTCGGCATGTGAACTTTATATGTATGTAACTCATTATCTCGAAAGCAGGAGAAATCTCTGGGCCGTCTGTCACTCGTATAACACGTCGCCGCCTTGATAAGTCGCTCTTTGTCATCTGTCATGAAAAGAAATTAATCGCTTCTTACAAGATTTGAACCAGAGTTCTCATTTCTTATTAATTAAATTCTAATAATTTTCTGTCCAATTTTCTGATTTGATTTCGTACTAACAAACGCTCCATAATTACATCTGCTGGTGACCCAATAACAAAATTCCATGATGATTATTACTTATGGCGTTGGTCTCTTCATGTGATGAACATGACCCTGTACCCAATCTGGTGAGTATCTTACATGGCTTATGTATGTTACATATATATAAATACATGTGTACTTATATAAGAGAAATATTAAAGAAGAAATCTTGATAAGACAGAGACGGACATGGCGGGAATGTTCGAAAGTGAAAGTCATTTAGTACTTGATTGCCCTCAAAGCTATTTTTCGAAGATAGTGCTATCTCTATTGTTCATTGATGTACAAAAACTATAGAGGAAGGAAAGGATGTAGAACGGTTATCATAAAGTCGCTATATGTATACATAATTGTTACATTCTTAATATGCACAATGTCTATTTATAATCTGTCAACTTAACTTTTATTCCATCATTGCAAAATATTGGCGGAAATGAAAATGTACATAAAATATATAATAATCCTCCGTTTCACATCATAGAAAGAGATAACCGTGATTAATTCTAAATTAAAAAGTACCTGTCAAATGTGTCAATAGTAAATATATGAAAACATTGGTGCATTCATAAAGTATTTAAATATATATGTATATAAAATATCGATAAGTAATCGATGCTTGACAGTGAAATCGAAGTGTCCGTCTTTTGACTTCCACAAGTCGGGGTTTTTTTGATGTGATAAAAAATATATCGAATGGTTATGATGAAAGCATTTCTGGAAGGCGTAAAAACACATCAACGATGATGGCTTGATTTCGTGGGGAGAAAGTGAAAGTAACGGGTTTCCCCAGATTATAAATACATAAGTGTAGTTAAAATATTATACGAGGGTATAAACTCGTGCTTCAAATCTGTTGTCCTCGTCGGTAAAACACTACCTACATGCACGATAGATATATATGCACCGTTAAATTATACGATTATGTTTATGCTTAAGCACGACGCGGCTGGGTATGGAACAATTAACCTAAAAAATACATTGGAATTGTATCTATAGCGTACTAAACAATACTGTAGGATAGCAGTTAGTAGTAATTCTTTACCTAAATATGTGCATGCTGTATACATATTTACATATTTACATAAAATATACTCCAACTTTACCTTTAAGAAATCACTCTTCCTAACACCAGGATAATTAGGCGTCTAAAATGAATGTTTCATACATAAGTCAGTTGATAATTATATTTAATGAGAAGAGAATAGTACGACGGTGGGGTTATCTACTTATCTACGAACCTCCTCATCAGGCGCAAATTATTCAAGAGTCTTATCTATGAAAAAGTATTTGTCAAACGACTAATGAAAAATTGTACCAAAAATAATAAAGAATGTATATCTTGTCCATATTTTCAGTAAATATGTATTATTATTGGTATTATGCTTATATGTACGAAAATACATGTGTAGGTATATAGCTCGTACGAAAAATCAGTGTTCTTCTCTCATCGTGTTATTAAACTTACGATGGCAAAATGTTCACAATACATGTTTAGCCAATCGTCAAGAAATCTGTGCTATGTATCTATTATTACTCCGACATACTTACTGGTCAATCTCAGGCAACGGAGATCTATTGTACATACAGTGGTAACAAGCTATTTCAACATGTAATATAATGTGTATAGATAAATGGATGAATATATATGAAGCTGTCAAAGCTGTGTCTTATGTATCCATAAAAAAGTAGTAATAAGATACTAATCATTAATTCGATGTGATAATTAAGACTATCATAAAAAAATATTATACTGTACAAGAGATTGATTTAAACACTCAACCAGTGTCTCTGGAACTGTCCCAAAATATGTAATAAATCTGTTGACGACGACGACCGCGACAAGATTTTACTCATTTGTGCATATTGTACTTGGCCTTCCGACAGATTTGAGAGCCAAATAAGCTGACCGGGTATGATGTACATTCATACAGCATTGTGTTTCTCGAGGAGGAGTGGTAACTGTTTTCTTCCAAGAATAGTGAGTGGCATGATCTGATTATTTTGATGATTGTGAAAGCTTGATCACATATTGCAGCTGGTGGCACGGTATTAAAACGCCATATTGTCAGGATGATGACGATGACATGGATTTTCTTTCTCTCCGACGACCCTGCTTATTGCTAGCGATAGACCCGTCTTAGTTGGAGTTATCTCATTCGAAATAATGATCGAGAATTCTGGGAAAAATGAAAATACGAATCCCTAGGCCATAGTTAATACAGTGTGCAAAAGCCGCTTTCTTTTTTGCACGATCGTCCATGTACACTCTTCCCAGTCACTGTGGAGCACGGGTCCAACGACGAGTGACTTGGAAGCTGTGGAATAAAAGCTCATGAGAAGGACATAAACCTCGTCCTCCTTTCATGAACATAAAAGCATCCCTGATTCTGTAATGATAGGGCAAACCGGCCAGAGAATATTCAACTTGGTCCTGTTTTCTCCTAAGGAAACACGTATTGAGTCCAAGCGTGTAATATGTACGTATAGTGGCACAGCAGCAGATGCAGAGACTCACTTTTGCGTTTGCAAACATACGAGCATGAAAACAGGAGGAAAGCCAACAACATTTCCTCGCTTCTGCACGATATTGTACACACAATGCATACAATAGGGTATCAAATTACTAGTGTACACAACCAGCCGGGCCGAATATGAACTTACCTCCTATGATGATGCACTTTTCTGTAACATGTAAATGGTGCCGAACTGTTCAAGACCTGGGACTAGAGAACAAGAAGAAAGTCAGCAAGGCAAGATGATGATGATGATGACGAGACAAGCATACACAGGAAACTAATGGAAAAGATTCTTAAGTTACTTTGCTAAGTATTTTGCATTTACACAACAATAATTTGGCATCTCATTGTTTAGTTAGTTAACATTATACGTTATTGTGTATTCTATTTTCTTTCATTACAAAAAAAGCTAGTAAAATTTAACTTTTACTCATATGTGAAACTGAAAGGATCATTTTAGGGATATACACGCATGCATTGCTTTCATTTTCTGTGGCCCAACATTCACCAACTGGCCTACGCCACCACAACCCACGCCATCGTCTCACTACAGCACTAGTTCTTAAAATTAGAACCAGCAGTCCACGCTCAGGAGGGGAGCTTGCGAGGTTGATAATAACAGATCTTGATGCCCTTTGGATATGTGGTAGGGTCCCATGAGTGTACTAAAACCCTGAATTGGTTTGACTCCATGGCCACATTTACGCCCGGCACACCCACTCAAAAATGCCCAAAAAACGCTTTCACTCGAGTTTTCACTCACTCAAATCCCCGCCAAAAATCCAATTTTACTCGGATTTTGAAATTTCTTTCACCAATATACTCCCCGATAGTTGCTTTCTTCAATCCAATATCAAACTCAATTTTGCTGATTATTATTTCGCAGGCATAATTTGCCTTGTTGATTGCTACAACAATCCTCATTCCGAATTGCAATTTTTAAAAATACTAAAAATTTCGAAAAAATTGAGTTTGATATTGGATTGAAGAAAGCAACTATCTGGGAGTATATTGGTGAAAGAAATTTCAAAATCCGAGTAAAATTGGATTTTTGGCGTGGATTTGAGTGAGTGAAAACTGGAGTGAAAGCGTTTTTTGGGCATTTTTGAGTGGGTGTGCCGGGCGTAAATGTGGCCATGGAGTCAAACCAATTCAGGGTTTTAGTACACTCATGGGTCCCTACCACATATCCAAAGGGCATCAAGATCTGTTATTATCAACCTCGCAAGCTCCCCTCCTCAGCTTTCAAGCTGAAATTCATGTCCGCCATTTGAATGACAATCATAAAAGGAAGCACACATTTTCTAGCAATGTCATTAATATTAACACACAATAATTTGGGAACGTGACCTGCTTTCAAAAAATGGAATTACGGTTAGTTCACTACCAATGCCACCTGCCTCAACAAAAAAGCTGATCCAATAATACTCCCAGCCAAATATGTAGAAGAGCCATGAGGCAAAATTTATGCTGGTGGCTGGGAGAGAAGAATGAATCTGCAAATCCTTTTTTCTGTTAAAAAGCCAAAGCTCCCAATGAAAGGGTTAAGACCGCAATGAAAAGACACATTGTACATGTTTCTGAATACATATGCTCCTCCGTACAGGGCACGAGAGATGAGCATGAATTATTTTCTCCTCTGGACTCGTCCTTCAGAAACCTCCCCAGAACGAGAATCATCCCTCCTGCAGAAGTTCTGATGTTTACCTTGTTATACGTTTATTTGTATTTCTCTCAGATATGTTACACACACACAGAGACAGCCATCATATCAATGTGTATGATATGAACATGCTTCGAGAACTCGCTACCTTCCAAATTTGACGAGCCTCCTTCAACGTTCATGCGAAATAATGCAGGAGCAGCAATCTGGAGCTTCTTCGATCTGTTGCAAAGTTCAGTCCAGTGTTTAATTTTTTTATCACTGGGGATGGAATGATACATTTATCTCTTGTGACTTTGCACTCTTACCAACTTTCTCCTCCTCTCGTCGTCGTTCGTCGTCGTCGTCCTGTTCATCTGACATGGTGGAGAAAAAATGAAAATATTTCAACTCAATTTTCTCCACCGCTCAATTTCTCTTTCTGGAGACAATGCAATCTCTAATGTGATTCCTAGCAGTTGTACATTATCCGTCAAGTGAAGTATAGTCGTGGTGGAGTGCTGGCTGGAGAAAAGAGGCAGAGAAAGTGCAGAAAGACGGAGACCAAATCCAGACTCACTCAGTCAAATCTTCTCTGGGCTCAAATCCTGAGAGTTGTTCATTCCCAAAGGACATCCCGTTAAAAAAGCGGAACCGTTATGGCAGGACATTATACATGGAAGGGAGGGTTATATGCGTACTACGTAGAGGAAGGGCGTACAAAGGTTGAAAAAATGCGAGCTTTTTGAATGGAGTGAACGAAATAAAGGAAACAGCTCATTTCCAAAGATTTCATCTGCTCCCACCACGTCAAACCATTTCAAATAGTCAAATCTCAGAATGGCAGAGACGACTTTCCCATATAAAAAGGATCACACGCCACAGCCACAGCATCCACTTGTCAGATCTTCTCCTGACGCTGTTTCTTATTAAAGGAAATAGAATGAAGTTCCACATTTTCCCACTTTCATCAGAATCATATCCCTCTCTCATCCACTTGACGCGATTACTCACAAACAAGGATTTCGTTGAATGCAGAGGGGAACCACACCAAAAGTCTTATCAAATTGGGATCATGATCAAGCATACACTTGTCCAAATATCACACTTTTGAATCACTTGAATCACTAGTAAAATTGGGTGGAAATGTTTAGCCCATCAAAGAAGAATTAGTTAGCTTATATGCATTTACTATGTATGTACACATGTATACGGGTGGAAGTCTGAGCAGGATGGGAATCGTAGATACTTGGATGTAATCTGAATCATGCATGCACATATATTTGGTGTGATGAGATGGGGTGTGTTCAAAAACTACCTACGACATACAACTTGTCACATTAATTATATCACGCGAACACGTCATGCCACTAGCACCACTCGATCGTAAATGAAGCCAATAGGGATAAGTGTCGGACAGTGAAACGTGATACCTTGAACTCTTCCGACCTTTCTCCTGTAAATTCAACCAATTTTTATTACCCTCTTTCCGTCAAGTGGATTGGGGGTTCCTTTGTCGCGGCGGCTCTCTCTCTCTCACCTACATAAATATATTTATATATCCATCCCCGATTTGCACCATTCCTTTTTCATTCAAGCACTAAATGTCACATAAAAACTCAATACCATAGACTCGCGACTTTTGAAAGTCTACAATCAGGGTCATGTCGGATCCGCTGTTCAAATGCAATTCCCATTTTAACTCGCACTCCTTCCAACCACCTACATAACCACTTTACATAATAAATAAATATGAAAACTGTTAATTTTACCTATTTGTTTATCAAGTATTGCAATTTTGCTAATACAGAATGACGACATGATTGTGGAGGAACAGCCATTAGAAGCAAACTTTTCACATCATCTAAATGGATACTAGATAAATATAAGTTTATCCTTGTTCATTGTGCCGTTAACCCGTTTTCTTATTTCCTAATTTTATATTTTGCTAAAGGTTTATGAAACTGAGGGTTTTGAGGGATTTGAGTCTTTTCTTGGAGGAAGATGCAGCAGGAGTCTCTCACCCAGAAGCCACAAGCTCAGTCTATGTATGCATTTATCTTGTATAATGTGAGGCTAAAGCTGGTTTAGATCTTATCTACCTCCTCGTGGAAGAAAGCGTAAAATATTTCTACTTTTACTATCAAAGGCTTTTACGTCCACGTTCAATCCCGTCTGATTAAATAAGGTTCTCCTTAGACTGGAGGTTCTTTTCTGGCCGTGCTTTCACTCACCAAAATCAAGGCTAAGTTTGACTCGAGTTGGATATAAAACAACTCTAAAACATGAACGTATCTTAGACATGGTGGTTGAATTATGTCAAATAGCGTCATATCAATGGTGCGTCCTGGGTCGCAATTAAACCTAAAAAGTCAAGAGAAAGTTTACAAGAAAGTCATCTCTCGTTCTTTCTATCTCTGCATGAAAGAGGTCATATCAAGGATACATCTCACTGTTACACAATTTTGGAAACATTTTTACTTTACTTTCCTTGCTGGTGTTGTTGGATGGAAAACATGAGACAACTCCTTCGTACAGTATTATTAACGCTAAAATGTTACACAGGCAGACGACGATCCCAACGATCAATCAACTCTGTTTTCTTCCACCCTCAATCATCAAAGCTGTTGGATTATGATGATCCCACCGGAGAGGAAGGAAGAGCTATATATGTTCCGCAAGGGGACTACAAAAAAGATAGAACAAGACGGTTCGAAAGAATTAAATTGGTTGGAAAGTGGTGGTGGTAGTAGATTTAGCAGCAGAATAGCACACGTATGTATGTAACGTTGCCGTGTAACATGAATCCGTTCCGAAATTTTCTCGGAGGAATTTTAGACTCTCAATCCAATTTATTTTGTCCACTATCGCGATTTCATCTCTCCCCTTCTTCTCCTCCGCCACCAGTACTTTGCCGATATCTAATTCCATTTTTATTTGATAACTGTCTGATATCCGACTCTCGAGAGAATTGTGTCCTTATTTGCATGCACGAGTGTCACTCCCAAAGTGTCGAATTCAAGTATTTGCTTCGATTCGCCGAAACATACAGATAAGCGCCCAACAAGTTCCCATTAAAATATTTACGACAAGACGCGCATCGTTGATTTTTAAATGTATTAGACAAGACAAAGTATTGTGAAGCTCGTAACAAAGTTTTAATCATTAGTGCAAAAGTTTTAAACTTTATTGGTAATAGTTTGTTTAAATAAAATAAGGATGCTACGTTTAGGACTGCATATAACTTTGTGCATGTTCCTCTAGTTTACGAAATTCAAAAGTGTTTGATATACACGCAGCGAGCCCTAATTAGTTTAATTTCTCTAATGGATTACACCAGCATGTCTCGTAACGTTCATGTATTATTCCTTCATACATATTATTCGACGTTCGAGAAAGTAATCCGAGTTTGTTTATACAACGACGAACGACGATGATGACTTTTCACAACTTTTTCATGAAAAAAAGCAACTTCAATTAATAATTTTTATCTAGCAAGTACAAGATTAGATTCGGATGCATAGTGCTGAAAAATATTATACACAACGTCAACACTATCAATCATGAATTGACATGAATATTGTCAGCAAGTTAATTTTTTATCCGTAAACGAACAATGTCATCTAATCAGAGTTAATGAATTTGTGCATAAGTAGCTCTTGCTTGTTTAACAAGAAATATGCAAGTAATCCAACAACAGGACAAAATATAGAAGCACCATTCAGATCACCCACTGCAAATGCAATTTCATATAATCACAACATTGTGAGGGGATATAACAAAGGAACAACAAACTCGAATTTTTGACACACTTTTCCTTGCATCCGCTTGAAGTACGTATCTCATAATAACAATCTCATCTCACAACGTGTCAAGATTATGACGACAAATAGGCCTCAACATATCTCTTGGCAGTTTGAATGTTGCACTTGCCTGATGTGCGCATGTATAGCTTTGCGGTTTCGCCTTATACGTGAAGTGACCAAGTTTTTACTTTCAAAACTGCTGGTCTATTGGAGTATGGGGACTAACAATAATATGCACAATTATCTCTCTGACTCGTGATAACACGCAAATGTACACGCTTTTGGTCTATTATTTCGCGAATCCCGCAGTGCAATGGATCATTGATGAATGAATGAAGGAGTTGGCGGATGCTGCATGAATAGAAAGTAACCACCACTACTAAACTGCATGACTGGGTGCATATGGATTTTACGATAATTGTAAGTGCGTCACTAGATAATTTGGTCTTTCAAATGGATGGTTGCCTATTCTTGATTTCGTTGGTGGATAAAACCAAGTTTTCACCCTTTCCGTTCCGTATCCGCATTTACAACTTCAAATTGGACATTGAATCCTTCACTATTATGCATCCTTGTGATGGTGATGGAAATTATGCGTGCGTTGGGTGTCCGCTGCACGTTGTTTTCAGCTATTATAAAAACAACGTGATAATTTCAAAATCCATCAGTCCACAATTGCATACCAACCATTTCATGCCTGACATTCAATCCGGGGAGTAAAATCGGAACCATATTTCTATTGTTATAAAGGTAAGATTGTACAAAATACATTTTGTACATATGTGCATCAACTAATTTTCAAATCAAATTGTTTCAGGACTACACAAATTTACTAGATTCAAATAAAATGAATACCTTGTCCAGCACCCTATTTGTCGCGGCCTCAGTTGCCGTTTTGGTAATCAGTTTTAGCTTGAGGTCAGAATGTGGACTGTTGAGCAGACGCATTGTTAGTGAAAATTCGCCTGCAACCAAAGAAGAAGTTCGAGTTGGGGATCATTTTCCAGGAAGAGTGCGAGTGCGGGTGAATCCACTGGAATCTATTTTGGCAAGGGCCCAAGACCTGAGTCCCGTCAAGATTGAGAACGACAAGGGGATGATAAAAGTCCAGTTTCGGCGAGTCCTACCAAAAGTCATGGGATACATGGGAGAAGCCGTACACAGGTTTCAGAATAATTTATCTGATCTGCTGTCCAAAACGGTCTACGGTTAAGTCTGTGTTAAAAACTTTAAGTTATTGTTGTTTTTTTAATACCAAAAAATAATGCGCTTTGATACTCAATAAACTCTCATCTAGAAATCATATATGAATTTGTGAATTGTAATTTTTTCATACGATTTCATATTGTGCACGCTCAGCCCCATAATTAAGCTCATCATACAATAGGTAAATATGTACATACGTACCCTATATGTACTCATGTATGTATGTATACACGTATTGCTTTGTATGTATGTATGTATTTCATCGATTGCTACTTGGTCGACCTTATTTTTATTATTTATTTGCCAGAAACTGAGGAAGTGATAATTCATCCGACATATGACACGAACAAGTTTAACTTTTACTTTTCTGAAGAATATACAGTAGCAGCAAACCTGGATATATGTATTTCTATTGTCATTCTATGAGAATTGTAGCGGAAGTTGAGACGATTCAATGTAACCCATAGTTCAGTTCCTTTCCAAGTTAAGTTCACCTTAATGAAAAAGCTCTCAAAACTTTATTGTTCCTCATGGCCAAAATGTGGATAAAGTCATTGCCAAAAAGCAAAAGTCAAGTGGAAACGGGCCACGTTGAGCAGTATCATTCAGTCTGCTTTTGCAGATGTTTGAAAAGAAGTTGGGAATTTTGAGGTTTTAAATTTAACTACATAAGTGCAGAAATAAGAGTTAGGTGGTTGGTTATACGACTACGAACACCAAAAAGAAAGGAAAATGGAGAAAATGACCCGAAACCATAAAAGATGTGCATCTGCTGCTGCTTCACCTTTTACAACATCCACCACAAACGACTTTCTCCACCAAAGACCCATGAAAAAGCTGTCCCACATCATATTCTTTCTTGCACGTTCGCTGCTCCTCTGCTGCTCTGCTTTTGCTTGCAAGGACTTTCTCCCTCAACTTTTCACCCAGAGGCGTACACGATAAAACAGACCATCTCAGGTTACAGTCTTCAACACATTTTCCAACCATTTTCAAGTTATTATGCACTCTCATCATGCCTACCAACCCAGTAATCATTATGTTCATGATCATCCAATCATTATTGTTGAAAATGTGTCGTTAGGTCGGGTGTACGAGGTCGTGTCGTTACGTGAATGTCTGGCGAATTGGCAGAGGAAAATGAAAACAGGAGGAGAATTTCATCTCCCGTGGCTTAATGAAAACAATTTAATCTCTGTTTGAAATGTATGAACATGACACGTGCACAAAGCCTCATTGCCAAAAAAGAGGAACGAAATTTTCCAGTCTTCTATACGGATAAGTAAAAAGGAGGCAGGATTGTTGGCTCTCGAGAATCAAACGAAGCTGTCAGTCTTCTTCGGTGCCTCTTTTATTGTCTCAAAGTAGGTGGATAACAGGTCAACGGATAAATGGGAAACCTCAAGCCAACATGAAAGGATTTAGGTGAAACCTACCAATGACAACTTATACCACGAAAACTAGCCACCAACCAGGAGGACATTCGACAAATCGACATCCGGGGAATTACCGGCAACAATAATGGACCATTTATTTACCCCAAGCAACAACAAGTATGAAGCACCACTGCGGTGACTGGTGGACTCTTGTATTACTTGTTCAATTCAACAAAGATACGCCACCCAGACAAGTCCAAACTGTATTTTAATGGTTGCTGTAAACCATGGGCAGATATTCCCCTAGCGATTTTGATGACACGGCGGTGCATATTCTGCTTGTCTTGTATTTGTAGCTACACACATATGTATGTATGTACTCTATCACTATCAGTGTGAACTAAAGAATAATTAGTGCATCAATATGTCAAAGTTGATGGTTGTTTTGTGTGTTGTTTTGTGACTGTAGGAACTTTATCGTGGATGCAATAAAATCAAAATGTATCACGTATGACAATAGTACCATAAAATAATTACAGAAAACTTGATTAAAATTGAATAGAGATAAAAGTAGTCTATATCGGTTTATTCATAAGAAGAAAGGCGTGCGAATGTATGCAAGTAACAATTAAGAAGAAGGTTGATACACTAATAATCTATTATTCCGCTGGCACTGATGGTTGTTGAAGTGGATCATCATCACAGGGTTTTGGGGGTATGTCAAAATGATTCGGAAGATTGTCTATATCGATTTCTGGAGTGTCATTCTCATCATGTTCGGGTGGAGGTGGCTTTGGCAAAAATTCTTCTCCAGGAAACATTGACCTGAAAATATTAGCAGCTCGGCTGACTCGGGAGGTCAAATCAGTTGAATCAACAGCACAGTTATGAATTCGTGAAGTGGGCGAACTTTCTTGTCCATTCCAAAGATCGATCCAAAAATATGATCCATAGATAGCTTGTGGTCTGATGTCGTTTGAACCATTTCCTAATTCGTCATTCTCGCAACTAGACGACATCACCATTTCAAAGTTGACAAAAGACTGGAGTTGCGATTCAATATATTCACGAGGGGACGCTGAAAGAGATCCAGGATATTCTTCGTCAACAGCAAACGTTATCTGAAGCAAATCTGAGATGAAGCACAAAGACAAACAATTCAAATTAATAATAATCATGCAATTCAATTAAATATTAAATCTAATCTATAAGACGTGAAAATATTACGATAATTTTTTGGAACAGCTTGACTCGAGTTACTCAATTCAACAATTTGAATGTTTCCAATTTTGTAGAAACATATCCCATCTCCTTTATTGGTTGTTGATTCAGTTTCTGCTTTCAGATTATTTCCTTTGGTCACAATTACGCCACGGCCAACGACTTTCGGTTTCTCATTTATCGCATTATCCGAGGGCGACGATGCAGAACTATGTAAATATTTAAATTCCGGCCCAATGACCAGATGCTTAGCTTCAAATTGGTCATTTTCAGACGTGATTTTAAGGGTTCCTTCTCCAGTTTCTTCTATGGAATTTACAAATCGCTTCAAAATGAAAATGCTACCGTACACTGCGGACAACCGACAAAATCCTTGACATATTTCACCTGCAAAATTCATAGTAATCAATATTTATAAAATGGCCGCAGCACTAAACACGCTTATACTTTACATCTTTAATGATTTACTTACTGACGCCATACAGCGGCCAAAGATAAGGTGTTTGATTCCCAAATCTTCCAATTGATTGCAAATATTTTCTGCATCTTGACACGAATCCAGTTTGAAAGCTTTCTTCTGAAGAAAACTTGTCTTCCACATTTTCCACGACACTTCTGATCAAATGCTTTACTTTTGGGGTCAGTTTACAAATATTTGCCAGTTCGTCAAATGTGCTGGAATCTGCAATGTCTGGCAATGTTTCAAGTGTCTCGTTTGAATTTTCATTTTCCAAGTCATCCGTGGATTGATTCTGTTGCATCACAGCCTCGATGAACTTGACTAGACACCGTTTTTCTCCTAACGAAACGGATTTTGAAGTAAATATGTCAGATCTTGAGAGTGGTATGGATACAATCGTGTCCTCATTTGGGAGTTTGGTAAACAGCTTTCCAACACGAAGAAATTCCAAGTATCTTGAAACATCAGATTTGATCAGCAGCTCAATAATCTCTTCACGGGCCAAGATTATCTGTGCAGGACATAATTTATACATACAGATACATAAATATTCACCCTCACTAATCATGAATACCAACCTGGGGAAATACGTCAATATTGAATCTTCTCTTATTCCCTTCAAACTCTTTTTTCACCCCATCGCTACTCTCATACCAAACTTGCTCCACGTTTCGACAACAGTTTTTCCATTCCAATTGATCTCCGTTAGAGCTAACCTCAACCTCGGAAATCGTGGGTGGAGAGATTGCAAATTCTTGGGCTGTCCACGAGTCAAAGTTGAGGGTGGCAGAGCAGGAGCCGTAGAATTCTCGAGGGTCCAAGTGAAGGAGGGTGTGACCATTACGACTCGCTGCAGCTGACACGATCGATTCCGTCAATCCCGTCCCAACTACCACCACATCAAAGGCCGAAGGGAGACCTGCCTCCATTAGTCACCTCAGCAGCAATGACAATTGTTCCGTATTGTGCAACCACCTGAAATGCAACAAAAAGGTTTAATACGATAATGATTTAATTATACTTTATAACTTTCCATCCTCTCATGATTGATGAATATTATCGAAATTATATAATATAATTTATATTATTGAATACTAAATCAGTAATATAAATTACTAATATTACTGACTATATTTTATTTTTGTGATTCAATATTCAATATACTGATTTTAGTTGTAAAAGTTAATTTGCTAAAAGTAGATTGTCCTTACGTCCTCCAAATAAACTTAATGTGGGTTGGCGTCGACGCTTTAGTCAATTTCTAATTTGTAATTAAAGTGTACGAAGGACGAGTTAGTGAGTGAGATTATGGGAAACAAATCTGCTGATGTTTACGTGTCTCGAAGTCCTCGCGGCTGAAGACTTTCTCCGAATTGAGACTGATTTGAGTGATTTCATTCATCATCCATCGTGGCGTAATATTTTCCGGCCGACTGTTCACGTTTTTGCTGTGACCTAATAATTAGATACAGTTCGCAAGAAATTTCGAACTATGCAAAGCCTTGCCTCTGCTCATTGCCAGTGATTGGAAAAGACAGTTTTTATTCAGGTATGTATTTATTTGCTGCTTTTGTCTTTGATAAACAAATAAATCAATTTGTAATATTATCTCAATTGTTCAGTTCCTGCAAATTATTCTTCCACGATGACGATGTCCGGCTCATCCAGGTTATTGACTAAACTAAACGAAACTGTGTTAACCCACAAGTACTACGAGGCTCATCAATTGTTAAAAACGTTAAACTTTAGGTAAGTTAACAATATTAACTTAATATACTTATTGTATATACACGTAATGTGTATAATTTATGCATTATAAAAATATTTATTTTAAAGACTACCTATAACATTTTCAGGTACTCTGCTTCCAAGAAATATGATGAGCTTGAAACTTTACTTAGTGATCACTCAGTATTTTTTCTTGATAATAAGCAGGTATAATATAAATAATAATAATTTTTACTGTGCCGTTGAAATGGAATACGACACCTGAAAATACCTAATCGTATTAATTACTAATCATAGTTTGAGAGTGGCATGGATGTGGCGATTATGATAGCAAACCTTCACAAAGCGGCAGGAAACCAGCCGACAGACATTAGAATTCTAAATGCATTATGGTAAGTTCAGATTCTGACCGGATTACGCTAAAAGTGAATTGTCATAATTAATAATATTCTATTTTTTAATAGTTTGCTTAAGAAAATGCCACCCAGTCCCGAACGAGGACAGTTCCTTCATTTGATATTAGAATGGGCAGGCTCGTCTGAATTGTCTGATAAACTCAATTCTTTTGCCGTGCAAATGTACATTGCAGGTACACATTTTGTTTTATGTATGTTTGGAAACAAACTTAACGACTAAGCTTAGCATTCTACTTACGGGTATTATTGTTTTCTCAGAACGAGGGTACGATGAAGCGTGGAGACATGTAGTTCGATTAAATGACGGGAAAGTGGCCGCAATATACCTTTTACAAATAGTTCAAGACATTGGTTCAGCAATAAAACGGGAGGAACTGGGGTTAATTACGGCCCATTTAGTTGTGACTTTGCTTGCTGCAAAAAAAGTTGCACAAGCCGAACAAGCGTTAATAACAATGGTTCAGACCCAAGACGTCAAACAATTATCACCATTATTGAATGGAATTCGATATTTGGTGGAGGCTGCTAAGACGTATGTAGTATTACTATTTATTTAAGTAGTAGATAAATTTATGATAATTCTGATTAAATTCGTTCCAGAAATGACCCCCCGGCGTTCCAGGCAATTCAGAAATTGTATGATTTGAGTTTCTCAAGGGATCCAAGTCTACAAAAATTAGTTGGGGCTGCTGGCAAGTCTCTTTTTAATATAACTGATGAGCGAAGCACCAATGGAGGAGGTTTTATGTCTCTCTTTAGTGCCTTCATGAACAATTCTTGAATGCCTTAATATTGATAGTTTCATAATGTGCTTGATTTTTCTTAATTTTGTGTTTGAATAAAACGTTTATCTCATAAAAATTAATTGTATCTCATGCAGTAAATTATCATTTTTCACTTTAGATAGTTATTTACTGGAGGAACTACACTTCCAAGTGTCTCATCATGACGTCCACTCTGTTGAAAAAAGTGGATTGGCTGAGGTATGTGGCAAGAACATGCGATTGGCATTTTAAAAGTATCTACATGAAGTCCTTCGTGTTCAGTCCAAGCTACGAGTCTTATAAAGTTATGTTTTTGGATACATTTGGAGTGAAAGTGAGGGTCGATATAAGAACAGGGTGCATTTGGATATCTGAAAAAAAATTACATTGTCAATTCCTTAAACGCCTCATCATAATTAGTTATTTAATGATTATATTACATGCATTGCTCCATTCTCAAAGTTTGTGTGTAACTCTTTTGAGGAATTTCATAATCCTTGTGGGTAGGAAAGTACGCACTCCGTTTTTTGTGAATTCCATGACCATGCCCATAGTGTAATTTTGGAACATGATCAACGTTGACAATTACTTTCCATTGGCCATACGTGTTCATGGCTCGTTTTGGTCGTCCGTAATAAATGTCTGTCGAAAGGGAAGAATAATGAATTGTTTAATTACTTTTTGTGACTGACTGTATACAGAGAAACAACGGACGTTGTATCCTCACCTGAAGGACAAATATATCCTCCTTTCTTAAAGTAATCCGTTTTGTACGTGTAACCACTAGGTTTGCATTGTAATTTCAAACCATAAATTATTAGCAAAAAGTGAATTTAACCATATAAACTAAGTACTTACTGATATGGTGGTTTATATTGTTCAAGATTCGTATGTTGGGCGTGGCTTTGGCCAAAGTAATGTTTATACGTGTAGCCTTCTTCTTCCGCCCTTGTCAATCCGGTCACCAGATTGTCGGCAGATTGATAAGTGACATCTGATATTATCTTGTGCGCAAAGTCACCGTATTGGCGAAGAGCCCACAAAATAGTTTCTCTGTATAAAAACAAAAAAAGATGAGAAGATATCCTAAATAGTGTACTAAAATATGGGGAAATTATTTACAATGGGTATAAATGATCCTCCAAACAGAATGTGATGTTGTAAAAGTGTTTGTTCTTCGAAGCACATTCGGGGACTTTCTTCATGTCATAATCGTACGGTTGAAACCCTTCGACATACTTCTGTAATCAAGGATGTCAATTAATATGCGTCTTGCATATGTTTCAATATTTGTCATTTTGATGTGCACCTGAGCTCCAGAATACGAATTGAGATTATGATGTTCATGATTGTAACCATGATCCTGAATTTTATGATGGTGCTAGAATACGTATATATTTAACAAATGGATGATACTACAATTTTGGTCACCTTTGCTGAATTTACCTTTTGCTCATGATGATGGTCTTTGTCTTGGGTTCGAATTTTGTCGTGATGATTGTAGAAATCATATGGATCACGATGTACAATTGATGGTTTCAAAGGTTTGGGTAGTTTATGATGAGCATGAACATGGCCTTCATGAACTGCATGAATGTGAGGGTGTTGCAAAAAAACTTGTGGTTCACCTATGAAATCGAACGCATCTTAATTAACTAACACGCTTTCATACATTTGGTGGAGAATCAATCTCACCTGTTCCGTGGTGATCATCTTGACCATCGTATATTATATGATGTTGGGGTTGTACTTCAGGTAGTGAATATTGAACCTCTTGCTGGTGATTAATTCCAGTTTGTTGGTGTTGATTTGGGTTAAGAATATAATGACTTTGTTGATCATGTTCAAAGTGGGGCAATAACACGTGATTTTCGTTTTGTTCATCATGAGCGTGTGTGAGAAGGTAACCAGATCCTGCCCCCTGAATTTGAGAAGTATGATTTCCATATGAGGATGCGGACGTTTCTTGTTGTGCTGCTGAGCTTTGCTTTATGTCCTTGTTTTTCTTGACCCACTTATCCTTGAGAGTTTTAGTGGGTTTTTTAGTGGGTGTTTCGTTGACCCCGCTGCTGTACTGGAAAAAATCTTCCTGTGTATTATCTCCAAGGTCTACATTTTGATAAGATGATGATGGTGCTGGTTTATTTTCTTGACTAGGACTTTGCTGAATCTCTGTACCTACTTCTTCAGCAGTTTCCCCATTTTGATTCAGTGGGACTTGGTAAGCGTAAACTTTAACTCCCTCGGTTAAAACTTTTTCGTTGACAATATTACTCGTAGACTTTGCATTGTCAGAGATTGTAGGCGGACGAATTTGTGACTCACTTGTACTAGGCATAAATTGACTGCTAATTATTTCTGCTGGAGTTTGAGGCACATTTTCAGACGGAAAAACGTCACTTAAGGAAGCTTTTAGAGAATCGGCCGTTACCGTTGTATTTGGTTTGCTCCCTGTTTCGTTCGAATTTGTAGCCACCAATGCCAAATATCCCAAAAGCAGTGCTGAAACAAGACCCTGCATGGCGAAGATAGTGTAATCTAATAATTTATTTACTTTTTAAAATCTTCAAGGTGCATTTCAGAACGAAATTTTTAACTTTATCAATGCAGCATTTCATGCAAACTGACGTATTTCATGAAGTGGTCTTGGTCTTATATATAAAAAACGTAGCTATGCAAAAACAGGCAAAGAATGCAATGGGTTGGATTCAACAGTCATGAATTTATGATATCTTTCAAGCCAATATGGACAAGTTGCATAACCATAAGCAAACTATTAATTACTCTTTGATTGCGAATCATAATTTCAAGGGGCAATGCACATTTGGAGTTTAACTGAAACAACGATTGTTCAAGTTTAAAGGAGATTGCGCATTGCTACTTCCTTTACATAACTAAATTGGTGCAAGTCGTAGTAAATCCAAATCGTAATAATATGTACACATGTGTACATACGTGTAACACAATGTTTATCCATACTAACACAACAATATCTGTGAATTAATAATGAAACTAATTTGGTAGTGCCTCAGAACAATATCATAACAATCAGGCGGTAGCACTGCTTTTGACTTTATGTACATTCGTGTTTTAATAGCTAATTGATCGTCATGGTGGAGCGAATGCTGCGTGTTGCGGTTCTGAGGATGAACATAATCTGAATTTTCGCAATACGCACATAATTAAATTAGGCTACGTAACATAAGGCAACAAGGTGCATTCTTTAGTGTTTACTCTCATTATTGTGACAATGCACGAATGACACTTTAAAATTAGTTGCATTCACCGACTGAACAAGTTGAGGCATTGTCTGCTACTTGTTTTGTGTCTATCAATAAATATGTACATATGGATGTATGCATGTACATATTTAAATGTACATGTTTAACGCTTGGAACAACTTGGTCACTCGGTCAAGCTGGATACAAGTTTTGACCTCATTTTGAGATAAATCGCAATGAAATAATGTCGTACCAATTGTCTTGTTATAGAATGACAAACGACCAAGTCGCATTATTTATTTCCACAAAATTTACAAAGTATTCCTTATTTATCAGGGTTATTTATTTGTTCAGAAGTACTTGACGAATTTCATGTTCAACTTTCGAATCAAGTCTCTGTGACTGATAAACTGAGTTATCTAAATGGTAATGACAATAATTATCAACTCGTAAAGAACTTATCGTGGATTTTAATTATTGTAATCAATGCGATCCTGTTGATTTTCTAAGTTTAAACTTGTTCCATGCTTCATCGATTTTAACATTTTTCAAGCGAAAGCATTCTTCCACAAAGTCAAATGACTTAAAACAAGTTAGTGCGTTTAGAGTAAGAAATAGTATAAATACGCCGGAAACAATTTTAACTTTAAGGGTAGCAGAAGTTTGGGTCGCATTAGTAAATCCCCAGACGGTTACACAACCAGAAAAAATCAAGGCAAGAATTACCGTGTAGACTTTGACAAATGTTCCATGTTTCTTAAATTCGGTTGAAGATAAGCTGCAAAATAAGTATGTGAGTTGATAAAATATTTCAAAAATAATATAGTAAAGTCCCAAGGAGGCCAATGTCAATAAGAATTGTTCCATCATAGATCTCGCAAAATTACGCATCACACTTATCACCAGGGCTGGAGCAAGGGTGCTCATCGCTATTGAAAAGTGGTCTTACCAAAAATAGTTACATATTATAAAGACTATGTACGAACGAACATGAAATTACCCGTGTACGTATTTCCATACAGTTTTCCAAATACTCCAGTATCATCCGTAAAATTCAGGACGACTATTTCGTAAATTGAATTTGTCACAGTGTACATTGACCACAGAGAGAGAAGCATTGGCAAAGCCAAAAAGTCTACACATCATCCCAGACGAAAATTCATTATTTTTATTCATAATTCATTATTGTCAAGCATAAAGAAAACACCGGAGATTGTAGCGTTGGACGTTGCCAAAATCCTCTCAATGAGAAACATGGTTTGAATAACTGCTTGAGGCTTTGCTTCCAAAACAGTTTCCAACCACAAAGCTGTTAACGTCCAGTCTTTGAACTTGGTTGACAGTTCTTCTTCTACGCCATCATCTTCTGCGATTGCGTTGCCAATTATCTCTTCTGCTGAGCGTTCCCGTTTAATAAGACGGTGAGACTCTGATTCAACAAACAGCCACAACCGACAACTGTCATTCATTTGCATATTATGTATCAGTTCGTTTAAAATATGCATCGCATATATCATCAGGAAATTATGAGACGGCACACGTAGAGATATTCACGAGACACATACCTCACGATAGAAAAAAATGTTGGGATGAACAAGAGGAGAGTCCACACGAATCCCACTTCCTTCGCTTTCTTCTTCATTACTGAGCGGCTAGCAAATTGAAATAAATTGATGCAACAAGTTACGTCTGCAGTCCGCATTGATTTATATAATTTAACGTACATACATGTCTGGATGACGTAAGAAGACAAAAGTTGAGACTACTCCGCATAATAGCACAATGAGATAGGTCAATGTTGCATTAATCAAGTCAGAACGAAATAAATATGAGACTGTTGTTGTAAAATCTAGGATCCAATCAGTCACAGAAGATGCCAATTTTTTCTTTATCCCTGCAATTTGTTCTCCTCCCAACTTTTCCACTGCCCAAGTGATGGGTGAATTGATTGAATAATTTTTCAAGTTGGAAATGATCCTGGTTAGATTACATCCACAGCAAAAATAATTAGTCACAGAAGTTGTAAGGACAAATATTTTCCATGAACCAGGCACAGGAATTGCGGCACTTAATTGATTCCTTTCATCATTTTCAGAATCAGTGGGTTCTAGTTCATTACCGGTCTCCACGATAATCGATTGATAAATATGAGTCGAACGTCGTCGAAGATATGGGTCAAGCTTATATGCTGCACATATTACACGTTAAAATGCAATTTTGAAGTATGAATGAGTATTAATTGTCTTACAATTCTGTTCCGGGACAACCATTTTTGAAAATAAAGTTGATGTTAGCTCGACCAAATATGTGTTTCTTGTAAGAAGCATTATAAACAAGGACGAAAACCTTCCCTGGTTGTTATTTTTTCAATGCGTAATGCGCAAGCGATGGCTGCAAAATTCCACGTTTATAAACATTTCCGGAAATTATTATTCATAAATTGTGAACTCATGCGGTTGGGGTTTTCCTTAAGAATACATACGCAATCGTTTGCGAGAAATTAATTGTCACTTGTGCATATAAATCTGAATCGATATATGCATCACACTTTGCCCTTGATTTCAGTACTATAATTTTGCATACCTTGTAAAACTGTCATTCGCACTATCATGCAACCACCATGAAAAACAATTCATTGTCTGACAGACAACAACCCTTGCTTTATTATCCCATTAGGAAACCTCCTCCTGCGTGACTCTCTTAAACAAACCATCTTCAATTTCGTTGGACATTATGCCATTTGGTTATATGTTGGATGTTTGCTAATGACTTATGCATTTCAATCCGAGAAGAAGCCAATGCACTTTATTCGCCGTGAAAAATGCCACAGGCCATGGACACAAGCAAATCTCATATAACAATAGACAAGATCATCCTTTCATTCTGTAAACCACCCCCAAAATCTTCATTAGTACCATTACGTTCATCCTGGATTACGTTTTAAATACTCCAACTCTCTGATATATGTTACGTAGTATACGATTCGACCAGAATAAGGAACGCATAAGTCGTACATACAAAGTTCTCGGTAATAATGGGGAAGCTAAACCTAAATTATTTTTTAAATTGTATCATTTTATCTTTGACGCTGGTCGCCGTTTCAAATTGCCAATATTTCCCTGAGCTTGGTGAGGTTAGTCTGCATTATATTCGTGACACTATATTCTTGTACATATGTATTCTTGAACACATTCTTTCTGAATTATAAAAAATATCGTGATTGTTTCAGGAAGGGTCGTCTTTCACATATTATGGAAACAACTTGATTCACAAGTACAAGAAGGACTACTTGTCATCCATTTTTGAAAACCAAACAGTAAGAGAGGACTTTACACGCTTTGTAAACAGCCACCTTACGCCTGAGGTGAAGTCTGACTTAAAGGCGGTTAGAATTTACAAGACGATTGGAGGTCAGGACATGCCGGTAGTTAATTTTAGTGCAGATATGGACGGCTGGTTGGGGGTCCTCCCACAATGGAAACGACTCAAGTTTTTCTTCTTCATGCAAATGGAAGCATATGTGGATTCGCATCCAGATATCTTACAACACGCAAGAACTGCCACAACGCCACCCCTCTTTTTCCATAGGAGGACTCCAAACTCTCCAATTAAATAAAATATTTATTATGCTTATGCAAGCAAGGAACATGTTAATGTATACGAACGATGTATATATGTATGCAGTACTATTAGTTGGTACTACGTTACCATCAAACTACTTAACCAAATTAACCCACTTGTTTTGGGCTGTGAAGATTGATTTGAATTTCTTGTATTTGTTTGTCAGTGGATATGATGATCTATTATTTGTACATATGAGTATCAAAGTAATGCTAAATAGTTCTGTACTGAACACTGGATTGAAAAGAATAAATGCACATTATTTCTGTACATATTATTAAGCTCGTAATATCTAGAAGCTAAAAAGTAGTAAATCATGGAGCAAATACCAATCATCGATTTAAACTTTATCAAAGATTATAGCAAAGATTCGGAAGAACAATGGGTTAGTTTAGGGTATGAGATTAGAAACGTCATGGGAAGGATTGGGTTCATTCAACTCATTAATCATGGGATTCCTGAAGATGTTGTAAGCTCGACAATAATTGTGGTAAATATGTATGAAGATAACGTAATGTATATTTTAAGTCTAAAATTTCAGGTAAACAGTGTTTTTGAACTCAACCAGAAATTTTTCGAATTGCCGAATGCCACAAAAATTAAGTTTACCAAGCCGAATAGTATGGAAATGACTTCGTACTACGGTTACACGAAGTTTGGAGAAGAAACCTTCGGAAAAGAGTTTGGGAATCGAGAAAGTTTCGACTGGATTGAAGGGCATGGGGTGTACCCCGACGAGGAACTTCCCAATTTCAGTGTCGCCATAAAGTTATTCCACGAACATTGCAAATCTGTGACTAAAAAACTGTTACGTTTATTTGCCTTGGGATTGGGTCTGGAAGACGTGGATTTTTTTGTTAAGAGGAATAAACATTGGGATGACCCTGATTTCACGGGCATGTCGAACATTCGTCTAGCTTATTACCCTAAAATTCAGGAGGCTAACATCCCTGCAGGAGCTGTACGAATAGGAGAACACACTGATTTCATAACGGTCACGTTGTTATTCCAAGATGAGGCAGGGGGACTCGAAGTTAGAACAAATATGTCATAATAAATACCAATATGTATTATCATTCGAACTGTATTTAGTATACGAAAATTATTAATGTGTACTAGGCAAGGAATTTGAATGGAGATTGGATTCCTGTGACACCAATTAAAGGAGGGATCGTGGTCAACACTGGTGATCTCCTTGAATACTGGACTTCAGGCATCTTCCAAGCTACGGTAATATAAATATTCATACAATAGAGTTGTAATGTCCAAACTACTGCCATTTTTGATTATTAAAACATTGTTATGAACATAAAGCCACATCGGGTCGTTATCCCAGAGTCGGAATTGCTGAAAGCAATGCCTCGATACTCTGTTGTGTTTTTCGATGGCCCCGAAATCAATGCGACCGTGACACCACTGAAAATTTCTAAAACGGAGGAAGAAGAGGAAAGGATTGCCAAGTTGGGAAAGACTTACCCTTCGGATCCTGTTAATGCACGTGAACACGTATTTCGTAAAGTGAAAGCTGCATATGCAAAATAATAATATCGAGTTTATGTGGAAGCACATCTATTAATAACCAATTTGTCGTTTCTAAATGCATAACGAAGTACCTATAAAGCATTTCATAACATATTCTTATCTTAAATTGTAATCGTATATGTAATTATTGGTTGTGGTCAACATCTTATTGATGATAAATTTATATGATGCAGCAGTATTGCAATGTTTGATTACGTAGACAAATTTATTCTGCACAGCGACATGTACATATTTGTACGCATGCATCCTTCTTTTATCGTCTGTGTGCTGCGAGAATTAGAATTACTTATGCACAACCTTTTAACTGCTGCATACATACATACGACTCCATACAGGAACCACATAATATGGTTGGCTTCTTAAAGAAGATCACCTTTGAATAAGTTAATCTGTTAGTATTGCGCATATGTATGCTCACCAAGTTTTTTTCATTGAAGTGAGAACGGCAACAAAATTACCAACAACTTCCCAATGACATCAGTCTCTGACCAATGCTCAACCAGTTCTAAATATAGGGACAAAATAATACTCAGCACGCGTTGTTTATAGAATAATAAATATATACAAAATCGCCCTATTTGGAAAGGAATATTTCAATTAATTTGAGAAAGCGGTACTTAACTTAACATTTCGCAACTTCAGTCCTAACTTTTAATACCGACATAAATTATTTATAGATTGAGTTCATCATGGAGTACTCCACTATCAAGTACACTGTGATTGGGTTTGCAATAATCTTGGGAGTATTTCAATACTCTGATGGGCAGAAGGATCACGGGGAAGCATGCAGCTTACGGTCACAAATTGCCGACTTTTTTCGATCGAGCAATTCCTCAAAAGGCTGCATTTCTGAAAAAGGTCTCGTTTGTGTGAACCATAAATGCACCTGCATGGATCCGAGTAATGTTTATGAAGTTCCAGAACCCACTGAGTCAGGGTCGATGGGTTCGGATATTTCATCCGCAGCCTCGGCAGCTTCCTCCTTTATCAAGAATTTGATTAGGGGATCAACTACCACAACGACCACAACGACGACGCCGTCAACCCCCACATCGGGGGCGGTAATTAGTGGGGGAAAATGTGTGGGTCGTGCAGGAAGTCCTTGTTTCAGACAAAACAGCACTTGCGTCAAACACGCCGTTTGCGAAGGGTCACCACGCATTTGCAAATGCCAAGGAATCTACGGTTCAAATGGGTCCGGTTATTGTTCAAAAACAGCAAACGTTGTGAGCCAAGTTATCAAAAGTACAGTGGGTTAAACATAAATAATTTTCACAGCTCGAGGAAATTACGAATATTTGTCTATATCAAACAAATTAAACGAAATAAAAATGTCTCAAATAATGATAATTGTGTATTTTGTAGTCATTTTTAATTCAATAAGAATTGACAGTGGCAAGCTTTGATTTTGTGTGTTCAAATGCTTTGAAACGTTGAAAGGAGTATGCTCCAATTACTGGAGATTGTAATGGCTCAACAATTGTGTTGCTGTCGGGATGAAGAAAATATGCAATAGACTGCCGTGCAATTCTTTTCTTGATTTCAGATTCCGGTATGAGGACACGGTGCTTCTAATAAGTTGTATCAAACAAGAATATTTACACCGAAATTAAATATATCGGAAAATTAACAGAATTAATGAGGCATATTACCGTAGCAGGAAAATATCCACCAGTCCATGCTTCCAGCAAATCCCCAATGTTGATTATGACTGCGTTAGGAATAGGCGTAGCTGGTATCCATTTTCCATTCGATGTCTTAATCTAAGTAATTCAAATTCAAGCGAGTAAGAAACATGATACTGTGCATTTGTTAATTTGTTATCTTTGTACCTCAAGTCCTCCTATAGAGTCTTGAAAAAGAAAAGTTAAAAAATCGAAATCAGAATGTTCCTTCACTCTGAATTCGCCTTGAGGGATCTCTACGTCTTCTGGAATCGCAGGATAGTACAAGGACCGAAAGGTTTTAAAACTTGGCACATCTGGGTTGCAGAGCCATTGGGACCGTTGTAAAAAATAATTATCGTCATCCAATTTCAAACCAATGCCAATTAACTTGAAAATCGCCTTGGCCAAAGGTTTGCACTTCTCTTGCAAATTTTGCAGTTCTTCGAAAAAGTTTAGTTGATCATTTCCATGCTTCTTCATTCGTCCTGTCCAGTCGAAACTTTCTCTAACTTCAAAAATACTACCACAACTCCTATCTCTGTACCCTTGGCCATGGTAGCCCTTTGGGGACTTGTCCTCGTACTTGTAGCGGAGCTTTTCCTCAGCCCCTTGCTCAAAGAAGGTTCTACTGGCGCTGAAAGCGTTTTTAATCTGTACGAAACCAGTATAAAATGCTAGTGGTAATTTAAATTGCATAATTATGCTTGCGTGGTTTAAGTAAGAGTGACCTGATTCAGATCAATGCCATGATTGTCTAAATATACGAATCCGAAGGAATGAAGGGCTTCCACTATTTGATGTCCAATATTTTTCCAAATGTCACCGTCTACCTCAGTTTCACCCAACTGAAAAATTGGTTTGAAATCTACAACAGGAATAGTCGCCATAATTTTGTTCAAATGCACTGAACTAAATTAAACTTCGTATTATTTAGTCGTAAATAAGTAGCTACATACATAGAATGATCATCATGTCATTAAACCGAAACCACGTAAATACATATATATAATCACGAGGATCATTCTATGATCTTTAAGCAGAGGTCATGGCCAAATCGACTGTGGGAACTACAGATTTACTACTTGCATTGATCGACTCTTTTTTTCGTGAAAGCAATTTCACCATTAAAACATTCCAGGTTTTTAACATGTTGTCACGTTTATTCATTCAACTCATACTCAAAATACTTGCCGTTTCGTTCAGAGAATTGGCGTCATGCCAAAACCAAGTCGGATCAGGACAAAAGCATCAAATTAGCGATGTGAAGGGAAACAAACGTGTTTCAGTTGTGACAAAATGCGAGTTGTTGTTTTAAAAGGAAGGAAGTCAACCTTGACTCGAGAATGATATGCAATCACTTTCTCATGAATGGCTTGCCCATTTCCCGTCGTCCAATACTTGAGATAATTTTGTAGCAAAACTCAAATGCTGTTGTCCAACCAGAACATATCCTTCATATTTCCAGTCAGTTCTCGTTCTTCTCAAGGAATACAATAATACTATTATTATTATTTATTTAGATTCTGTCACCAATTAAGCTCTGGAGGTTAGAATTTTTGGTTTCTTCTCATAGACATGAAAATTTATATGTACTCTCGAATTGTGTACATACAACATACTATTTCTCTAGATCTGCTAACTGTTGCTCTTTTTGTTTTTAGGAACATTTCTAATGATTTAATTTAATTTCATTGAACTAATCAATCAATATTGGATGTGGACTACACTTTTGTACCGAAGATGGTTTAAGCAGGTAAAGAACGCAATTCATTTTTGATGGATGTTTAATTATCCGTCGTAAATTTAACATCGATATTTTCATGGTATAATAAATTTGGGATTAAATTGTGCAATGCAATGCTGCTATTGGTTTTTTAGTTAGTTCAGATTGAGGGGGGCCACTAATGCGGAGAATTGGAGAAAGTTTCCAACAACAATTCGGCAAGACTTAAAGGCTATAAGAAGAATATCACATGAAAGAAATTACGCCTTTTGGGAAATTGGGGCCAGAAGTATGTGTGGCACAGATGGAGATAAGGACACAGACAAGAATGAAGCAGATCCAAAGGAAGACGTGGACAGCAAAGGGCTCAGCACTGAGGAAGCCTTCGAACGTAAGACGAAGTTATAGATAATTAATCCAACAATGCTTGTTTTATTATGATAACTAGTTCATAAATTTATAACATTTAGATATAATAGCACCGAAAAAGTTCATTTAATAATATATAAGAATGACAAACGATTAATCACATAGTTTAACGACGAACACTTTTCGGTTAGGTTCAGTCTTTTCATCACACCGGTCAGTCTCATGATTTGGATTAGCACCATTAGTAATAGTTTTGGTTGAGGATTCCGAACGGTCAAGCACTTTGGTGACAACGTTGATGAGATCTGAAACTCTAGGGACTCTAGCATACTCGACGCCGTCGTCGTCATCATCACTGCTTAACTCTTCATTTTGCGCCAGCTCCTCCCTGAACATGTCGAAGTTGGGCTCATTCTGTTGATCCAAGTTTCCCTCTACATCCACCTTAAAGGTCACAGGAATAAAGCACGGAACGTCTGCATTCGAACTGCAAATTATACATAATTAGATTACACATTGTTATATCACATATTGAAGGAACCAGTATCAAAATGCATGCATACCTTTTTCGTCCTCTCTGCACCAGAAGTAAACGGTTCACGTTTTTGGCCTGTTGTTGCTTCTTCTTCCAGGATTGTAAACGCAGTCGCAATTTGCAATTCTCCGCCGTTAGGATTGAAAGCTTATCGTTATACCTTAAATACAAGTATAAATGAAATGAGCATATTTATTGAAATGAGTTATGTATTTCCAATCATCATGAAAATTATAAAATTACTCACCCGATTTCCATCTCACACATCTCGTCCCTAACTTTCTCCAACTGTCGTCTTGCCATAATTAGCTCCTCCTTGTCGTCCAACTGAACATTTACGGCTGGTCCAAGCCAAAGGTCATTAACTGACCGTAAGGCGGCTCGGAGTTGTTCCAAATATTTAGCGAGCCACTCATAACATTCCTTAGGCTTTACGGAACAGATAGATCCTGTTTCGTTACGTGTAAACCATTTCAGTTGCCCTGCGACCCACTTTGATGTTGCCACCATCCCTGTGACCTCGAACGCCTCGTTTGAATCGAAGAAATACCCCTTGTTGAAAAGTTTCCTGTGGAAATAACAGCATTGATTAGATTGAGATACATAAAATATGAAACTTGACTCTCCACAATATAAATACAATAATTAATATTATACCCACCTATCTGTACAGCCTTTATCCTTGTCGTGGACAAGATGTTTCCATTTATTTTCAGCTGCTAGTTTGGAATCCTCCTCATTCAGTCCAAAATACACCTCCACGATCTCGAACGTCACTCCGTCACGCCATATGTATCCAAAGATCTTCTTAGAAGTCACTACAAACAAAAAAAAAGTAGAATAGATAAGTAAGTTGTTCATTCCATCATATCATTTTGCATACATACTTTCATATTTTAACATAATCAAGAGATTACTAGTTTTAATCATCTTGTCTGATTATTATTATTACTTACCCAGTTCTTCTTCTGTAAGTTGGACGTAGGAAATATCTGTGTTCTTATCCTCAGATTTATAGCCCCACCCCTGCTTATGGCATTGCCCACCCACTTCATCAAAAACGACTGGGGTCTCAAGTCGCACAACTTCAAGATTTTGAAATTGTTGTTTAATCAGTTTCAAATAGTATTCACTTTTTATTATGACACATGGTACAATTTTATCACCGGGATTTGCTTTATATTTACGGTAGTTTTCAAGACTTATTTCTGCTGGTGAAAGTGGTTCTTATCTTCCGCTTTCTTGGTTCCTTTATCTGCATGCATGGTGGCAATGTGTGTTGTTAGGTTGAAACTGCTGAAAAAAGACACTGAACAACTTGGGCAGCGTAGATGTTCCTTCGAACTATGAGTCCGCCGGATATGATCTCGTAAAAGGATATTAGTGGTAAATTTTTTGTCACATTGGGGACAGTTGATTTTATACACGTCGTCGTAATGTTGACGTTTCATATGGAGAGTTAGAGAATTCTGTTTTTCAAACGTCATAGCGCAGAACTTACATTTTATATTTCGTTTAGGTTTTGAATTTTCTTGCTGACTACTGACACAAATGTTTGATTTCATATGCCTATTTAAGTTAGATTTGGAGTCGAAATTATTATTGCACATGGTACACACAAACTTTCCACGATTCTCATGACTACTTTTCATATGAACCTTTAATGACGATACCGATTTGTACGTTCTATCACATAAACTGCACTTAAGTTTTCCTCCGGTACGATTGCTATTTTTTAAAGCTTTATCCATGTTCTCACTTTTTCTATCACCACCGCACTTAAAACTTGACTTGGTAACTTACACCGGAGATACTACTTATCTATCGTCTATCACTAAGGTGAGTCGATACCTACACTGAACTAAGACTAGGTAATATTTCGTATTATCTTTTTTTGCAAGTAATTCATATTTAAGAGGGACTACATTGATGAGAGAGTGAGAGAACGGAGAAGAAGCGACGAGTGGAAAAGTAAACAACGTTGGGATTTAAGTTTTTCCGCGTCTCCTCTCACCCCCACTCGATTAAGTCCCTCTTAAAAGTATTACTATTTGATAGGACTCATCACTGCCCTCACGGAAAAACTCGAAGCTCATAAAAGCATTGTTGGGAGGTAATTTACTTTTTCGACAAGAGAAAAATTATTATTTTTTCTTAGAGGATGTTGTATTTTATAAAATGTCACTGTTATAGGAATTGGAGAGAAATTCTGCAATCCTCCCTAAGTACGAGAAGCCGACATTCCACCATGTATGAAACAATTTGTATGAAATTAAATTCACTTATTTATTAGGTCCATATTTACAATTTTCCTTTTCAGAACTTGGAGTTCTTTGCTCATTTTATTGGCTGAAAGTATCATTATTTTTACACTCTACACAACAGGATTTAGTCATATGTAAGATGAAAATGACTTCAATAAAATAACACATACAAATACAATTACGCCATTTTCACCATTTTCATAGGTGGACCAATCTGCTCCCGGAAGGCCTCGTAATGTTTTTCTTATTCGTCTTTAATACCACCTTAGTCATTTGGGGAAACTACAAGCGAGTAAATGAATTGCCAACAAAGCTGGAAAAGATAATCATTCAGTTACGCGGTATGTTACTAATATTTTTTATTGCCTTTGATAATGAAAACAACTCCTCAGTCTAATAATTTAAATATACAAATGGATATTTTATAGAGCTAATGGCATCCGAAATTCTTTGGGAAGAAAAAAATTATCCGGATTTGTTTATGCCAGTATCTCCTTGTATTTCACTGCAGTGGTGCTATCGTGATGGAAAACTAGTCAACCTTCCTTGGGTAAAAAAAAACTTGCAGTACAATTTCTAGGCACACATTAATCGTTCTTTTGAATTGTAGGCCTTGTTAGTCCAAGGGGACGTCATTGTTCTTCATGCAGCTCAGAAAATAGTTGCCGATTGCGAACTTTTAAACGTTAGCAATCAATTATTATTTATTCATTCATGCAACATAGTAGCAATATCTAAAGTATTAATGCACAGGATCCGGATGTGATTCTTAAGGCTGGAGAAATCTATTCTCCTAATCCTCCTGAAACTGAAAATAATTTAGAAACTGAAAATCCAATCCAGCCACCTCGCCTACACCCACCTTTGTCAGAACGTGAAGCCATAGTCACTGCGGCCCCCTATCTGGAAATGGTCGATCTTTGTTTGGATATTTATTTACATCGACCACCATCCTTTTACAACAAAGAACGACACACTGTTGTGGCCCGTATTGTGGAGTGCGTACTACTACCCTTGGCAATCATGACATTTGTTGCACTCTGCTTGGTCCGCATGTTTTATCTTCCACATTGGCTGGGAATAAGAGTGGTAAGGGAATAAACAGGGCTTATTAATTTCAATAAGGTTTGATAATGATAATAACTGAATAACCCTAATAAGTCTAATGAAGTTTTGGTTGACTTATTGTACAGGCCCGGTGGGCAGACATTATTTTACTGCAACCTATGGCTTCAACCTTTCCTCTAATTCCAATTGCACTTCCAACGTTATGGACATTACTGCAATGTATTGGTAACGCAAAATTGTGGAAAGGGTTGCGTATCTGGGGGTTCTCAATCGATAAGGTTATTCCCAACTCTTATATACATACTTATTGCATAATGTTTTTGCCAGGTTTTCAATATTCAATTATTCTTACAGGATATCTTGGCAAGCCCAGGAAAAGGAGAAAAAGTTGTTCTTAACGAATGGAAACAGCAAACCCGAAATTTCATAGAATCAATTAAAAACATCAAATCTTTTTTTCTTGAACGCGAAGAAACACTGCACCGATCTCAGAAAGTTTTAGATATCTTGGCATCTACGACAGCTCTCTGTTGTGTTGATAAGAAGGGTATTCTCTCCTGGCCAAATCCCACTGCTGATAAACTGTTTTTCTTTCGAACCGTCCCAGGACAACACCCAGAAGAAAGTTCAACCTCATCTGAAAAGCCCCGAGATCCACAGCGAAGAAAGAGTTCAGCATCACTTCCGTCCATTCCAATGACCACAATTGCTGAAGTGCTTGATATAACGGTGGATAGCAACAATGAACTCCATTTTGACGATACCCATTGGGAAAATTATTTAGGTACGCAAAATTAGCTAGTGCAACGGATTTGGAATAAATGCACTCAATAATTTCCAACTCGAAGAAAGCAAGGAATTAGTTGTAATACAAAGGATCTTACTGCTATTTATAAATAAGTTGGTACTAAAAACAATTAATTTTAAATAAATTTTTTAGGTAATCTCAAACCCTTGGGTTTGAATATTCTACTAAACACATGCAATCCACAAACTCAAGAGACTTATTCGTCATTCCACTCTCATATCAGCCACGAAGTAATGTTCAGTAAGAAAAATATCAAATCCAGTTATGGGTTAGTGATCCCAGTTACTTCGAGACGGTATGCAATATTCTGAAAATATGGGACATTGAGTACTGAGTATTTATTTATATGACTCTAATAACATTCCTTTTATATCAAACTATTACAGATGCTTATGTGAAGTTGCAAATATGATTGGTTTCAAGGACAAGGGTAAGACTTCTGTTAAATTAATTAATCATGTAGTTTAAGTTTTCAAAAAAATGTCTTAAATTTGTTAAAGCCACCACTGCATTTACTCTGGAACAACAGCTATGTTCTTATCGACATATTGAATCAGATCAACTGAGTCGTGATCAACTAACTAAAGCCAAAATCAAATTCCCTTTCCCTCACATGATGAGCATTGTTATGAAGGAAAAAGCCAGTCACACACTACAACTATTCTCTCAGGGAACAGGGGATATTGTTACTGACGTCTCTGAAGATTTTTGGGATGGAAAAGATTTGCGTCCAATCAATGAAAATGAAAGGAAACTCATTAGTGATTTTTATCAGGTGATTTTTTATTAAAACACACAATAATCAAACAAACACTATTCTTTGCTTGTATTTATCTTGCTACAGATAGGAATTTAAAATTAAAACCGAGAAATGCTTAATTTTTAAACTGTAATTCTTATCAGCGATCGTCTTTAAGCTCTATCTGTACGGCTTTCGCATACAGACCTGTCCAAACTACGGTACGTATCATAAGGACCATGCATGCGATGTTCTTGAAGATGTAATAATTTATTATTGTTATATGTTCCTAGGTTAACCCGTCCATTGCATCTCTGTACATGGAGCTACCTCCTTCAAAAGGTTTACGAGTCCATCCTTCTCAAAATCAAGGAATACGAAATTCAAATCATCAGAACTCTCCTGGATTCTTAAATATGCAGGATTCACAAGAGTCACACATATCAACTGGTACGCACTACGTAAAAATGTGTCACAGTGTTGTCATCATGTTGAAATCTTCTCTACTCCTTCTCTTGTCTACCAATTACTTAAAATGCATTTATTTTTACACCAATAGACTGTCTATTAGACCTGCACAAAATATCCAACTCAGAAATTCGTGACGTTCAAGGGTCTCTGGATTTGCAAATTGGGCAAATTTTTCTCGGAATGGTTACAATGCAATATGCAGCTTGTATTGATATTGTAAGTTTAACAGCTAAATATGTAGTTGTAATTATCATGTAATCGTTTAATGAGGTACGTATGTATATAATCCTCCTTTTTATACTTAAAATGATGCTTGCAATTCTCTCAGGTCTCTCTAATCGAGCAATTGGATCAAGGTTGTATAAGATTCGTGCATTTTTCCAAAGAGAATGAACTACGATCCCGAGTATTTTCTGAAAAGATGGGGCTTGAATCGGGGTGGAACTGTCACATAAGTTTAGCTGCTCCAGAAGATGCCACCTCGTCAAAGGAACATTTGGATACCTTATCATATCTGAACCATCATGAAGATACTACTGTTTGCCAGGAAAATGAAGAAATTCCTATGTGTCGAAATAATAGATTAGGAATAAAACGGTCAAGTTGCCCAAAACCATCGAAAACATTGTTGTCTCCAGAAGAAACCGTCTTGCTCCCAAGGTGCTCTGCATCAGTACCAGAAATGGTCTTGCTTTCCCAGAATTCTAGTGCTGAAGATGATGAAGGAAAAACTGAAGCCAGCAGCAGCCATAATAACTCTGCCACAGCGAAGAATTCCTTTAATGAATCTTTGTCATTTGCATTTAGCAGCGACGAGGAGGAACCAAGCACAGTACGAGTACGATTTGAGGAAAAGAATTTAAACGTTGGAGCAGATCAGAAAAATAGTAATCGGCCATCTTCAATTTTGGGGTCTACCTCTTCAGCCGTGCTGTCTCCTGACAGTTTCCCAGAGATGTATGAACTTACTGAACACCCCACACCACTCGGAATTGACTTGACGAATAGAGTAAGTTAAAGTATTAAGATGTTACTTGAAATTTTAAATGATTGTTTGAACTTTTACAGGCCCAACTTCCTGTAGGGATTGAAAATATTCGTCCTCATCTCGATTCTGTTGATAATGTTCCATTGCTTGTCTCATTATTTACGGACTGTAATGCAGAAAATACAGGAGAAATGATCAGTATTATGCAGGATTATGGAGAAATAACATTGCTGTTGGGTTCAGCATGTAATTATGAAAATAGATCGTTGTTTTTGCAAGCGGATGCAAGGTACATGCATAATTTAAATAATTAATTTTCATGAATTGTATGTATTCGTAACAAGTTTATTTTATTAGCGTTGCAGTGGAACCGTTATATCCACAATCTTGTCAAAGAAGGCCAACATTTGTTGAACCGAAAAATGGTTGTGCATCTCCGACAGATATTGCAATGCTGCTCACTTCACTACCCTGCGCTTTATCACTCAAAAGAAAAGACTGTTCACTGTTTTATGATTTAATAGCCCAAGCGAGACACTTTATGAATAAATGTGTTCGTAATGCAATACAGGTAAGTAACTATGTCCATTTGTTTAAAATTCGTCTAAACTTTGAAAGTTTTCAATTAATCAAGAATACAATTCTCGCAATTTTTACAGTTTTGGATTTGCTGCAATTGTTCAGTCACTTTTTTAGGATTACTTGCATTGTTAATGCTGCTGCCACCATTGTTTTCTTTAAGCGATAGCATTTGGCTGAGTTGTATAATAATCCCTATTTTAACAATGGGACTTGCATTCTCTATAATTAATAGAGTCGACATATCCGTAATGAGTGCTCCAAGTTTTAAGAACCAGATGATAATTGATCGGCAGGTAACTTTCGAGTTTTTAAGCATATTTTTGTATATCGATTTACATAACTTTTTGTAAATGTTGATGTTGGAAATTTCAGATGGTGGTGTATAGCTTCTGGTGTTATGGAATGAAGTTTATTCCGTCCGTTGTGAACGTCGTTTTAATGGCACGTATATAATCCTCATTTTTTATTTAAACCATACTTACAATTATTTGAATCATCAGGCATCGTTTAACCTTCGTTGGATTTGCGAACATCTTCCCAACCCAAACTCAACAGCATGTTCCTGGGTTTATCCTATTACGTTAAAAACACAAGCACTCGGAGAAGTTAAACAACCCCCTCCAGCCATTTTATCCATGACGGAAAATTCAGCCCCACGACCTACACAGTGTATTTCAACATGGAGCTGTGAAAATCTAAATCGACTAATCTTTGTGCAACAATTTAGCATATTTTTTCTTGTTTTATACTTTGGTGAGTGTAATGCGAAAGTGAAAGCAATGCAATGAGAAACGTCTGTGACATGTTTAACAATTTAATTATCCTCAATCCTAGTAATAATATCGTCATGCTTTGTCTATCGATCCCGATATTTGTGGAAGAGAAATCCTGCTGTGAACAAAGTATGGGTCTCAACAAGCATATTCGTGTAAGGTTATGTTTTTTAAACTTATCAAGTAATGGTGTAAATTACATAATGAACCCTCATCATGTGCATTTCAGATTACTCTTACAATCCTTGCATTGGGTAATAAAAGTGGGATCTAAATCTCCTACGTATGATCTTTTACCTGCATATTCTTATATATGGGGCTTCTTGTTTGCTCCTCTTGCGCTGACTTTTAACGAGCTAATTCGTCGTTATGAAATCAAGTAAGAATTGTAGATATTGACAATATTTAAGCAAACAAATTGAACCTGAACTTATATATCTTTTTTATTTACAGGGCAAATATACGTTATGAAAAACGTGCTCGTCTAGACTTTGGCACAAAATTAGGAATGAATTCTCCTTTTTAATGGTATTTAATAATTAACCCACTTACATAATTATAAGTTATAATTTGTGACTAGTCAGTTTATTCCCAATAGCATTCAACTTTGGTGATATGCTATTTTTGATGTAAATGTGATTTTTGTCTTTAGTCAATTTCAGTCAATTTCAAAGGTTCAGTACAATTTAATTATTTTATTCAAAACATGATACTTTGTGGCCAACAAAAGTATTTTTTATTGTGTCACAAATAAACCTGCGAGACTGAGTAATTGCCAACCAAAACATCAAACAACCTTCATTTCTCATCTAACAAGCACAGTAATATTATTATTCACTAATATCACAACTATGCATTATTTTACTTGCAAAGCAGTAGGGACCATTATACTTTTGTTACTTAAATTTTAAATCTGTGCAACCTTGATCAGGTATTTTAGAGATCATTTTCAACATACTCCAGCAATTTCAACTTGAGGTTCATTTAACGTGGTACTTCCTTCCAAATTATCCACCGTTTTTTCTTCTAGTAATTCCTCAGCATGAAGTCTAATAGCGTTTACAAATTCGCCAACTAAACGTTCCATGTAATGAAACGGTTTTCTGAACGGAAAAATTCCCTCCAAAAATCCCAGATGACCACCACGTTCGGTCACTATCAAAGCTAGATTAGAACCTTTCTGAATAGCTTGTTTTATTGGTAAATCCTCTCCTGGTTGCATTGGATCGTCGATTGCATTTAATCCGAAGACAGGTATTGAGAATTTGTGAATTTCTGGGGTAATTTGTGCAGCTAAATATAATAATAATCAATATTTAACCATATCATTAACATGATACTCATATCAGATTATAAAAAGGGATAACAACCTGTATAATATTCCTCCCACGAACTGAATCCGAACTGGGGTGCCGTGAAATGGTGGTCAAACTCCCGAATTGTCTTTACGCTGAAAACTTTATCAAAGTCCCAACAATCCCTTCTAGACTCTAAAACTGTTCGGTGCCTATTGTTATTCACAACCAACAATTTAGAAACATGAAAGGAAAAGGAATATTATGAAATCATTGCACAAAATAAATTTGAATTTCACCGTTTTGCAAGATTTTGAAGATTTGAAGTTAATGTATAGTTTACAATATATTTGTTGAGAAAGGGTTTTTCTAGACTCGCATTTCCTATCATAGCATCCCAACAAATTGATATCACTAGTGCTGCGACAAAGGTTGATCGGGCTTCATCTGGCCAACTGATCACGTAGCGACTTAGCATCATCCTAAATACAATATTTCAAAAATATGTATGACAATTTGTGAAATGGATAATAATTAATAATCAGCATAAGGTGTGTAGATACCCTCCTAGTGATGTTCCAATTGCCAGAAACTTGGATTTTGGATATTGTGACTTTAAGTGAGCAATAACTTCGCGAATATCTTCGTTATTTGTGCAACAATACGTGCGTGGAGTTTTCAAGGGGACTCCCCCAAGACCTCGATTGTTTAGGACGGCCACGATTGCATTGGATTTAACAATTGTCATCGCCAGGGTTTTCACATAGGACGTATTAGAAGAGGAAGTCAGACCAGGCAGAAGGAGTACAACCAACCTACGCGCATATTAATTATTATAATGTACAGAATATGATAGACAACCCTTTACTGACAGAATCACAGATTTTGATGCCCTTTGGATATGCTGTAGTAGTAGATGGGTCTACCAAAAATGAAGAAAAGTTTTATTCCATTAGCTCAATTTGCGCCCCCTCGTCACACACAAAAGGGCGAAAAACAGGTAAAACACCGTTTTGGCTCATTAAAACTTTAATGAGCCAAAAATTTTGATCGGATTTTCATAATTTTAGCATTTTCATTATCTTAGGATTACATAGTTGTTTTGGCATATACAATGTCAAACTCTACTTTTGATTTTTTTCGAAAGTGCTAAAAAATAAATCTAAAGATGCTTTGCATGAGTGTTTTTTGATAAAGCAAAATCAAATTTTAAAAGATACATTGACATCGGATACGATATCCGGGATAAAAAAATCCGAAAATTATCAAATCTGATTAAAACCCTCCTTAAGTTTTCGTTCACTCGCCTATAGCGTATCATATCCAAAGGACATCAAAATCGGATTCTATCGGTCAAGGGGTGTCCCCTATTTGGTATACATGACTATTACAAAATGAAATATGTAGTACTTTGGCTCATTCGCAACGTCGTCACTACTTTCACCAAGAAAATCCACAGCCAACTGTCCTCCATCTTGTAATTGAAGAATTTGTCTTCGGTATGGCAATTTCTCTGTTCTTGCAATTCGCAGATTGAGTCCTAAAGCAGATTGCAGCCTTCCCTCCCATGAAAACCAGGATGGCCAATAAGTATCTTTTAAACTTGGCATGTTTTTAGAAAGAAAATTCTGAAGGGTTCCATTGTTTGCATAAATCTTGGGTTTCTACATATATATCAAGCGTGTTATAAATTACTAGACGTGAATCATATGTAATCCTCTTTTACATAAAAGCAGGTAACTTACATGAGCCACATTAAAAACGTAATAGGTTGCCAAAACAGCTATAGATGAGACAGCCGTAATCGCTCTGTACAAGTTAGTCTCATCATCAGGCAAGTCTTGGGTCATTTTATCTACAGCAATTCAACTCCAATCTGCAATTCATTATATCAAAATTGAATATATTATTCAACAATATGGAATAGGGCACAAAATTACGATTGCATAACAGATACATAAATAGGTCGGTTTTGACGTCATTTGGCTCCGCACATTTTTTTGCAGATCAGATATGCACTTGTTAGGACTTGGAAAATAAAGATCGCAGAAAGTTAGCCATGGAATAAACCCAATGAGCTAATAGGTATTATGTATACCTCAACTGGCTAAGACATATATATGTAAGTGCATACTTATGGACCCTTGTGTACACACATGCAAAATTAATTAGAAAGGATTTACTTATTTTATCCAGCTCAATGAAGTTGGACTTTGTGATGAACCCAATAGTCTTATGAATTGTCACAAATGCAGATCAAGCTATCAGCAGTCCAAAATCCAATATCCAATGACCACTGATATATCAAATATGTATACGATTCGAGGTAAAAAAAAGACAAGTAGGAAACCCATTTCTATTAATCGTTCGTGTGGACAACCGCATTACATATTCATTTGACACACTCTTATGTATTTGCATCATTAGTGGAACATGTGCAGTATGTGAGTAATGAATATTTGATGCAAACAAATGCATTAGCACAGCACGCTCGTTGCAAATATGTAGATTTTTCCAAACTTAGAAGATCATTGTACATTAGTATTTGTTCCTCTAATACTTGATAAAAGATGATAATTATTGGTAATTGACAATTTAAGAAAATATTTTCATTTTGTCTCAAAGCAAATCCCCAAGATATGTATCTGATAACAGTCCTGCCCTCGTTAGGAAATATACAAGTTACATAACCAAGAAATACATATGTATGTACATTTTCCAATCATGTTACATGTTACATAACCAGAAAAGATAAGGTTAGATTCGGTATCAGTCTTTCACTGTCCGCATAAAAAACATAGTTAGGTTTCATTTTAATTCAACAGTCAGACAGACATTTTAGGCCAAGGTCTTCGCAATGAGAGATATCAAATATGAGAGTACAAATGTATATCATTGCCATTTATCCCTCTCGCCCATTCACCCAGTCGCAATGTAGTTATGCAATCTATTTACTATTGCAAATGCAAACTTTCCATTTTTATATTTACAGAAAAAACACAAATCAAATATGGGGATAAAGACGTATTTATGTCCAGATGCATGAACTTAGATCATCCTGATCAGATTAAATAGCGGTCACCTTATTCACATTTGTATTATATATCAAAATCTCAACAAACAATAATTAAAACAAATTATGGTACCGGCTTACCGGTTTCTACCCACAGATTGATCTTCCACTTATCACTTAAACTGGTGCAAGATTGAGCAATTTGTTCTGGAACTATTAAAACGGAGGTTATTTGTAAAACATTTGCGTATAAAAATTTGACACTTTTCCCATAAAGTCACAATTATTGTCCTCTTGAGTAAAATGTTGCCAGTGAGAATTTTTAATATTTGCCTCAAAGCAGAACGAGACGATGGTGCAGAGGAAAGTAGGACACAGACTGCATTTTACATATACGAGAGAGCTACTTGGCTGCAGATTCCCTCGATTTGAGAAAGGTTAAAACTATCCGTAAGCCGAGTTTCTTTTCATGGAGAGAACCATGCGCCATTCTCGTGCCTACATATCTATCTGGCACCGCAAGTGACAGTCGCAATGCTCAGGTGAATTATTAATAATCTTTCCCAACTAATAACCTAACCCACAAACCCTATCATCACCTACGGAATTCGTTTAGCTGGTTTTTCTTGGTTGCATCGGCATCGGTACCGATTTTATGTATGGATTCAAGCATCAAGAAAATACAGTGAAGTATGGAGCGGTATTAATCCCCCTGTGTATTATATTCTGAATAATATCTATCAGGCTTACTAGTAATCTAGTTTTTTTTTCAGACTAACAAGTAAGAAAGTATTGCATGGATGGATGCATTTTACCTGCGGGCAGTGCGAAGGTTGAAACTAACGAAATTTTTAGAGATTTTTAGAGAACTCACAGCAAAATTGCAAATGCATGAAAATGACGTAACTGACTGGAGACTGGTATTTACCTCTCGTAGCCTTGGAATGTAAAGCGGCCACAACTTATCGAATCTTAAAATGGGGCGAAAATTTCTTAAAATTTTGCGTTTAGAGAAAAAGTTTCAAATGTATCACTATATGAACACACGGGAATAATCCAACTCGTCGGAACAGAACTTTGACTGGGTGTGAGAATAAAGTGAATAAACGCAGTCATCAAATCCATACGTCATCAGACAAATGATAATGCACGCGACATACAATTTACAACTGACTGAGATTGGTGTAATAAACCGAGAGTCACTCCCGGAATAAATTTTCTTGGTAATTTGAGTTTCCATTGGTGACCAGTCAGTGCATACATTTATACATTTATACGCTTGTATGGCCATGATATTATTTAGAAGTATGTACATGCATACGCTTCTCTTTGGCACAATCACAGAGATACATATATATTATTATACATAAGCATTATATTCGTGCACAGAGTAAAATATTTATTGCATGTACTTATTTCGCTTGCAATAGACATGGAACTTGCTATAATTCTGCATAGATTTGACCAATTATTGACTTTACTTGAACCAATTTAGTAGTTACCAAACTTGTCATTGTGGTGTCAAGCGGCTTATTATTAGTGATTTACATTTGCAGATTTCTACATGCTATGGAGAGAGGCTGCAAAGGAATAAAGTGTATCATGAATGATTCAGGAATTGCATAATACATATTTTCCCAAACTAGCTCAAAATACCTCAACTAGTTATATATAGGTGCACATATATATTTATCAACTGCATCTGATTAGAATATTAAGCTCTTAAAAATAATATGCTATTCGAGTTTCCCTTTATACGTAAATATGAATATAAGTACGTACACATTCCACATTTTTGCGAATTTTTGAAACCAATCCGTCATTTATCAACATGATTTTGAATGTAAATACATATTCTTCGAACACATTCAAACTTGGAAGAAGAATTTGGCAACACTTTTTGGGGAATATGTAACGTGTGATAACCTCTGAAGCTCAACATTGTCATAAAAGTACTGCATGGCATTGCAGTCTGTGGGGGAGTGATAAGTCTTGTATTGTGCCTGGTGCCTAGAAAATGTAGATTTTATTTTTCTTAAATAGAGGAAATTCAAATGACTAAAACATTTAGCAGGCATTCTTAACATTCGTCTTATTACTCTAAATTTACGCACTTTAGTTGGTTGTCATTATTTTTAACACAGCTCTTCATCACTGCTTGCATACTAAATACTTATTACTTAATACTCAGGCACTCTAAATAACGATTTCCATTTGACCCTCTAATCCATCCACAAGGTTTCCATTTGGTCTCATTACCAAATATTCCCCATTATCATGAAGGAATTGAGAATCCTGTTTGTTTTTGACTCTTTTGTCATTGTGTTCTTTGTAAGGCTCGACCTTGGCGATTTCGTCGGTGAGTGAATCAGGAAAGTAAATCTCTCCAGAGTACTTGTCTTTGCCTTCGAAGGTGATTTTAAAGTGCAGATGGAGCGTTCTGTAGCGGTACCACCCTGGATAAATAGTCTGAAATTTCGCCCTTCCGTTCGAATCCGTAATTTGAATCCCTCTCAGGAAGGTCGCCTCCTCTGTCGGTTCCGCGTGCGGTCCCGTGATCTGTTTGGCATCTAAATGAGAGAAACGTGCTGAATTAGTCGTTTACGAACTTGCATAGAAAATTTGTATGTGAAGACCTTTTCATTTCATAATCTATGTATTTACTTATGTAGTTTAATCACAATAATTATTCCTTAGATCCATAATTGTTATTTGTCATCCATTTTTAATAACGATAGGTTTATACACATATGTAGATAATTCACGGAAGCGTACACACCCATTTAACATGCAATGCACATTAGCTGTTATCATAATTTAGTAAAGTTTGAGTAAATATGCTAATTCAATTACTTGGGTCACCGAGTGGATAATATCCGCTGTATGCAGAATACACTCCAAGTGCGTCGGCATGCCATACATGGACTTGAGCATCCTGAACAGGCTGACATTTCGTGTTTTTAACAATAAATTCAATTTTTAAGGAAACTCCGGGACGTCCTTCTCGAATATCTTGACGAATTGGCTGATTAGGAAGAAAAAATGGTCCTTCATATGATTGTGGAGTTAATTCACACTTTTCGTTGTTCGCATCAGCCATACAATATCCGTCCCCTGGACAAATTGGTGGAGTGGCCATGGTTGTCGTTTCACCAAATATTTGCTGATGCGAAATGTTATTCATCAAAATCACAAGAATGAAATTCAGAGAATTGATGAAAGACATACTTATTTGTTGTACAGATTCCTAAAATGAAAACAAATGCATAAAAATAAATAATGGTGTTAAGTAAATGGTGTAGGTGCAAATCAATTAATAGAAAACTGAGGAGGGGAGCTTGCGAGGTTGATAATAACAGATATTGGTGCCCTTTGGATATGTGGTAGGGACCCATGAGTGTACTAAAACCCTGAAGTAGTTTGACTCCATGGCCACATTTACGCCCGGCACACCCACTCAAAAATGTCCAAAAAACGCTTTCACCCCAGTTTTCACTCACTCAAATCCACGCCAAAAATCCAATTTTACTCGGATTTTGAAATTTCTTTCACCATTATACTCTCAGATAGTTGCTTTCTTCAATCCAATATCAAACTCAATTTTTTCGAAATTTTTAGTATTTTTAAAATTTAAAATTCTGAATGAGCATTGTTGTAGTAATCAACAACGCAAATTATGTCTGCGAAATAATCATCAGCAAAATTGAGTTTGACATTGGATTGAAGAAAGCAACTATCTGGGAGTATAATGGTGAAAGAAATTTCAAAATCCGAGTAAAATTGGATTTTTGACGTGGATTTGAGTGAGTGAAAACTCGAGTGAAAGCGTTTTTTGGGCATTTTTGAGTGGGTGTGCCGGGCGTAAATGTGGCCATGGAGTCAAACTACTTCAGGGTTTTAGTACACTCATGGGTCCCTACCACATATCCAAAGGGCACCAAGATCTGTTATTATCAACCTCGCAAGCTCCCCTCCTGAGAGTGGTGCAATTGAGTTCTGCATGCAGGCAAACTGCATGGCAAAACGATAAAAATACATTTCTTGGTAGAACTTGACATAAAGTAATTTAAATTTATACGTCTCTCGACAAAAACATGTTGCAACACAAAACTACCTGTTGAATCACAATGTGAAGAAAAATTCTCCACTAAATTTTGACCAGTCGACCCACAATTTAAGTTCAAAGCCTACATATATACGGTTCACCTTGATATCAACCTTTATCGAGCGTTCATGAATTCCTACAAAAATTAACTAATCATTCAATTGAACATAGGTACCGATTTAATTTATTAATACTCAAAACTAAAATTGAATTTATCTTGGCTGAAATTTCAGTATTTACTATTTAGCAGGCTCTCTAACATCAGTTTTATATAACCGACTTGCATCTCTCTCTCCCATATTTTTCAGCCGTTTGAATATGTTGTATCAGAGGTTTAAAGGAAATAGGGCTTCCGTCGCACCTTTGCCCTTTTTTAGTGGGTGTAAATGGTTATGGAGTCAAACCTTTTGTAGGGTCTCAGGGTCTGGTACACTTGTGGAGTATTACACCATATCCTAAAGAGTTTAAATCTGATAAGGTGCACGTCTCTCCTCAATCCATTTCACGACCATACACAACTCATCTTGTGAGATGAATTTTATACCTTTGAACGTTCTCTAACACTAATAATAACGAGCTACGTATTGAAAATTTTATATTTGTCTTTATATTGATATTTTTGAAGTTTTATAATTTTAATCAGACTGAATTCAAACCAGATGGTTTGCACCATACGTATAACAATCAGAAATCAGACAAAAACAAGTTTAGATCAAGCTCAGCAAAGCTTGGCTTTAATATGTTACGTATGCACGTCTCGGTTGGGGATTATTTTATAAGCTGCCTTATTTTTCATGAAAATAATTTTTGTTAATGACAAAATTTTACATTTATCATAGTTGCATGCAGTTGTATGATATGCTGAGAGCATATCAATTTGAACACATGCATTCATTGATAATCACAATTAATTTAAACCGTGAAAATTAAACTACCTTGAAGTTTTTTATAATTCAATAATTTTTATTTTGCACTAAATTTTTAGTAATGATCTTTGTACATGCATAACTTATCAGTTATATTGTCGTGACTAATTAGCAAAGACATAAAAGTAATAAATACATTTGCAATGGATACAGAAATTCCAAGGTCCGAATGTTTACCAAGAATTATTTTATGCCCATACATACATAAATGCATCGCGTTTGTTTCCAGCAGTTAGCCAATTGATTAACATCCTTCAGCAAGATGATGTTGGAAATTTCTAGAAACGGTTTGAAAAAAACTGGAATCATACATATATTAATCTTTCCAGCTTACTGCGCTATAGTTCACAGAATTTTGTAAAATTATAAAAATGCATTTATCTCGAAATTGGCAAACATTTTCATGTTGATCATCAAGACTAAAGGATATGAACGGGTATTTAGTTAGAGAGCCTAACGAGTTTGCTTCTTGGAAGGCAGGTGAAGCGGATCCTAATGATGCTGGTTAATTCTGCAGAGTTCATGGAATCTAAATGTGTGGGATTTACCAGGTTTCTTCGTAGACACACTTGTTATGCACAATCTGAAATGCTTAAAATTTCCCAAGCAGCGTATCGTTGTTGTTCTAACCGTCAACCGTGATACCAAATCCGTCTACGTCAAACCGGTCTTTGACTCAAAGGATCAGGAATAATTTTAGCACCGAATCTACGTAAAAAGTTGAATTATTTGAAACACAGCGATGGCCTACTCCAATTGCTAACGAACTGCTGGAAACTGGAATTGTGCTAATTTGCATAACTGTGGTGTTACGAATAAGATTAACTAGAACAAAGACATGTACAAATTCATTGGCTATTAGATTTGGCTAGTTCTAATTGTTCAAGGACTGTAGGAATTTTTTTTTGAAACTATGGTCATCATCGTTTATGTAAGAGACAACTTCTTTTTGGTCGCATGTGCATTTATGACGTCAATATTAATGAGCTACGTAGTGTACAAAATGTGTGTAAAATTGGTAAACAACCATACCTAATAAGAAGAGGGAGACCTTGTTTTATGTACAAGTACATAAACTAATATATCTGTATTACATGTGTATTTGTGAATTCAAGCACTTACTTGCATAACATTAGTACAAAACAATAAAGATATCCAATAATTTAATTTCATGTGCGTTTAATTGCAAACAGGATTCAACACTTAATTTTTTAATTACAGGCAACTAATAATAATAAGACTGGTAGTAATAAGGCTCGTAAGGCTGGGAGTGACCTTTTGAGGAAGGATTAATCCTTCAATTAATGCTTCCAAACGATATCATCGAATTATATCTGCTGTTTATTAAAGCTTACTCGAGCAGATCAAGGCCTTACTTGCTTGCTGGAGGAAGCATTTTGGACGTGGGGTGGGAATTTTGTAGTCTTTTAATTATTAAGCATCTGCCACTTTTATTACTCAACAATTTGTTAAGATATGATGCTTTGAAAATAATCTTCATAAATAACTTTAATCTCTGCAAAGGAGTTTGTAATTATGGAAAAAGTAGTTTGTAAGTATAATGGGTTCAGTCATAATTAATTCCATAAAAAGTCCATGCCTTTCTATTACGTAAGTATGTAGATTCAACACCCTACTGTACATACCTGTTTCTCGTATGTGGAGTACGTAGGCTTTGCAAAAATAGAGTACCGTCAATGGAATCACAAGATTTTGACGACGACGGAGGGATCACACACTTACTTAAGCTCAATGCCAATGCCAATGCCATTGGAAAACAACCAACAACAACGATACGACGCCACGCTACGTATTTGTGGTAATATGCATGTAATTGGGGTCAACGGATAAAAAATTGGTGAGACTCGAGCAAATGATATGTTTGTGATAAGACAGGTAAGTAGGAAAGGGTACATTGTTTCATTGTTCTTCCATTATTAGCACAATACCACACATGGTATAATACTCATCCTCAGACGGGGTTAGCACCTATGGTAGGTGTGTACATATGCGTGGTGCTCATCCTTAGCAAGTCCAGGTACTCCTAGTATACTTACCAAAAAGTTGGCAACATCACATCTACATTTGGCATACCTTCCAAGATTTAATCTTAATTCCAGGCACCCACTACTATAGCATGGGATTTCCAATAGTAATATTCACAGAATTCACAGAATTCGGACTAAATCTTCATTTACCACAATATGCAAATATATGTACATACTTATGCATGCTTTATATGGGCGATCTTATTCAGTCATGGTGCTTGGTTTTTGCTAGGACTTGTATGGAATTAACGGCAATAACACATATCTCAGGAGATTGAGGTGCTGCTGGATGGATCGATGAGGTGAGATAAATCGGGTATAAAAGGTTGTGCGGTCGCAGAGGTCCCTCAGTCGCAGTCTTGTCAGCTCAATCTCCATTTATCCAGTTCTCACTTTTAAAACGATACACAAAATGCGTGCCTTATTCTTAGCTCTCTTGCTCGTGTGCTTCGTAGCAGCAATTTCTGCCCAATATTACGGCGGATACGGAGGTACGTTTGTCTTCCAACCAACGTTTAGAAATATTTAACCTGACTTATAATTGATAATTAATTTTTAATGAAAAAAATAGGGTACGGTGGATACGGAGGTACATTCTTCGAACCAACGTCTAGAAATATTCAACTGGACTGATAATTGATAATTGATTTTAATTGATAATTGATTTTTTTGAAAAAAGGGTACGGCGGATACGGCGGAGGTTATCGACGACCCTATTACGGAGGATATGGAGGTAATTATTTGTCGAAAGTACAGGGACAGGGTCATGTATAGTATTGGGCGTTTATTAATGACTCCAACCATTTATTTCAGGTTATGGTGGCTACCGAGGACATCACGGTGGTTACGGAGGTTTGTGTTACAGACTAGGTTTTATATTACGATTTGACTAATTGGTTGATTAATTGAAAAAAACAGGGTACGGAGGTTATGGCTATGGCAGATAATTCACCAGATCAATTTTCATACGATAAACTCTCATCACTGTTACAAATTAATTTTATCAAGCAATTCAAATTTTTATGAAAAATAAACCATGCGATCATCTAACCTATGCCTGTTCAAAGTGTTTTTTATTTGTTCTCACATTGTTTTAGCACTAACTACGTATGTACAACATATTATTCATGCGTCAATATTTGATTACCATGAACTAAGTTTACTAATTGTAAGAACGCCGTAAATAAGTATTCACGATTTTACAGCGCACCATGAACCTTCAAACAAAAGAATTCATCTTTAGAAAATGCTACGCAGGGCTTATTTATTTTACATTCGTTACTTTAAACAATTGTGATATGCACATACGTGACCATAAGGAAGCAGTACTGTATTTTTCCAGATACACACTCTTTGCATGTAATAATGACATGGGCGTTTTACCACAAGCGTGAAATCTGACAAATAAATGGACACTACTTAAGAAGACGAACATAAAGCGGATGCGAAAGAAACCGTTCCACGTCGATGCAAAACGTATTATAATACATAATTTAGGGTTACATTCCAGGTTAATTTCTGGTTACATTAAATGCTGCAATGCGAAAAAAAGACTCAAAAAATTACAATACTCGTATGAAAACAATTTTCCTTCAATATCAAAAACATGAGGTATAATTTTAAGTCATTTCTTCACCAAAGAAAATAAAAGAAGGCAAACATGTACCTATGTCGAATTCAGCACGTACACAAAAACTGCCACTAATCCCACATTATATTGTTGTTGGTTAATATGTAAGAGGCAGGTCATTCCAGGAATTTAGCAAATAGTAAAATTAAACAATTATTGTAAACGCTTACAACATTACTGTAATACAATAATTCTGTTGTAACTGTTAATCGTAGTATGATTCGGGCGTAACAACTCATGGTCAGTCTTACACTTTCAGTAAAAACAATGAACAGCATGGCAAATGAGATGGTTTTTTGTTGTACGTTGTTTGTAATATTAGTCAGCACTGTGGTTTCAGAAGATTTCAGCCAAGACAATGATTGCAGACTTCAACCAATATCTTTCGGGTATTATCTTGGAGTGTCAAAGGTACACAACAATTTATGATAACCTCAAATGAAATTCTTAACAATTTATGACTTTATTGCGAAACAGACTAAATATACCAAGGCTTCTAAATGTTGCGAAAACAAGAAAATGATACTAGCAAGCTTGAAGACTCTACAGGAAATAGAAGCACTGAGAGATGCTCTAGCTAGCGAATCGTTTTGTAAGAATTAAGCACATCTTCCGAGTCTAATCTGTATGTAAATATGCAAGTATGACATAATCACATTTCACATTTCGATCCTATTTCCAAACTTTTAAGGGGCAGAGCCAATTGGTCCAGCGAATGGTGTCTATATTTCATCATTTGGCAATGTTACCAGCTACCAACGTTTCTATCCAAGGAAATTTGGACAATCGCTGAAGAGCAGACCAACAATGAACATGACCGCAAACAAAGTTTGCAGCATAGCTTACTTGGCATCTCCGCATAATATCAGCCTTTTGCATGCTGGAGTGCCTTGCAAAAATCATTTTAGATTTCTGTGTCAGCAACGCAATAGTTTAACCAAGGCTGATGATTCATCCCTCCTTTGTCCTCGAGTCAACTATACTGAACTGATTGAAGATACTTATTTATACGCCAACACGCAGGTTACCTGATAAGTATATACCATTCGGTAAGGTAGTTTTGATCGCAGTTATAATTTCTGGTAGTCTTTGTGCAGTTGGAGTGGCGAGATGCTCGAGATTGCTGCGAATTTAAGGGAGGAGAGTTATTTCGAACAGAGTCTGTCTCAGATTCGGAAGATGTTGTTCAATCACTGGTAGACAATGGTAGCAGATAAATTTTTAGCAAAATGTTTTAATGCAAATTTACTATATGATTGCTAACATATTTTAGCAATTATGGAAAGCAAGACAAACAACAGTATTTCATTTTGGACTGGAGGATTTAAAAAACTGGACAAATCTCATTTTACGTGGTCCAACAGCGAACATGCTTTGCTAGAGAATATAACTGCAAATGCAGAATTTTGTATTCGAGGAACAATAAAAGATGGGAATATTTCTGTACAAGATTTTCCATGCGAAACATCGCTTAATTCTATATGTAGAATCAAAGGTCAGTCAAATTAACTGTTAGATGGATCGGTTAGTCATTTTTAGAATTCATTTTGATACTTATCGTATTGCAGTGCCAAAAAAGTGTCCATTTGTAAATATGAAGGAACTGAGCCTTCAAAATACGTACAGAGAGTACCACTACAGTGATTCTTACAAAGTAAGAGATCAGGGCCACAAACTGAATGAAACACAATTGTTTGCTTTGTAAAAATTTAGTTTTGTACTTTTTTTAAGCTTTCATGGTCCGAAGCCATGTTATGCTGTCGTGAAAAGGGTCTAGAGCTGTTAAGCATGATTTCACCTCAAGAGGGAAAGGCTTTGGCAACATATTTCCAGACATCTTCATTGTATGGTATTGACGTACTTAATAATTATTTATATCCTTTTTGTCTGTCAACTAAATTATAATTTTTAAAGAGCATCGCCATCAGGGATTTCCATATGGAATTTGGACATCCGGGCGACAACGCAAAGATAAATTATTTGAATTTGTTGCAGTCAAGACGAAGACAAAACTTGAGCATACTGGTCAAAATCATTTTATTCAGAGCTCATCAAACGGCACATGTTTGCAATTCGTTATCGATGTTAGGAATTCGTATTTTTTAAACAACGTAAAGTGCAAATCCATCCGATCTTTCATTTGCGAAAAACCAGGTACTTTATGCAATTAATGTTGCTACAATTCTGCAATGATTATGATACACATATTGGACACATTGTGTATTTATGTAGCAAGCGTTATCTACCAGCATTTGGAACCGATAGAATTACGTGAAGTAGGGAATAAATATTTGCTTGCTGTACGCAAGGTTAGTTATTTACGAAAATATGTATTATCTTGTGTTAAAATTCATTTTATTTTTATAAATAGCAAACTTGGGGGAAAGCAAACGGCATTTGTTTAGACCACAAAATGTCTCTACTAAATCTGAATAATTTTGAAGAGAAGAAATCTTTGCTCCCAGTCCTGAACTTATTGTCATCAAGTTGGTTATTTTTTTATGGGTGTGCTCTAATTAAAGATGAATCTGATCACTGCACACATGCTACTGCAGATGGTACTTTAGAAAAATTTTGGTCTTCACCTCTGGATCCTGGTCTCTCGATGGAGTTTAATCCAATTTCGTATGAGGGAAGGAAAAAGGAAAACCAGAAAAATTTTAGCCCTCTACACAAACAGTCACAGGACAGAATTCAAAAAAAGTTTAGAACCCTGACCATTGCAAAACGACCAAATGTGACTGGCTTATCCAACTGCACTTCCACTGCTGTCACGGATGGTAAAATAAGAGTCTCAACCTCTGGTAATTGCAGCGATGAAAACAGATTTATCTGTGAAATGCAGGGTAATAACTCTTCATAAATATTTGCTTAAACTGAAATTAATAGATTGCATAACTTTAGATGAGTCATACGGTATTTGTGACACATCATCACTGGTAAAATCAGGCCAATTTCTGCTCAGTAAAGATGAGGTAAATATATTTGCTTAATTATAGTTAATTATGATGCATCAACGGAGAGCAAAATTTAATAAGTTGCAAATTTTAGGCGACATGGGAAGAGGCAAAAACATGTTGCAGTCTCAAAGGGAGAAATCTAATTTCTCTAACTGATGTAAAAAATCTTCGCGACATTTATGCAATTCTGAAAGAAAATGGGCTTACACGCCCAAACATTGGGATTTGGACATCTGGAACGAACAGAATCACGAGAGAGCGATGGACGTGGACAGGAAGTCATGAATTTGTCAAATCGAATATATTTTACAATGACTACACGCTCTTTGACGAATTGAGCGTGGCAGAAGATGACAACCAGTGTTTGGGTAGGCTGATTTATACGGCTACAGAATATGCAGTTCACCAAATGACAGACAAAATACAAACAAGATGCATCAAACGAACATAATTTTTGTTTAAATTTTCCAGAAGCGTTTGCTAATGCAGGAAAAGTTACACTTGACCACGAGGATTGTGATCTTGCTAAGCCATTCATGTGTGACATCAAAAGTAAGACAATACCAAATTATTCACAAATCTATGTGAAATAAATATTAAATGTTCTTTTAGATGTGATAGCGCTAAAATCTTGCGAAAACATACGATTTGAGAAATTGAGGAGGTCACAGTTTTATTACGCTTTGAGCAAGGTATCGTGGATTCATGCTCAAGGTTAGCACATAAAAAAGACATCCTATAATGCGTTTTTAATATGTACATTTTAAGTACATTTTCAAAGAGTGTTGTCAGCAAAGAAAAATGACGCTGGCTGAAATTCATGACTCTGATATAAGTAAAGATTTACAGTTATACGTAGCAGAGAAATCAGGTAAACATCCCTGCTAATATTATTTATTTCCTTTGCCAAAGTTTTTGTACTTCGGTTTTTTTATTGGGGGATGAGGGATTAAATTGATGTCGCTTCCGATTGTCAGTTCAATCGAATTTTTAAAATATTTAAAAATTCGGACTTGGAAGAACCCACGTGAAACAACCTTGTGCTTTAGTAAATGCATACATAACTATAACTCTAAATAAAGCTACTAATTTTCATGAGCAGATCATGTTCATGAAGATCCTGATTTTGGAGTATGGATCGGATTGACGAGTGAGATTTCGAACCATACAACATTCAAGTGGACTGGATCTTCAAAAGAGTTAAGCACGGATTTCACCATGTGGGAATCTCCTGAATTACATTCTCCAGATCCTAAAGCTTCGTGTGTCGAAGGCTACATGAAAAATGGTTTGCTTGTCTGGAAGCCGATGCCTTGCTCGAAGGAATTGCGATTCATTTGTCAAGAGAAATAAAGAAACTTATGAATAATTTTTTAGTACTTTAATGTAGATGACGGATTCATAAACAGTAATATTCAATATATTTAGTTCAATTTCAGTTATAGTACTGCAGTTAATCTGCATGTTGCTCATGCAATTTTTCTTCACTTGCAGTTTGGTAGAGATGTACTTGATTTTCTTTAGGGTTAGTGTTATGACTGGAAGACGATGATGCTTCACCGGAAGTACATTTAATTTCACCTTTTAGAATCTTTAATAATTGCTTCAGAGTTGCTTTGACTTTAAATTTTTTTTCTGAACTTGTAGAGTTCAAAGTATTGCTGACACTATCATCCAGAGTTGGACGTGTAAGGATTTCTAAACTTTCTTGTGCCACTAATCCTACGTTGTCACCTTTGTCGCTAGTATTTTCATTCTGTAATGTAACAATTTCCAATGTGTCACACTTTTCCTCTACTTTTTTAATCAGGTTGATGCCATCGTCCAAACTCATTCGTTTTTTAGAAACGTCTTCCAATATTTTGCGAGATAAAAGTTGTATAATTGACTGCGATATTTTTTGTATAAAGGATTTTCCCTCTTCATCCAGACCTGGCATAACGTTCAAACCATAATTTATTGCTGTAATTGTTGATCCTGAGAGTGTGCCAAGACCACTAGATTGTACTTCGCTTATATCACCCTTCATTGCATAAACGGGTGCCCTTATTGCAGAGTAAACTGCACTAACTGCAGGATTTTCTTTTACCTCCTCATAGATTACCTTTTCTTGCAACTCTGGTAACTTTTTCCGCAGGTCACCTGTGTTAGGATATTGCAAAATTCAATCAATCAATTAACCAACTCTCATCTTGACCTTAATTATTTGTACAATTATAATTCTAAGATTATTACTTGAATGTTCTATTATGAAAATGACCACGTGGGCAGCGCCTTGAATTGACTCTGTCACTATCCCTGTCAACGCCCCTGCTGCCAAAGGTGTGATTACAGGGGCAATAAACACGGACCCCACAATCGCTGCAGATTGGACGATTCCCTTTGCAACCCCAAGGACAGATTTCAAGGCCTCGTCTTTATTCCCCTTCGAAATATAAACCACGAGTCGAATGCTGCCATATCCTACGTTTAACCCAGGCACACCCTGCACAATGTTCCAAATCTTTTGCTCTATCTGATCCGCCTGAAGTGAAGATGATCCATGTGCGGGTATCGTAACGTAAACTTTCTGAATCTCAGATTCGTTTTCAGACGACGATAAAGATGTAATATTATCATCACTCATTTTTTTAAAGTAGGAGTTTTTATATTTAATTTGCACCAGAGTTTATCTAACTTTACAGGTCTGGTAATGAATCATTACACTGATGAAGCACGCAAGTTTCTTATGAGCATGACATCATTATGGAATTGATTATCCTTACTTGGGATTGAAAGGAAGTATTTTTCGTGCTTTGGAATTCATTATTAGGCCATTTGCAAGAAATAGACTAAACTACCATACGCATGCATTTTACTTACATAGGTCACACTTTTAAATTACCATGATTGACTAGAGGATGAAACTATGAAACTCGGAATTGTGAAAAATATACCAAAATATTGACGAGCTTGCATTTTTACAGATATTGAAAAATTACCCCTTCAAGAATTTGTATCAAGTGTGTAAATTATGAATTTGCATAAAGATAATCTTTGTTGTCACACGATTGGGGCGAATTTGGACAAAGATGAGATGACAACAGTGGCAATTTTCACACTCGCATTGACGTGGACCCACTTTTACTTTTACTTCCGATCCAACGAGATCAATTATTTCCAATCAATCTGGTCAACTTTGCCCAAAAAACTATTAGTTTTCATTATTTTATCAGTGTTCTTCTTTTCGTACTGAATTTTATGGTGCACTTACAGGTTTGTTGGTAAAGTAGGGCCTGCATTATGAAAGGTAAACATTGTTGGTAGAATATTACGAACGAAACTAATTTGTAATTTGCAACAAATTAACAATAGATTAATCATGAATTCTAGATTCTCCGAATAAGGATGCACATAGCCAGCTCTTATTTCCATTCTAGAAGAGTTGGACCCTTATTACTCTGAATAAACAAAAAATTGAAAGGTATAATTTTATTTTGCTCGTCTTCAATGTTGCATGTACATAATAAATGAAAATTATGTAACGTTGTTTATTGTGTATTGTCAATTATTATATGCAGTTACTGTATTGTTTGCACAGATTTAATGAACCGACGTTAAACCAAAGTTAAAGGAAATGGACAAAAAGAATCTATCTGCCGCAAGGAGAAAGGTGAGTTCGGTTGAGTTGAAAGATCCCTAAAAAGTTATATCGACTTGTGCTAATTTTGTATTTGTATCATTATATTTCTGCAGTTGGAAGAATACAAACTGCACAAGGCAAGCAGTGGTGTTCAGAAGACTGATGCAAGTAGCAGTGGTCACCACTCGGTTGAAGGCGGCACTACTTTCACAGAAATTAATGAAACTTATCCTCGTCCACCAGAGACTACTGAACAAGTTCCAGCACCCATTCCATACTTTCATCCCCCTCCCACCGAAAATATCCCCACATTTCTAAATAATCTTGGAACTGAAATGCAGTCCATTCACATGGAAGGTGGACAAGATTTAAAAGTTCTCAACATGTCTACACCAAGCAGTGTTAATTCCACAGATTTTAATAATTCCACTTTCACTACAGTTGCTAGTCCTGCATCGGCAAATAATAATGGGACAATAGTTTCTCCATTCTCAGAAGTCAGTTCGCAGCAGATGAATGATCACATCTTTACTCCGCCCCTATCATCAACTATGTTTGACCAAGAAAATCCACAGCCAATTTATGACCATAAGCAAGAACAGTTCACCGATGCGGGACAAAATTTTCCACCTAATTTCTTTCAGTCCACTCCGATTTCTCATGATCATCACCATCATAGCAAGTCACCTTATGAACCACAAGATTTTTATTATAATCTGCCCCAACCATCAGCACCACTGTTTTTCAATGTCAATGGAGGTTTTATAACTCCTCAACATCAGGGAACTTCCCTCTCCAACATTCAAGATGATCCTGAAAGCCAAAGTGTCTTACAAGAGAAAGCCTCTCCAAACTCTATGGAGGAAACAATGTCACGCCAAGTAGTTGACACACATTCACTGCGGAATGGGGAAAATTGTGATGAAAATAATGACAACAATCGTAATTCATTAAGTACCGAAAAGCCAAAAAATGTTCACTTTAATATTTCCCAACATGATTTACCCGACAATATTCCTCTATCTATGGAGGAACCCAGTTTAAAAGAAGTAACACTGCAAAGAATGTCACCATCATCCATGCAGAGTGCAGACATAGACGTTCGTGAAATTCAAGCATTTCAAAGACTAAAATCGGTGAGTTTTTTTATTAAACCGTTATCATTTAACATGATTAGTTTTAAAATAATTTGTTTAGGTACAGGACGCGTTGGAAATGCAACTAGAAGAGTCAAGAAGAGATAATGAACGGCTGTTAAATCGACAAGCTGAGCTGCTTTTGCAACTCGAGGATAACGACAAAAATGTCCAGGAACTTCGTCGAGAACGAGATAGAAGTAAAGAAGATGCCAAAAAATTAATGCAACCATTGACTATCAAATTCAACAATCTGTATGAAGAGAACCAAAGAAGCTTGAAAAATTCTAATGACGTTGGAATGGAGCTTAGAAGTAAATTGCAGGAAAAGTCGAAACAGTACGAAGATATGGAACAAGCCTTCATTATTGTGGTAATAATAATTTCATACAACTAATTAACACCCCATATAGTTTAATGATATCTAATGCAATTCGATTTATATGAACAACTAGTCGAAATCTAAAATGGACTTGGCTGCAGAGCTCGATCAGGAAAAAGAAAAATCAAAAGAACTGGAGACGCAACTATTGACAAGAGATGAATGTATTGTTGACTTGAGGTAGGTAGATCCGTTTAGTAATTGATACGTACTATTTTCGCACCCATAACTTTGTCACAATATTGACAAACTGTAACATTTTAGAAATAACGTTGCAAAATTGGAGGAAAAGATAAAAGTTGAGCAGCAGAAGGATGGCATTATTCACCAATTAGAAGACCAGATTCGCCATTATCAAGTTCAATCTGAAACCCTTCAACGAGAATTGAGGAGGTCCAACAACAAGATCGAAAGGCTGTTGGTGACCAGTGTAGCAAAGTCTTCACATAATGATGAAACACCACTAATGACAGCAGATCCAAAATCCAGTATCCATAATCACAGTGACCACCACATTGCCGCACAGGAGCACGGGCACAGCCACGATGACCACGATCATCATCATGACCACCATGGTCACGAGCATGATCATCATCACGATGACCACCATGGCCACGAACATGACCATCATCACGATGACCACCATGGCCACGAACATGACCATCATCACGATGACCACCATGGCCACGAACATGTCGAACACGGTGCAACTGGGAAAACCAGCCCTACTAACGAGGTCGTTGAAATGAAGAGACGCCTTCACCATTTGGAGTGGGAAAATTCCACATTTCGGAACGATCTTGATAAGTTGGCAATTGAAGCGAAAGAGAGGCGCAACTTTGAAGAAAATTTCAATAAAATGTCAGAGGAATGTCGAAAACTGAAAACCATTAATAATAACACGTAAAACAACAAATTTTTCAAAAACATTTAACAATTTTAATCATATTACATACAAATTTTTTTCAGTTCATGACGTTGTCTATACTTAAACGATGAAAATGGGACATGACATTTTGGACATTCAATTTGTAATTCATGCAATTTTTCGTGTCTCAGTTTCGATTCTACAGAGTTAGTAACTACATGACAGATTTTACAAGAATTGTCACAGTCAGGATGAGCATAAGTTACATGTCTCGCTAAAGTATTGCTATCGTATTCAACCCCACAAATGACACACTCATGTTTATTGACTTTTACGGTTGTAGAACGTCTTTGGGGAGTTAAATTGAAAGCATCAAATGAGGTACAAAATTCAGTTATAGATTGTCTATTACATTTTATGTCATGGTCTGGGTACATTGGACTAAAATGCACATCAACTGTATCGAATAGACTATGTAAATTCCTATCGAAATTTATGTGGAAACTGTCGCAGTTAACGTACCTTTCCATGAGTATTTCAAAATCTAAATGTTCCCAGTACCGTGCATGATAATTGGTCGAAGAATTATTAGCTGCATCATACAGAGGAAGGTATTTAGCAGGGTCGTGTATATTCTGGTATTGCCATAACTTTGAAACAAAATGGGATAAAGCTTCGACAGCATGACATGAACTGTTAATTGGACTGTTTTGTCTTTCACGGAACGTGATATCGAACAATAATATAAACTCTACTTGCGGATGTGTCGCATATTTGTAGGTGTAGACACCAGGTGTACCATCAACTGGAACGTAAGTTGGACACACTTTTTTACCCTCATCTCTGACGGTTGATACCCTTAATGATAAGATGGGTTTTGTCACACACCAAAATTGGCATCTGTATCCTCGTCGTACTTGACACATAGCATTATGTTCGTTGATAACGTCTTCTTTGGTTTTGGTTGGTAAAGTGTAGGGGAGTATTTGTTCGGAATGGGCCGAGTCGTCATCATCATTCATGTGATCAGAGTGGGGGTGGGCTTGTCCGTGGTCAGAATCCGAATCGTCACCTTCATTCGTTCGTTCCATGGGAGAGTGGTCGGTATCGGGGGCAGATTCCGAGTCGTCATCATCATTCATGTGATCAGAGTGGGGGTGGGCTTGTCCGTGGTCAGAATCCGATTCCGAGTCGTCATCATACGTGTAGGACACCTTCTTTCGCTTCCTCAAACTCCTACCACCTAAAAAAACAATAAAGTCAATGTTATTAATAATAGTAATATTTAATATGCTGTGTCGTGGGGGTGGGTGAAATAAGAGGGTAGAAAACTTACGCCCTTCCGTGTTTTGGTGGTCGGTGTCAGGGGAAGAATCCGAGTCGTCAACAGCACTCGCGGGTTCCATTTGGGGGTGGTCGGTGTCAGGGGGATTCCGAGTTGTTTTCCGAGAAGGTCGTTTTTTGGGTGGGGCCATCTTTGCGCCCTGAAAAGGACTTAAACAAAGAGGTAAACAGTGGTGGAAAGTGTGGAAGGTTTGAGAGGTGGAGGAGAGAGGAAGAAAAACACGTGAAACTCGCTGGCAGTGCAGACGAGTTGTGTGAGAACTTCTCCATTTTTCTTCCTTGATGGCAAAGGGATGCCAAGCTTTCGTTATCAGTTAATACGAAAATAGAGTGAGGAGGACGAAGGTAGCGTCGGTTTATTTTTAAAATTAATAAATTTGCTTGATAAGTAAAATAAATAAAATAAATTTGCATGATATTTCAACCTGTTTTTAAAAATGTAATATTGGTTTAGGCTTCTCGAGTGCCAAGAGTTAGAATCGCTTGTTATTCAACTACAAGGCGAAAACGATACAATTGGTGAGAAATTTAAAAAGCATTACTCGGTATCATAATATATCACATATAATATATCATAATATGCAGATACTTAATAATGTATAAAAATGTTTATATTTAGGGGATTACATCACACTGTATCAGTCTCAACGGTTGGCATTGAAAGAAAGTGCTCGCGAGAAAGATTTGCAGCTGGCAAATTTAGCAAAAGACAGAGAAACGCTTCTCAAGAAAATGGAAGAGTTAACTCAGCTTTTAAAGGTTTTGCAACAGCAGAAAGGAGCAGTTGACCATTCAAGTCAATCAGTACATCAGTGTAGTCATGTTTCTGGACCTCAAAATTCTACAAATGATAACGGCGAGCATGAAATTGAGGGCAAAATTAGAAATTTATTGTCCGAAATTAGTTCTTCCTCACTCATTGAAAATTTTCACCCTTGTGCAGTTTGTTCTGGTCAACTTATGAATGTTTAGAGGTACAAGAAATTAGTTTTTTACAAATATTATAAGCTTTAATATTCGATATAACTATGTTTAGATTTTGCAGTGCTCGTGCGTGTCAAGAAGATTGAGGTGCCTTATTTGAATGTACTTTAGCTTGTAACATTTATTTATTATTCGATAATTATAATCTACGTACTACATATTATTCATGTATTACACATGTAATGAACTATCTAATAAACGCATAACCTGCATATTTTCTTGATTAAAACCAGTGTGATGCTAATATACACGTAAAGTTAACATTATACTACACTTTTTGACAATTGTCAACATACTTAAATATCTCATTAATGCCGAATCATCACATTACTAAATATGCGATATCATCCAATCACAGTAAATATTGACGGCCCACATAAATATGCGGCAGACCTTGTTTTTTATCTCTATTTAATAGTTGTCATACAATACACTCGTAGCATTTTGTTGCATATATTATAACATTTTTTTCAGATTCTTTTGTTAAATTTTGACGTCTAAACTAGATACGTCTCTTCCCAACAAGATGACGGCCCTGACACCCCCTCCGACCCCTGCGAGCCCCATTACAATTGCTATTGCTGGTTGTGGAAATAGGTTAAAGACCATTACAGATATTTTACATGTCAAGTCTCCTTCCAGGTATAATTTGTACTTCAAATTCTAGAGGATATGGCTACGCAACCTTTGCAAAACATTTTCCCCAATGGCTTAAAGTGGTTGCAGTGGCGGATCACCACGATTTTAGGTGTCAACAACTTGCCAAGGTATTCCGTACTTACTACATCAAAAGCATTTATTACCTTAAAAGCAGACACCAGTCCACATATTTAATGCGATACATATTTAGGAACACGATATTCCACCGAAAAATATTTTCAAAGATTGGACAGAGGTACGTACAATGCTAAATGTCAAAAATGATCTTTAATTACTTGTACAGCCTAAGTTAATGGTTGCATACTAAATAATTCATAAGATGGCATCAGTCCCGAAATTGTCTGATGCCGTAGCGATTTGCACCACGGATCGCGAGCACACGGACCCTGCCATTGGTAATCATTGCTACAATTTGATGGTTCAAAATCATTTTACTTATGTACACATGCAATTGGTTTTTATTTGTTCTTATTTAAGCATTTGCAAATCTGAAATACAACATTCTTCTGGAAAAGCCCATGTCTATCAACATTGAAGAATGTGTGAAAATTCACCAAGCTGTTGTTGCAAACAACGTGATTTTGGCTGTTTGTCACGTTCTGCGATACACAAACTATACAAAAGCCATACGACGAATTTTGGATTCTAATGTCTTGGGCGATATCGTGAACATCCAGCATTTGGAACCCGTCGGATTTTGGGTTAGAATTTCGAATTTTGGGTTAGATTGTGTCAATGTATATTTTATTCCATGGTGTCAATTTCAATGACTCCCCCATTCCGTTTTTTCACGCTTTATTACGTCCCTTAAGCCACTGTTTGAAAAACGTATCTAGAACAGTGTGGGTTTAAATAAAACATGGAAAAAGTGGAATAAAATGTAATGAAAAGGTGGTCCACATTGAGGCAAAATGTACCTAATTTAATTAGTCTATGACTTGTAGTGCTTGTGTTAGTTGTAATGCACTCCATTGACAATGAACTTACTTTGGTTTCATTACTTTGGTTCTAGCATTTCGCTCATTCTGTAAGTGCATCCAATTTTCTCATGAAAGTTTATTATCAGAACATGCATGTTTTGTAATTTGACTTTCTCCTTGCTTTTTGTTCCACAAGTTTGTCCGAGGTAAGTAATTTTTTAATTACTAATTACTAATTTTAATTTTAATTACCATTTTTTCGAAAATGGTAATTAAAATTAAAAGTGTGAACTATATAAATAAAATGTATGCGTATGTAGTTTAGTCTATTTTTTGCAAATTGCCTAATGATTTCCAAAGCACGAAAAAAATTTCATAATTTTGTCAATAAAGCTAAGAATGTAAAATTATCTTTTGAACTTGGGGCAGTTCCTTTGTTACAAGACGCAAATTACTGTAATGACATATATGTATAAAAGGTTGGAGATTTCAGTACTTTCCCCATTTTTATTTTCAACGCAGGTAACTGGCACAACGAGGAAGCTTCCACCTTCTCGCTCCTGTCAAAAAGTTGCCATGATATTGATCTGGTGACATATATGATGGGCTCAAAGTGCAAAGTATGTACATACATGCTCGTATTATGTGCTTAACTCGTGTGTGTTCTGTCAAATAAATTGCCTTGTCCCCATTTATTATTGACTTTGACATGAGTCTAATTAATGTTTAGAAAGTCTCATCTTTCGGTAGCTTGAGCCATTTCACCAAGAAAAACAAACCAAAGGAAGCTGGAAATTCAGTGTAAGCAAATATTAACGATGTCTTAACGGTAGCACATATACATGTGTACATACATATACAACAAGTAGCATTAATTGGGATAATCTTAGGAATTGTCTTGACTGTTCATATGAAAAGTCTTGCCCGTATTCCGCAAAGAAAATTTACATCGATAACTACGTCAATAAATCTTGGACTGGCTGGCCAATCAATGTAGTTCAGCCAAAGGATCCTATTGGTATTTTGTGGTCAATCAACTGTTTAAAATTTGTAATTTGAAATGAACATGTTTACGTAGACTTGGAAAATTTGACGGATGCTCTTCGGAAAAAAGATTACGGTCGGTGCGTATACGAAATGGACAATGATGTCGTAGATCATCAAGTAGTGAATATGCACTTTGAAAATGGATCAACGTCATCATTCACGATGGTTGCTTTTACGGAATCAATGTGTGATAGAAAAGTAGAATATTCCATCATAAACAGTTTAATGTTTTTTTTAAATCAGTCTACAAATTAATATTCATTGTCGCAGACAAGAATTTTTGGAACGTTGGGGGAGCTGGAAGGTGACGGGGCAGACACGATCAAAGTGTTTGACTTTTTGACACAAACTACAAAAGTAGTGCATCCGAGTACGGACTCTGATAATCTTCCCATGAGTGGTCATGGGGGAGGAGATTTCAGCTTGATGCAGGCCTTTGTTTATGCGTGTGTCACTGGAAATCAAAATTATGTTATTTCAGGACCTCAAGAAACTTTGGGTAGTAGAAAATTATGATTTGATGATACTATGGCCAATATTACTGATATGTTTGTTCTGTTTCTCGTTGTGTTAATGCTTGTGTTTATTAACTTAAATCGATTTTTTTTGCAGATACACACATTTACTGCTTTGCTGCTGAACATGCACGTAAAACTGGAACTGTTGTCGACATTGATGAATTCAAAAAGTCTCTGTACAAATAATTTTGACCGCAAATTGAATAAATTGTGTTAATGGAACAGCTTTAAGTTGCCATTATTGAATCACTTTATCAATTTATACTTGCGTTAACGCACGTGTCAGTGTAAGCCAGTTGTGTCCATCATCTTCTCTGGAATTGGAATTATTTGTGGCAATGAGATGCTCAATTAGCTTAACACATTTAAAGTAGTGGACAATAGATTGAAAGCAATGTAGGAATTTGCACGTTATAGCATTAATTTTAATTTGGCAGCAACAAAACGCCCATGCATGCTGGTTGATGGAGAAATAACACTTGGATATGCATGCGTAAAGAAGTGAACGTTCATAAATCTCAATTTAGGCTATTTGGATCATCCTCATAAAATATGAGGGAGAACGGCAAGCAAGAAATATTATCTTTCGAATACATCTAAAATTATTTGCATATAGATTTTAATAAATCACATCTCACAGTTAGATTGTATTTCTTAAGATTTACGTACAAGTTTCCTGAATTTCCTAAAGACTTCAAAAAAACCAAATCATGGCAATTTTTTGGTGTCTTGACTTGACTATTTTTTCCATGTGGGAATTACGACCAATTTACAAAGCTTTTAAGGCTTTTTGCATTAGCTCGACTTTTCGCAATTATTATTATGTATCGCTGTAAAACTGATGGTGAGACACTGACTTAACGCAAGGAATTGGAAGTAGATATTGGAAAACTAGCTGAACGAAATGTCCACCAACCTGTAACTTTTTCACTGGTCTGGTACATGTACATTTAGGTTATCGTTTACTAGTCATACATTACTTGATACTTTTACCAACTATCGATAATGAGTTCCATAAAATAATCATCACAGATCCTCCCACTCATGCACCGTTCCACAAGGCTATGTCAAGAATATTGAAAATGTTGACGACAAAAAATGGTAGACCACCACAGTTTACCCAGGTTAAAGCCAATAATTACATTAATTGCTCAAACTTGCTTGGATTGATAGGAATACAAACTTCGAGTACAGAAATGGATTGATAGGGGGTTAACAATAATCTGACGAAAATATCTCCCAACGGAGATATTTTACTAGTTGCTAGTTACACTTCATAGTGAAATGATTATATAGTTTTAAAAGTTCTTTGCATGTGTACATACATAATGAAAAGTTTTAAGCTTGTATATCTTCTCCAACGATGGTCATTTTTACTCTGAGCTGCGTTTGGATGGAGGTTGAGGTTTCAAAAGTTATCATCGGAATTTCTTTCAGTGATGGTGATGACAGCCCAAAATGCGTACTTAATGTCCTTTCTGGGAAACTACCATTTGTTTTCGCAGCCACCCTTAAATAAATTGTATGAATTTTATGCATAAATAAATTGCATGAATGCGAGCGGGGAGATAGAGAATCCGAAGTTTTAATAGTAATAATCTAGGTATAGAAATTCCTGATCACCAATTTCAACGACGGTGAAATGTAAATAAACACTACTGAAAACGGGGAAACGTTTTCTAATCCTCGCCTTCAGTTTCATTTTTGTAATGTTTCTACTTATGTCGGCCATCTACTCAGAATTCGTATAATTTTAATCTTATTTAATTTCTGCCCACCCTTTTTAAAGTTTATTCATGCATGTTAAAGTACGTAAGTAAATAGTTTGTTTTACTTACACGTCAATGTCAACCCATGATAATCTGTCAAGCTAAAACACGAGCTGTCTAAAATAAATGCAATTGGCTTTTAATAATTCATGCAAAATCAATATTGGCTTGGGTTGCATGAACTTTGAGTGACTACAAGAAATAGGTTTATAATTGCAGAATAAAACAAATACTAAAGTCATGCAGCGAACGGCGAAACTCCTCCAAGTTCACTCACGCACAATGAAAGGACAATAAAACCGTCGCCGTTGGTGCTGGCCATGTAACGGAACTTGGAACATTAAACAAAATAACGTGCGTTCTATTCCATTAGTACGAGCACGCAATTTATTCATGAATCAAGCAATAAAACGAGACCCACACCCAACGCACCCGGTTGTTTGCAAAGCTCTCTGAACTGGACTCTTTTTTTATTGCAAAGTGCCACTATTTGTTACATCCAGCCCCTACTTGCAGTTCATTTCATAAGCTTGTTGCTTGCTGCTGGCTAAAACGCCTTTTGTTGCAATTTGTATAATGAACACGGTGGAGAATAATACCTCGAAAAGCCGTTTCTCAACCGACCAATGCCCAAGAAAACGAAACAACGAGCTGCTAATTCCTTTCTTTTCATTGTTGAAGAGAGAGGATCAAAAAGAGGAAAAGTGGAATTAGTGGATCCGTATAAAAACCTGAAACGAGAGTCCAGTCTAGTATTTATGTGTACGAAGTCAAGCGTTCATTAAATTTATATGACGTAATTTTCTTTTCATCGCATTGCTAAATAGCCTTGTTTGCTAGTTGACTCTCACAGTGTGTTTGTGTTTACTACACTATAATCGCTTCCTTCGCCGAGTTAAACCTTATTGCTGACAATAATAATCCCATTGCAAACACATGCATATCCCTTTATTTCATGTTTCTGGAGCTTGAGTGGAAGGTTTTATAGAGGTTTGAACATCTCCAACAGCCGTTAGACGCTAATGGCATTAAATATATCTTGTGATTCTCCCTGACTCTGGTGTATATAGGACTTGGATCATTCATGCTTTTTCGCCCAGAATTTGCGAGACGAATTTTCCGAATAACGTATAAAGAGCTAGTTGCGTGCGCTGCTCCATTCGGGAAAATCGTGGGCACCGTTTTTTGTGAGAGTTTCACATAGTAGCAGAAAAACATTTGGATTTTACTTCTATTGACAAGGTTGAGCGAATTCCAACCAACACAGCATTTCGCACTTGTGACTCGTCGTCTGCAAATACTTATAGCCCACCTACCTACATACGCACTAACAAACAAACAAAAATAAATTGTTACTTTTACATCATTTTCACAAAACCGTTGTTAAACATGTCAAAATTAACTGGGCTACTTCTGATTATTGGCGTGATTGGCTTGTCAAGGTGAGTCCGCACTGAAATTGATAAAAAAGTGATTCTACATACTCGATTGGAGTGAAAGTCAATTGATGCAATTTACATAATGTTCATACTTTAATGTTTATCTAACATTTTCAGCGGTTTGCCAGCCAGTACTAAACAGGTCAAAGCCACACTCTTTGCTAGGAATATAGACCCAACGGAACTGCCGACAGGGTCAAATGGAACTGGTAAAAGTATTTCAGCCAATATATTTGTCTTGTGTTTGCATAATTCATAAATACACGATCATGCAATCCTTATAAACAGGTCCGGTTCACGTGGTTTTGAATGTCCAAGTGAAGACTTTACTGGCTGCAGATTCTAAATCTAGGGTAATGCGACGCGTTACCTTAAAAGTATGCTAAAATCTATACCAGCCAATCGTTATTTTTATAGAGCCTCAAGTTGCAAATGCTGGTAAAAATGCGATGGACTGATCGACGGTTGGTGTACACCCCTTTTCCTCCTGGTATGACTTGTGTGTGACCACATGCAAAGAAAATTTCATGGTAAAAGTAAAATATTTTTTTTGCATCTTTAGACACTTCCCCGGACAACGTTACATTGGATTCCTCAGCATTGGAAAAGTTTTGGGTACCCATGATTTACTATGTTAATGGACTTGAGAAAGAAACGGACAAAGCCAACCAGTTTATCCGTGTATTTGTCAAGACCGGAGAAGTTGAATACAGTTCCCTGTAAGTTATTAAACTTAATTTAGCTTCACCTTTAAATGTTGGATTTCTTGAATTGTTAAAATATCGGACATAACAAAATTTCAGCGTGACCATCACCACTAGTTGTCCCATGAACCTGCGCTATTTTCCCCATGATACTCAAACATGCTTGGTTCAATTGTCAAGCTGTAAGTTGAGAAAGATTTTACACTAAATGGGTACACATGCCTCCTCGAATTTAATTTCTTTCTATCTGCGACCCAGATGGGAACTCAGTGTCGGACATGGTTTTCGAATGGAACAAGAAATCTGCTGCCAGCGTGCTCCCAAATGTTGCACTGCCTGACTACAGCCTACAGGATTACACAACTCGTAATTGCGACGCTGTAACTAACACGGGTAGCGTATTATTTCAAATTGCTTGCATAATAATCCTAAACATCGCCACTGACTAAATATTTTTTTCTGTATTTCAAGGAGTTTACAGTTGCCTACAGTTAGAGTTGAAGCTGAAACGAGAGGGAGGCTTCTACTGCATGCACGTGTATATTCCATGTACAATGTTGATATTGGTTTCCTGGTTATCATACTTCTTGCATCCTACAAAATCGGCGACTGCGAGACTTATCGTCGTCATTGCCGCCTTGGCTTTGGCTGTGGTGGGGATCAGCAATTTCAATCTTCAAGCCCCCCGAACAGGATACACCAAGTCGATTGACGTTTGGACTGGAATTTCGCTAACTTTCATCTTAATTGCTTTGGTTGAATTTGTGGCTGTGAATTACATGAACCAATATCCATGTCCACGTTCAAAGTATTGCAAGAAACAACCCCCACCATCGGATGGAGTGGATAATGCGGAACAACAAACGCCATTAAATCCCAATGGAGAAGGGAAATCACCTCAGCAATGTAAAATGTTTGAAGATTCTGAGGATGGAAACACTTGTGGAGCAAAACTTGACGTCATTTTTAGAATTTCAATTCCTGGTCTGTTTCTTGTCTTTGCCATTTTGTATTGGATACTCTTTGTCTAATTTGATGCATTCATCTTATGGTACATAATATGCCGAAAAATGTATGTACACAGTACATATGTTCATATATAGCTTAGTGAATTAGTGCAAAATTTGGTCCATTTTACGACTTATTTACATGTATTGCCTAACGCTGATTGAATTCATTGATTGGTTAAGGTAATTTGAATATTCAGCTTCATCGTAGTGACAGCACAATGATCTCTAAAAGTTATTCGGTCTTATTTTTGTTGGACGCTGAGTCAGGGAAGTTTGACGATTATACAGAAGTACAATTTTATTGTGCTTCGGGACCCTGTGGGTCCGTTACGTTTATAGTGGAACGATTTTCTTTAAACGAAGTTTTAAATTATTTTATGCAGCATCCTATTGTTAAACCGCGGGACACAATATTGCAGCCTTGACATGTTCAAATCCGTGCGTTCAAATTTCTGAAGCCTTTAAACTTCGTGTGTCATACTTTACACACAAAGTTGGAATTAGTTCAAAATTCGCCTAAGACTACAAAAGCTGTCAGTCTAATTCTGACGTACAGATATTTTAAAGCCAGATGCTACAAAATGTCGAATCTCTATTGTACATGCTATTTTTGATGTTTAATAAACTTGAGTTGTTCCATAAAAAATGTTCAGTTTCTATTTTGGCTTGATTCTGACTGGATCACGGGTAACAAAGATCTTAGAAAATGTAATATTGAAAATTTGGTTCGCTATGATACACGCACAAAAATTAGCCATAATTTATGTTGTATGGAGTTTAGTGTGGTGAGTTCAACCAGAATTTTAAAAATATTAGACAATCTACAATTATTTTAAACATTTGCATTATCCATACGATTACAGCCTTTCCGGTGCAGTTCCAGTAAATGTAACGTATGGTGGGTTCGAGTCTGCAGAATTTTTTCTTAATTATGACCGGAATTCAGCGGAAGAAAGAGGTAAATAAATAACGATGCTAGATAGAGATACACAACGGTAAATGTTCAATTGAAAATTTGTGTTCTATGTAAGCTCCTGCCTTTGCTATAAAAGCGGAAATCTTTGTTCGGGATATCGAAAAGATTGACGACACAGAAATGGTATTAATCATGCATCACATTCTTCCCATATCTTATCAAACTTGCATTCTTGGTTTGCTAATTGCTAGAAGTGGAGCATTCATCTCAAGGTGATACTTCACTGGTCGACCTCCGTACCACCATTAAATTTGGACATGCCAGGTTTTTGTAGAAGTTTAATCTCGTTCAAAATCTAATCGCAAACTAGAAAAATGTCTTACTTATCGTTCCAGGAAATGGCGATGCATTCATCATGATTCCCCAATCCATGTTTAAAAAACTTTGGTTGCCAAACTTATTTTTTGTTGATGGTAGAGATATGCAATATAGCGTGCCGTTCAGCGATAAGGATTCTGTTAAAATTAGAGCTTACAAAAATGGGGACATGTCATTGACAGCAAGGTAAACGTAAAAAACATATGTGTCACATCATACGACATAAACATATGTAAAATGCACATCAGTTCTAATGACACAATGACAAATTCTAGGATATTCTTGAATATGGGATGCCCAATGACATTTGCAAACTTTCCATTTGATAAACAACTTTGCAGATTTAAAATTTTACGTATGTACTGGGGATTGGGACGCATATTTCTACTGATGCTTGGCTTTTTGCAGTAAAATTCTTTCTCGTTCTCATTAACAGATAACCATAATCCAAAGGATGTTACTCTGTCTTTCGTAGAAAACTCTCGTTCAGTGCACGTTGCCAAAGACTTACACCTTACTAATTTTGTATTTGTTCAAATGAAATACAATGCACTTGCCCCAACTGACGATGGACATACAAATGGTAAAAGTGACCATTCTACTTCTTAACATTTGATGTAAAAAAAACTTTTAAATGTTCCATTTTTAATTCATTTTAGAAACATCGCATCTTGCAGTGGAGTTGGAGTTTGCAAGAGAGACTTCATTTTATCACAGTCGGATTTACATACCATCAATTATTGCCATTTTAATTACATGGCTTTCTCTTTTTATGGACCCATTGGAAAATGCGACTGCGCGTGCAATCATTTTAGGAATCGGAATCTCAATTGGAACTTTTTGCATGGCTTTGTGTACAGTCCCAACGTTGCATCCCACTGCACTCGGTCGTTGGACTACTGTATGCCAAGTGTTTCTGCTAATAGCCGTTCTGGAGTTCGTAGTTGTCAATAGATTTGCAGTGGAAAAGAAACAAGAGGAGCGATCAAAATCTGGGAATGAGACCCAAACCACTGATAATGGAGTCAGGATGCCAAATCTCCTAAATTTGGTCTATGATCGAAAATGGCATACAACAATTGATATTCTTTTCAGAATAAATTATTTGTTGGCTTTTCTTGTCTTTAATCTCCGATATTACTTCACTTTTGTCAAGAGACCAGATATCGAAATTTAAGTAATTATGCTAGTTATTACACTTGATAAAAAATATATGAAAATACTGTAGTAATGAAAATCGATGTTTCATTGGACATTTATCTATGTATAAGTATATGTACAAGGTTGTCTATAATAATGAGTAATTATTACAATAAATAATTTACAAGTTTGGATAGGAAACAGTAAATGTGTGCTTTAAAACAATCACACAATTATTCAAATAATCTTGAAATAGATCTACTTGATCAACCAAATCCAGGAATTAGTAGTCGCAAGGGTAGAAAAACTAAGGAAGTGGCGTCGCTCAAAGTCCTGGCAATCACTCGCTGCACAACGTTCCTCCCCACTGTTCTTGAAAACTTGTCAAACTCGACCTGCGGGTTGACACATTTCGAGGTAAACGGGTCAAAGACAAGGGACGAGTCGATGCACTGGCACGAGCCTCTCATGCAGGCCAGGCCGTTGTCGCCATTGCACTCTCCAGGCGAACAGGACTGTCGATGGTTTCTCATGCAGACCTTGGTGGACGTCTCCCCGTACTTATCAAGACATTGACATGACCCAAACATGCATCGAGAGTTCGCCACACATTCAGGTTTTCCTGCTCCACACTGCGCTCCCGAAAGCCCTACACACCGGAAGTTGGCTTCGTCATATAGATGGCTCATGGGATTTTTGCACATGCACTTTCCATCAATGCATTCCAAGAAGTCGGCCTCATTACAGCTTCTTCCATTGGTTTCGCACTCCTCGCCAAATTTCATGGGCAAAGTATCGCTGCCAATATCGATAGATGATTGTCTCTTTGTCTGAAAAGGTCCAACACCGGTAACACTGGCGTTTTCTTTCGTGCCACTACTGAACCATGTTTTAAATATACACAATCCAGAATTGACGTTAAAAGCAAGTAAGATAAAGAAAAGGATTATTATAGGACTAGAAAAATTATTTTGAAAATGCATCTTGATGCTTTCTAAAGCTAGGTTGTGAGCAAGGTGAACTCAAACGTGAATGAACGAAAGGAAATAAATGATAACGAAAAAAGACGGAAGTTTCATCATAGGCAATGTTAATAAATAACTCTTTATTAATATTTAACTAACTTTAAGTACTCCTCAAGTTAAAATAATGCCTTCAGCATATTATATTATTGCATTGACTGCAGTGGTAACATGTGCATGACCACAATGCATGTTTGTTCTGTATGCGTGGTCACATTCATCCGTGACGACGATAAATATGTAACAGTACAGGGTTTAAAGTTATGACTGTTAGCATAACACGTAATTATACCAAACTGCAGCACTTGTAGGGAAGCAGCAAACTGCAACACTTGCATATAAGGTATTAGCCACACAAAAGAAAGTTAGTTTCATTTCGTTACATTTGCAATACAAATTAGATCCTTTGTGTCAATTCGATACGATAGCAATTATTTATGTATTCAGGAGGGAGGAAGGTATGGACGGATCCAAATGGCAGCGTGTCAGAATTCTGACTCAATCTTGATCATTGTGGAGATTCGCCGCTGGGAATTCACTCCACGTTGACATGGATCATAAGTGGCTTCATTATAAGAATTTAGTAGCGTATAGCGAATACAGCCTCAAACTAATTAAAACGAAAACAATAAATTCGTGGAGACAATACGTCAATTAACTCAACGATACTTGAATTATGCTCGGTTTGCTGATGCTTAAGTCCTTTCTGTTCCAGGGTAAATTATTCAATGGGATAGGTTTCTTACTGCAAGACAACGGGCACTTACTGATGTTTATAAGAACTGTCAAAATCATGCCAATCATTTAGAACTTGGCAATTACGTAGTTCTCAAGTTCGTATAGTCGCATATTTATGTACGTATGTATAGCAAGGAAATTCGGGAAAGTATAATATTTATATGCAATATAACGGAACAACGATTTTGCCTCCCACGCGAATAACCGTATCGATTGAAGCTATTTTAAATACGGAATGTACACTTTATTATAACCTAAATGGCATCAAATGATGCCAGCTCTACTAATACATAGGTATCAAATAACCTTTTGGAAAGTGGCAAATATATGTTTCCATTTTGATGTAAAAAGAGTATAATATGAAAGCAAATACGTATCCTCAAATTGAATACACGTACATATTTCTTTCATCCAATAAATACTCGCAACAGTCTCTTTGGACTCTTCAGGACTGAAATAACTTTACGGAAAAACTTAGCAGCACTACGAAGTATCATATCCCTCAAGAAAGTCCTCCCAAACCAAGTTTCCACCACGTTCTTCACAAAACCTTCCGGATCAAAACAACTTCTGGTTATTGCGCTGTACGTGTACGACTTATCAAGACATTCACAGATTCCAGATTTACAAGCTAATCCACGATCTGTATTGCATTGCATTGGTCCACATTCTTGACCATGACCAACCATGCAGGTCAGTTTTGTTGTAACTGTGTACCCCTCCCGACAAATGCATCGCCCATCTTCACATTCAGCATTTCTGATGCATCTTGGCAATTCGTCCGCAAAAACAGAGTCACAAACACTTCCCACTAAACTCACGCATTTCTTTAATTTGTTGTCATAAGTCCTGTGCATTGGATATTCGCAGAAACACTGTAAATCGAAATAGCATGCTAATTATGTACATTTATTTTTCTACAGAATAGTGAAACTTACTATTTATCGTAATAAAGATTACCTTGTAGTCGATACATTCCATGTGTTGCGTCATATTGCAGTCATGTCGAGATTCGCAAAGACATCCAAATCCATTGGGTTCAGTGCAAGATAAATTGTCCGGAGTGAAGGAGTCAAATATTACTGCACATTGAACTACACAAGGACAGGTTAGGACAAGCCAAACAATGATGATCCGAGTAATTGCAAACCCAAGTATCTGAACAATTTACACCATAAATTAAAATGTAAATAGTAAGAATATTGATGTTAAAGTGCAAAAAGTAGTTGGCTTTTATTTACCTTCATTGCTCAAAATTTGTCGTCACATTGTTGTCAATGAACGTCTTCAAACAAATCAAAATTATATAACATTTCCAAACTTAGGATTAGTTGTCTATTTTTTGAACAAGTGTTGCTCAAAATCAGAAAGTCAATAAGTATTCGTATAAAGCAAATAAATATCTAGCTGAAGGTGCTCGGAGGCTTGGCGTATTCTGTGTACAACATTTTATGTATTACTGGAGATAAATATATGTACATATGCATGGAACGCTAAGATAAATTCCATCGTGTACAAGGGCATGGGAAAACTTGGTCTATACGCATGCAAAAATACGTGTGCTGTAATTGTTATTATAAGCATTGTATTATGGGAAAACATAACAAAAAGTACATTTATTAAATTCAGTCAAGAAAACTAAATTCACTAAATACATTCACGCATCCATATATTTACTATTAACCTTACTAAAATTCTACCACTCTCACACGATGTTAGTCAATCAGATTATAATAGTTTTCCTTCCTTATAATGAAGCAAGCATAAAGCAAATATAGTCCTTTGTAAAATTTTACCATTTTTAGCCCGAGCCAGAGCTTGTGGAATCATCATGACCGTCTGCACTTGCGACTTGCGACACGCTAGCGGACGAACCACTGAACCGATTTTGACCAACTTAATGCATTACCTTTAATCGTACAATGCGTACTTGTATTGCTTTGGATTAGACTTTGATGACTATAGGGATGATCGGTTGGGGTCATTTAAGGGATGGGAGATACATACATATGTACATAATATCTGGGAATTAAGTATGAGACGAAAATAATGACTGGCTTTGGCTTTATATTAAGTCTGGATTGTAAGTGTCTTTTTATTGTTGCATGGAAGAACATTATTTAACAATTATTTCCTACTCAACGTTTGTTAAAATGATTTTCATTTCATGTTGAGTATTGGTTATGATAGATTATTGATTGTCAAAAGCTGGCTGGTACAAGGACTGTGCATTAGCTTCAAGACAAGATTCTATGATTGCACTTAATCGTAATGCAAAGATGCCCTGTAGTCATCCACTTATTTTATAATGAGTCTTTCGGGACCTTGCACAGCTTTGGGAGAAAGTTGAGCAAGGAGAACTTTGGCATATAGTTGGTGAATATCTTTTAATATTATTAAATGGCAAATAAAAAGCAAACAAATGAGATTTGTGCAGCATTGGCATATCATCCTCCTTCCAATTTCCGAGTTTTTGTTAGTGGGCTACAGCTTTCTCTGCACTTCTTGTCCTAGTCCATCATTTGATTCACTCATCCATCATCACAGTCGTCCACCCGTGATTTAATATTAATACCGTTGCTTCCGTTGTTGGTTCGGCATTTCCACCCAGCCAGCCAGTTGTCTCGGATGTACTGATTTTCAACTTGTCTTTGTTGATCATCTTCGAGCCTATAACTTATTACACGCCGCCTTAAACAACACATATTTCCCAGACGTCGAGGAATGTTCAACCGGTTTTGTCCTACCAAACGTAATTCTAGACAAACCTCGCCATATCCAGGTCCCCTCCCGACTACAACAACAATGTCGCCAGGCTCCGTGTCGACAAAAACAACGGCAATCAAGATGGTGAGACCCGTTCGGGGGAAAGTGCGACGGCGAAGTCCAAAGTCAAAGATGAACGGTGCTGATAATTCGGAGGATTCACATTCTCACCATTCGGAAAGCTCTGCCGACGATGAGTCGCATTCTTCACTGGTCTCGGTGAGAGTTGGCTTGTCGAAATGTTGTGTCCAAGGATCATTAGCATCACGGCGTTGGCAAATGTAACTTTTTTTTAAATTTATGACCAATTTATACCGAGGAAATTAACTGAAAAGATTGATATGCCAGGTTTCAGATGGTTCTCCTCCATTTCATACCCGTGACAGCGCTAATTGTTCAGAATTCGACCCAGCTCTCAACTGTGGTGACGAATTTGAGGGAAGCTGGGGAAACAAAGTTGCAGGTTGGTTTTTACCATTATTTCTTTAATTTTTCAATGCTTTGAGCTTTCATGGACAGAACTTCATACAAGAGTCAATTGCGGATGCGCATATCTTTATTCATGTTAAAAATGCGTTTTACTTTTATGCCTTGCTATCATTCATTATAAATCTCTTTGAGTGTTGAGTAGAATATAATACATGCAAATATTCTATGATGCAGACTAGTGACGATGTGGCGTGGTGTCTACTTGTTTTTTATGAAACTTTTCAACAATTTCTTGTACATATTTAGATTTAATTAGAAATAGCTGAAACTGGATATTTTTCCTTATCAAAGATTTATGCAACCAACGCAAACAAATAAGTCTGACTGTAATGAGACGTTGTATTGCGTCGTATTAAAATATTTCTTAAATTAAAGAAATAAACAAGATATCCATTACATACATATTTCTGTGGTTGTACAAAACAAACTCTGCAATTATGTAGCTTTTGATTACTTTCTCCTCCTAATTTAGATCGTGATGGTAGCGGAGATTGGAAAACTGTTGGCCGAGCTACAGCAGGAGCGTGCAGAGTTTGGATTCTGTCTTTTCACCAACTCAACAAGGTACATACCATTAATTTACTTCAAGTCTGCCATGCCTCCTTCTTTTTTAAAACCATCAAAGGCATTCACATTTTTACCTCTCTTCAACCTTAATAAATAAGTCCTTATGCGTGGGACACGTATGTATTAAAGCATTCTACCATTTATCATAAAGGCTCGTACAAATAAGTACTTGTGTAATCCGTAAAATTCGTGCATATATTCATTCTTATTGTGAAATTGTCCAAATCCCGGCATCTGCTGAAGTATTTTTGTCATTTTCTTTCTCGTACTATGTGTGTTTCAAATTAGCATAACGTTTCTCCTCCACACTTGTTGCTTACAAAACAAGTCCATCAGATTGGTTTTACTTTTCCATGAATAGCGGTTCTCGGGTTATGGATTAGATTACTTGAGAACTGAAGGACTTGAGAGCAGAGTAATTTGAAATTATGAGCAAAGTTGAAGTAGAATATAAAATACAGGGTAAAACTTTTCCCATCTGCAGCTTTCCAAATAGACATTCTAGAACATAGAGAATCTATGAGGCAAGGCATGCACGATGAACTAATAATCTGGAGTCAGGTACATTAGTATTTAATATAAGGAAGTATTTCTTTGTGAAACAAATACTTTAGCCGAGAACGTCGTCGTGGATGACTAATGAGGACGACTTTCTCTAGTTCTTTTCTTTTTCCATGCTTTCTGTCCTTTTTGTTCGGTAGGAAAAGATCAAAGATTTCCAGGTTCAATGTTGCGTGTAATTGTCTTGCGTTCTTATTATAATAATTATCCTGGGCGGAACATTGATTTTTGATGTCGTACGTACGTATGTATTTACGTGCGTACGTGCATATGTGCATATCTGTGATATAACCCTGCGGTTATTAGAGCTAACAATATGTGCCATTGTAATGATGAGACTGGTGGTCAACGTGAGCTATTTGCTCATTACTGATTCATACAAGTCCATGGTTCCAATAATAATTGTGGATGGTGTCATGTGTCGCTTATTAGTTCACAACTTCCCAGAGCTTACTTCCAATCTACCAGCTCTGCAGCCAATTCTCGAAATTCTAGAAGTAGAGAAGGAATCTTTTCCCCATCCCATGATCCAGTCAGGGAAACCTTCTCTGTCCCACCAACCCCTCCAGAGGAATTACTAAATTCTGGTCGTGTTTCCACCTGCAGAACTAGCCTTTCCACCAGATTCGAGAGGACGGATAACATTATTCGAAATTTGACCGACTATGTCGCTACCTATGTTCCATCAGTCATCTCGATCAGGTAAGAAAAATCCTCATTGATTGACTGCTTATTAGGGTTCCACCAAGGAACAATTAAACTGTCTGTCTGGACATGTATTTATATATGAGCTTGGGTTTATTGGTTTGTAATATGAGACTACTCGATTCTCTGCCTTTTTGCTTCATTCCTGGAATAAATTGGTAATAAAGCGCAAAGAGGGAAAGAATGTTTCAACTTACGTAAGTTTTCTCTATTTACGTGTTCAATTTAATGTACACATGTCTGTTGCACGGGCATCAAAATAACTCTTAAATTTGTAATTTAATGGCGTTTGCATACTTTGGATTTTTGTATCGTCAAAGAAGTGAGCTTAAAGGAGCGACCGATGACACGACACTCGACGAATTAATTTGGTACAACGTCGCGAATGATGCTATCCTCGAGGTAACGATTCACTTCCTAACGAATATTGAATGCGGTAATATTTTTGATGGCTTTTACTTCTCTTTCCAAAGCTGCTGAACCAAAGAATTCGAAAAACCAAGTCAACTGGGGTGTGGAAGTGAGTTGCATATTTACACACATACACATGTGTGTATATTGCTAGCTACCCATAACTTTATCAAAATTAATTGTTGTAGGCCACTAATTGCCTACATGAACGTTATTCGGGCGATTGAGAACTATTCGATTTCAATGGTTTACGGTCTCTATTATTTTGGGAAGGGAAGCTTGTCACAGAACTCGTACAATAAATATGTCACGTACGACTCGTTGGCTGCTGATTACTTGAATTCCACAAAGAGCTATTCCCCGGAAATTAACTCCGCATGGGAAAGATACATCGGACAAGCATGGAGATCAAAAGGTTTCGAGTCTGCATTCCAGAGCCTTGAGGACAGGTTAAACATGAGGCAACTTTATACATAGTATTTTATTAACTGCATGACTTTGTATACAAATTAATTTATTGTCTATTAAAATAGAAGAGCTCTAATCTATAGAAATTTAGCGTCTGAATCTTCAATCAATGGTATGAATTAATGTACACATAATAATGGTACACAATTTTTAGCCTGAGTCAGGGTTTATGGGATCGCCATGTCTGTCTTTTACATATAAAAGCTATCAATCGATCGACTTGAAATTTTGATTACATATTTATATTGGGAATATCTTGGGTAAATAAAATTATGTTCGCAGTTTGACTGGTGACTGGTGTTCATATGCAAAAGTTTATATGAATCTACAAGCTTTCAAACCACTTACGTATATAATAGTAAAAAATTTGTCACAATGCTTCTGGTAAAATTGAATGAGTCAGGAATTTTTAAATGTGGCACATGCAAGATTAACTAATGTATAGGTATGGTGTAAAACTCCTATGAATGTATTTTTGACTCGGGTTAAAAACTGTAATAGGAAACGAGATTTTCTATTCGCAACTCATGAAAAGCCCATTCAAAAGTTGTGTAACATTGCGTACTTGTATTTTATTAGACACCGCAGCAAAGGTTTACTTTTCGAACATGACGGAGTACATTGAAGAGCTGAGATCTTTCCAGACTCAACTTCGAGAAATGATCGAGTAATAAGGAACAAATTTTTGGAACAATTTGCGATAAAACGACATTTGTGAAGCCCATTAATTGGGTATTATAAATTTAGGGGCGAAGTTGTGGAAGAAATTCGATCTGCCACCGCAAAGCAAGCAGTTGCTGCCTTTCTTTTGACGATTGTGCTATCAATTTCTCCGATTTTATTGATTCTTATCAGGAAGATTACTGGAACGATACAGGTTGTTTTTATATATTTTTGTATCTATTGTTTAACGACACCACGGGTACTTTTAGCATTTATGCATATTGCTGTTGTTGCTTTTTGTGAAAAGATGTATTCTATGGATTTATCCACGAAAACTGCAGCATTGAGAAGGGAGAAACGGAGATCAGATAAACTTTTGAATCAAATGTTGCCTCTTGAGGTTATTAAGCAGGTAAGTTGTAAATGATTGTACATACCAATATCATTGATGTTCTAATTTTACAATCCCTCGACCTGGAATATATAGTTAAAAAAGAACAGACAAGTTCCGGCTGAAAATTTTGAGTCCTGCACAATTTATTTTAGTGACATCGTAAGCTTCACAAAGCTGTCCTCATCCTCGTCACCCATGGAGGTAGGCGAATTTAGAATAATAGATTAGTAATATTGTTGTTTTATTCTATTTATGTAAATGATTAAAAGCGTCAATTTATTTAATAGATCATCGTGATGCTCAACAGCCTCTATAAACTGTTTGACTCCAAAATTGAGCTTTATGATGTGTATAAAGTGGAGACGATCGGAGATGCGTATATGGTAATTGCCATATATTTATACTTGTATTTAAGCCTCATATATTTTTCCGTATTAAATAGATGCATACATATACATAAATGCATCGCTTTTTCTTGTGTTAGTGACTTTTTTTTAAATTTCTACCAGTAATTTCTTTTGTCTCCCTGTAAGAATCCTATAGATATCACATCTGCATAAAGCTTTTAAATTTTAGGTGGTCTCTGGATTACCTCTCAGGAACGGAAATAGACATGCGGGCGAAATATGCACAATGGTAAACGCCTTTTCAACTTAATTTCATGAATCCACATGAATTTGTATGTACACACATTTAATTGTACATAAATGCATACATATAACCACACCAGTCTACATATAATTCCTGTTATTATATCCATCTTCGACATTAAATGTTGCTTGTAACTCTTCAAATCAGGCATTGGACTTAATCGCTGGAGTCCAGCAATTCCAAATTCCACATCGACCCGGCGTTCCTCTGCAAATTCGCGTAGGGATCAATAGCGGTGAGTCGAACAGTTAATACGTAAATATGAATTTATATTTACACATTAAGGATACAAATTTATATTTGACTTATTATACTGCAGGCCCATGTGTTGCTGGAGTCGTTGGGTAATTAAAAATATTCAATTCTTTCCTTTGTAGGTGAATATTATGTTTTCAAAGTGATATTCTGATTTAGAACTACCATGCCGCGTTACTGTCTGTTTGGGGACTCAATCAATGTCGCAAGTCGAATGGAAAGTCATGGCGAAGGTACATATCCACTGACCTACGAGCAGTGGCAATAATTATTCCGAGCTTATAAAGGATCAGTAATTAATTTACCTTTGCAGCAATGAAAATACATGTTACACAAAATACAAAAATCATTTTGGATGAACTTGGCGAGTATATATTAGAACCCAGAGGGAGCTTGGACATCAAAGTAATCGCTAATACTTTAACTTATTCTCCAAAAACTAACCATGAAATTATTTGTCAATGTAAAATGTCAAAGGGGAAAGGGACGATGTCAACTTACTGGCTGCTAGACAAAGTTGGTGGATTGACAAAGAAGGAGGTTGAACTGAGCATTCCAGGATTTTTAAAGACATCCAAAGATAATTTGCCAGAGTTTATGTAAGCATTTGTGTAATATGTGTAATTTATGCAATATATAATGAACTTCATGTAATATAATGAATTTAAATCAAAATTAGACTTGTACAAAAATAATAAGTATAAGTTTTGTGTTTCAGGCATGACATATTTGGAAGTGGAAGCGATGACAGCGAAGAAGGTTTAAAAGTACCACATTTTGGAACTACAAAAATACAACCAACGTTAGTCCAGCCAACGGCATCAAGGGTCCCCATCGGCTTGCGACACTAAATTTTATAGCTGCACTTTTTACTCTTTTTTTAGCTTATATATGAATATATGACTTCAAACTTGATCTTGTTCACATTTACTTAATATGAAGCATTTTTTGCATGGAGCACGTTTTTATTGATATTGCAGTATTGTTAATTGATATTCTATTTACACTGGTACATACACTTCTATATACACGCTTGAGGATACCTACTCACCAGCAACATTTTTACTCGCACCGTATTCACTTAAATTTGTACAACTTTGAATAATATTTCTTCAATGTAGTTTTAGTGTTGTCAGTGTTTTTCATGAAACTTGTATTATTCCAATCATCTCGTGAGGCAAATATTCAATAAAGTTGGGCACATCTTCCTCGTCTTATCTGTTTTCTACTTTATTCGTTAAATCAACACCTACATTCTGTTGTATAATAATAGCTTAAAGATTCTGTGTATTTATAGCCACACCAACAGCGTATGTACATACATACAAATCAGACGGTTTCTATATTTTACACTTATACTTCGTGTAGTAAATATGGTACAACATCACCACATCTGTCAGTTTTGAACGTACATATTTGTACCTCAAGGATTGCAAAAACGTCACACGCATATTTATTCTTCTTAAGGTTTATTTACAAGCTGTTAAAAAATATTATTTTAAAATATACACGACCAGTATTTAATTCTGTTGGGCTGTATACAAACTGTATGTAAACTAAAAACATTAAACACTGTGCTATATTCATTCAATCAATGCATAGCTTCTCAGAATATGGAGAAGCCAATAAAGTTAGGACCAACGCAACTGGTTAAAGTTATTCTCAGTACACTTGTAATACAAAATTCCATGTGCGCTGTGACGGAAGGAAATTGTGACAACGAATTTAAGTTACTGGCCAATAGCGACCAGAATAAAAATAATGGTGGAAGTAAGCTTACAAGAAAATATTGATTTTCAGTAAAAAAAAAATTAAACATGGAATATAACGAAATCACTCGGTTTCTGGTTTCAGACCTCAAGTATTTGCGGTCCCAAGTTCCCTCCGATATTCAGCAAGAAACGGCTCAAATGGCAATGAAACGCATACTTGGACCAATCAGCCATAAAATTTCATTGAAAATTGATCCATCCCTCACTACGTCGGAATACAGAGATTCATTCCTTGTGAGTGTTTCAAAAGTTGTATTTGTAATATTCACAGAGAGATGTGCACACTTCGTGCATATGAATATAGTCGTAATGCCATGCTACATACTTACTAAAACATTGTGTAGGTGTCGTATGATGAACTCTCCGGACTGATATTAATCACTGGAACCACAGGCGTTGCTTCACTGTATGGTTTAAATGATTTCTTGCGGAATCATTGCTCATGTCTGGTGGTTTGGGAGGGTGCTCAGCTCAGCTTACCCGATCCTCTTCCTCAAGTTGTTTATCAAAAAATAATCGTGGACAGGTCACAACTGATAACTGACTGACCTACAAAAATGCCTCCTAGCCATGCAAGGATATTAGTAAATATTTTGCAATTCTTACAGGTTTAGATACTATCAAAATGTGTGCACAGATAGTTATTCTTTTGTTTGGTGGGATTGGGATCGATGGGAGAAAGAGATTGACTGGATGGCTTTACATGGGATTAACATGCCTTTAGCTTTCACTGGTCAGGAAGAAATTTGGAGACGAGTGTACACAAAGATTGGATTGTCACAGGCCGACATTTCTGAGTATATTACGGGGCCGGCCTTCCTTGCTTGGTGGAGAATGGGAAATATACAAAAATGGGGAGGACCAATTCTGAACACATTTTTACAACGCAAATTGGATTTGTTACATAAAATTATTTCTCGAATGAGAAACATGGGAATGATTCCGGTTTTACCGGCGTTCGCAGGAAATGTCCCTTTATCCATTCAAAAAATATTCCCCAACGCTTCCTTGATCGAACACAAGCATTGGAATAGCTTTAATAAATCGTACTCGACTTTCATGTTAACACCCACGGATCCTCTGTTCACAAAAATTGGACAGAATTTCCTACACGAGGTATGATTTGATACCATGTCATTTACTTACATAATTTATATTTTTAATTTGACACACCCATTTTATAAAATGTCTGAAATCCAGTTAACAACGGAAATAGGGACAAACCATATTTACAGTTGCGACACGTTTAATGAAAACGACCCCCAAGGGAATTCTTCTGACTTTTTAAGAAATGCAGCCAAAGCGACTTATGCAGCAATGACCATAGTTGATCCCAAGGCAGTTTGGTAATTACTTAAATTATGTACTCATATTTTCCTTCCCTTTTCCTTCAAGGCCATATAATTATTTTCTTCTTCGAATAAAGGATGATGCAGTCATGGGTCTTTCACTCATCTTTTTGGACCAATGAATTAGTGGAATCATATTTGAGCGGAGTAGATCTTGTACATAACCACTATTTTGATATGCCCAACCATCGAACTTTAAATAATCAAAGCACTTTATGAAGGGAAATGCGCTGATTCTTGACCTGGAAGCGGAAAGAAGGCCACTATATTCAAAATTTAATAATTTTTATGGACATGCATTCATTTGGTGTATGCTTCAAAATTTTGGTGGGACAAGCAACATCTATGGAGCCCTGGACTTGGTCAACAATGTATGAATTGAAGGATAAATTTTGTTCTCCTTATGACGATTGTATCTAAAATCGTATGTATGTATATAAATATTCAGGGGATATCATTTGCCAGAGGAAATGTGACTGCCGACAAACTTGTTGGGATAGGTAGCTGTCCAGAAGGAATTAATCAGAATTCTGTAATGTTCGAGTTTTTACACGAAGCAAGCTTGCAACTTGGTCAAGTTAATGTAACTAATTGGTAATGTTTGGGCCTCACAAACTTCGGTGGAAGTTTCAAATAATCATTTTATTCTATTGACTTTATTTCAGGATTTATAAGTATTCAGATCAACGATATGCCGTCACGAACGATTATTTATACAAAGCTTGGAAGCGTTTAAGGGTACTCCCATCCCACTGGCTATAAGAAGTGGTCACTAAATATGGTCTTACGTTTTCCTACTCTTTTTTCGTTACTTGAAAATATCATCAAAATTATGTTGTTTATTGCAGCTTGTGGGGAATTTAATAAGCTATTTAACAGAAAACTAAAAGTTAGCTCATTCGTTCAAAAACAGCAGCAAAAAAATTCACAGGAAGGTGCAACACGACTTTTGTCAAAAGCACGGAAATTGTACTTTTCGACATTGAAAAATTTGAAAAAATCATTGAAAAAAAGTTAAGGCCATGTTAAGTCACCAGTTCCTAATATGTGTAGCTACTTAAGTAGATTTATGCAGATTTAGATTCTACAATGCAAATAATTTAAAAATAGATGTATATATATACGTATTTGCAGGATGGGCCGTATAATGCTCCACAAGCATATGACAATCACGGTTATTCAGTAGTTACAAAACGGCCATCACTAAAACTTTCAAAACAAGTAAACCAAGTCATATCACACATAAGCTCACGGAACATTCCTTCACAGATAATTGTGCATTCTTCTTATTCTCACAGTTGTGGTACAATCCAGAAGACATGCAAAAAGTCCTTGAATACTTCCTCACAGCATTAAACAGTTCCTCCGCTCTCAAAGATTCTGAATTGTACAAACATGATCTAGTGGATTTTACGAGACAATTCCTTAACATCCTGGTCACATTTAATTATAGAGGATTGGTCAACAGCTATCAGAAGCAGAGGCTGGAAAAATTTACGTAAGACTTTAAACCAACATGACATAAATACACAAACTCATTGCAATTGGTCTACAGACATTATGCCACGGCTATTTTAGACATTTTTAATGATCTACAAACAATTCTACAAACAAGCAAAAACTTTTTACTGGGTATTTGGGTGAAGGCATCCGAAACTTGGAGTGACAATGCGAAGGTACAGAAAGAACAATCTTATTTGTGACAAAATTGTGACCAAAAATTTTCATGTGATAACATTTCAGGACAAATTGGAACTACGATACAATGCCCTCAATCAGATAACGCTGTGGGGCCCATCCGGAGAAATTTCAGATTATGCTGCTAAACAGTGGGCTGGTAATTTGTGGAATACATAAACACATTGGACAGAAATTAAAAAGCGTGCTTCATTTGGCGACGATACTTACAGGCAGTGTCGAGCATTATTACAAACCTCGCTGGCATAGCTTTATCAATGCACTAAACGCCTCCATGCACAGCGGGATTCCATTTAATTCCAAGAAGTTCAAGAAAAATGTCATGAAAAATGTAGAAATTCCGTTCACACTCTCGAATTATTCATTTCCATCTACACCAACCGGTAAATTATTACAATTATTATTAGTGACAGTTGTAAACATTTTGGACACAACTATAAAAAATATCTTGAATTATAAATATATAGGTGATTCACTCCTTGAAGCCAAGCGGATTTATGGAAAGTGGAATATAGTTTTCTCTCAATTAAACACTAAAATGCGTAGACGCAGAAAGCATCAAAATAGATGAATAAATTTTAAAATCAGCCCCTGAGGTGGGGATGGCCATCCCCACCTCGGGGGTTGGTAATAGTAGTCCACTCAATTAGGACACAAATTTAGAAGCGGACGCTGTCCCTGATTGAGGCTAAATGAAGTGTGTACTAATAAAATCAAAAGTTGTCAAATAATAAATAATTGTTAGATTATTGAATTTGGTGATCCATTTCGATAATCATGAGGTATCATTGGCATTCGTCAGAATTTTGCACATCTTTGAAACGTTCTAAATAATACAAAATTTATAACTTATTTTCATAATGGTTCTACAATTCCGAATAAAGTTGAGCACTTATTTTTTCTTAAACTACCCATTACTAGAAATCGTAACTTTGTTGGTGAATTTGTAATAAAAATTTCCGTCGACAAGAAACTAAGGTGCACATTAAATTCTGATATTGGGCAAAATTGAAGGAACATCTAAAAATTCTATTCTACGCTCTACTTCCTGTCATGAAACCAAGCTTAATCTGTTGTATGTATTTAGTAAGTTCATTGCCATTGTTTAAAGAAACTGTCAAAATCATAGTAATCACGGTTTTGTACTTGTTTAATACTGTAATAAGATTCAGCCAGGATGTAAATTATTCCACGCACTGTTGAGCTCGATCTTGGTTTCAAGTAATAATGGAAAATTGGACGACGTATAAATGCAAAGAATTATGTACACGTAGAGTTATAAAACTATATTATCATGATATATCATTAACATTAGATACTGCACAAATGCACTTAACACATGTACATACAACTTTCACTTATTCTTATGAATTTATAAAAAAAGATTTCGAGATACTGAGGAAGGAACCTCTCTTAATGAAGTCACTCCAAGTTCTAGCGTCAAGACGTTAAAAGCTTTCGTTCAACAAATTTTGCTTATATTCAAGTAGAATTAATCCGAATATATCGACATGATTGTCTCGAATAGGTTGTGTGTCGCAGTTTGTGTGGTTTTACAAATCGGAGTAACATTTTCACAGCAAAGTTTGTCTGGTAAATAAGCGTCTCAATTTTCTAATTAATTTGTTTAGTTTACATTGAAATAAATACGTTTGAATTTTAATTGGTGCCACAGGACCACGGCCTCCTCAGAAAATTCGAATTACAAACATTGAGGATTTAATAAATATCGGATTTGATTCCTTGTTCCCAGAAGAGACTCTCACAAATGCAACCGCTTACAATAGTATCAAGTTTAGGCTATATGACAACACAAAGTAATGAGCCTGCATACTTGCTGACAAAACAAGCCAATGTGTAATGAGAGATTTTCAATGAATTCCAGGAATATCAGTCAGTACAAAGAGTTGAAAATTGAAGAGATTGGACCAGAAAGTCTTAAACCAAATGTTCCAACTAAACTAATGGTTCATGGATTTTTGTCCTCTTGTGAAAAGAGGATTTTCCCAAAAAGTGTAATTCAAGGTTAGTATTTATTATTGAAGAAATTCCCCAAGTCTTATAAAATTCTGGTCGATCCATATACTTACTTCAAAAAATCTCATTCTATCAATCATGCTTACATATGTACATAAGTATATTCAGTTCATATTTCAATACCAATTTCTAGACAAGGAAATTAAGGCATACAAAAATTTGAACTAAACGTAAAAATCCAAAGTTTTATTCCAAGAAACAGACAAGACAAGCTAAATAAGTAATACTTCTAATGCCATGTGCAATGCTAATCCAAGTATTTAAGTACAACCAGCCAAGATATTTAAGAATATCATTAGTGGGACTTTCGCTTTTATTCAACTTGAGTCATAATCTCAAATGACGTCACTGAAAAAATGTGCATCATGGTTTGTTGCACTTGTTGTTGATTTGTGGTTGGTTCCGATGCATGCAGTTTACATGCGGAAGGAGCAAGGAACCATGTATGCGGTCGTTAGAGAGGAAATGCAATGATGTGATGTGCATTCATTATAATTATGTATTTAGTAATATAAAAAGTAGAAATCTTTCCTGAGATCATCAATGATGTGGCCGTCAATAACGGTGGTGGTAGCACTACCTATATTTTTCAGTCTTACTATGTTGCAGCCTACTTTGAAAAGATTGAGTCCACCAAGAGTGATATGAATTTGATTTGCGTGGACTGGGCAACTCTTGCAAATCCATCCGCACTTCCAAACCCTCTTTTGTATGGGGAATCTGTCAAATCTACTCGGATGGTTGGGGAGAAAATTGGAGAATTTTTGGCCACTTTATATAAACGTGACGTAGTCAAAGATCTTGGCACAGTTCACATCATCGGCTCCAGCTTGGGGGGTATAAAAACTTTTATAATTTAAATTTATGCTCAGTCATTACTAAATATCGAGCAATGAATATTTTTAAAGCTCATGTTGCCGGTATTGCCGGACACATTCTTCGATCTGACTATGGTCTTGAGAACAAACTTGGAAGAATCACTGGTACACATATTTCTATGCATAGCTACTTGTGTATATTTAATACTTTGATGCACAATAATTAGGTCTTTTTCTGAATGACTGCGTACAGGTCTCGACCCAGCAGGATTATTCTATCGAGGTCGAAAAGCGGTCGACGAGCGTCTCGATAAAGATGACGCCAATTTTGTTGACGTTATTCATACCAATATGGGCCAACTTGGACTACAAGAAATTATCGGACATGCTAGTAAATATACAACAATTTATATTTAGTAATATGTGAATGTACAAGTGGCCTATATTTTTTCATAGGTTTCTATCCTAATGGTGGCAGATATCAAGAGCGCTGTTATTCATTTTCCAACCCAATTGCAATGATTGCAGAACAAGTTTCAGGTAAATTTTGCTACTGTTCGTGCATTCAAAATCAGCATTTAAATATACAATCCAATATAACAATCTTAAAATATTTTTCAGGGAGATGCAGCCATTTAATTGCGGCAACATACTTTAAAGAATCCATCATCGAACACACGAATATTACAGCTTGTAAGGCAGAGAGTTGGGACAATTATCGAGCTCTTACTCGAACTACAGGATGCCAAGAGCGTGTTAGTTTTGGTGACAGTTGCCCAGCCAGGTACTCATCATTAGTCTCATAGTTTAATTTCATAATTACAAGTAAATAAGAATTATGCTATTGAATGTTTAGTGCCCGTGGACTGTTTTACCTGATGATTTAGAAATGCAAATTTGGGCGTCGCGTACAACAAACGAAAGAAATTATCAACTACTCATCATAGTCGGAATTACTGACTATGCCATTCCATGTATATCTTCTTATTGTCTCCAATGCGAATATTGTTCACTTCGTTTATACCCAAGAGAATCTCTGAAATACATCATGTACAACGGAGCTCCCTTTTTATGGCATTGTTAATAAAATCTTGTTAAATAAGTTACCTCTCCTAAATAATACAACCTTCGACCATGGCATCGCGTTTTATCTTTGTTCTGTCCTTTCTCTCATTGAGAACTGTTAATTTCTAATTCGTCCAACAAAGCATGATGCACAAAAATGAAGTAACCAACAGTTATGAGATCATACTTGAGTGGTTTGCTTGACCCTGAATTTAAAATTTTCTAACTTAATTATCCATAAATAAGCATATTTTATTGCTTCCAAAAATGAGGTGAGCCAATCCGTCTCGTATGAGAATTTTTTTCCGTCGCTACATGAGATATTATTAGTGAAGTCATAATAGTGCTTTCCGTCGAGATTTCTGCACAGCTATTTTTTCGTGGCTGACATAAAGTCATATTTGGAACTCGGTGCAAAAAGCGAGTAATTATTTACTTGACGTGTGTAATTGAGATTTATTTAGATTAAGATTTCAAAATGAGAGTAAACTCCTTGAGCTTATCTACTTTATTTATTGTGCTCTCCATTGTTGTACTTCTTGAAGGAAAGAAAATCCCATGTCCCCCACTTCCACTTACACCGGTAGGCTAATTTTAGAATAATGGGTTGCATTACATACTATGTGCCATTTATAAGTGTACAAACACTTGAATATGTAGTAATATGTCATCACCAATTGTATTTTTTAGGGTGTCGTAATATCATGTGAGTTGCCTAAAGAAAACAAGAAAGTTGCATGCACGGGGCCAATTACAGGGTCTTCAAAACGCACGATTGCCAAGTACAAATGTGACTCAGACTCAGATTTTTACGAGAAAACTGTAGAGTGCAAATGTTACGGGAAATGGAAAGGTCTTGATGAGTTTCAGAACTATGTTTCACGATGTAGCACAGGTACAAATCAGTTAAGTAGTATTTGATGCGTAAGGTAAACATCTTGATTATTTTATAGCTCAGAAAACTTTTTCCTTGAGTGGACCCCCAGAACTGAATCTTACTAAAAACGAAGTTGAAGAGTTGACTGGAAATAATACTTCTGGGGACCCAACACGTAAAATAAACTAAATATTTACACAGCCCACAATTTGTACGTATTTATGTATGCACGTCTCGTTAAAATGATATTTTGATTTTTACAGCCAAATATGCATTGGACGCATTAGCATTTCATAATTTTTATCGTAAACAACATGGAGCTGCGTTACTCAAATTGAATAAGACGGTATGAAGGACACTGTTTTACAGTTTCATGATTATTAATTTCTAACAGCACTCTACTCCTTAATGCCATTACAGTTGTCAGCTTTTGCTCAAAACTGGGCAGAACAAGAAGTAAATAGTGGTTCCTTTGGCCCTGAACCTTCATCGTCAAACAAGACATACATGTAGATACAAAGTATAATATATTTACACCATGATTATTATATAATTAACAAATTGTATGCTATTTGTCCAAGCTCCAACATGTATGAATTGACCCTGGGTCGCGACGATTTCGACCCTGCCATGGCTGCTCGTCTCGGTATTGCAAAATGGTACACGAGTGGATCCAACTACGACTACGACCTCCCCACCGCGAATGCTTTTTCAGCACTGATGTGGAACAACACCTCCGATTTGGGCGTTGGGATTGCTTCCAGAAGTGGGCGAATGGTACTGGTCTGCAATTACTGGCCTCCAGGTATTTGGCAAAAGGGCTTTACGTATTTGGAAATTTCTTGTGAACCTAAAAGTTACTGGCCCTCCAGGGAACGTTTACGTTGTCGGTGGACAGGATGGGGATGATAGTCTGGCTTTGTTCAGGAAAAACGTGTTTCCACGACGGGTGACTTCGTCTAGTTTGGATCGATCAACATAAAACTTGCGACGAAATGGCTTGTCCCACCATAAATATTTCATTATTAAATCATAAAGAACAGGAGCAAATACAAATACAGGTTGCAAGGGGTTTTATGTAACATACTTTCACAAATAATAATAAAGGACAAATACACAACTGTTGGGAACAATTGAAATTTTGAGATGTTCACAGTATTGATTATCTACATAGATTGATTTGTCTAAAGGTCAAATGCTATACATGTGAAGCTGGGCATTGCAAAAGAGAGCGGTAGACGAGTAAATTAAATTCACCCAGTCGATTGTTTAAAGCCATTCATCCAGTCTGGCAAGCGTTGCATTCTTTATTAGGACAATATTCAGGGTGATTGAGGATAATGACTGGGTTCTGCTCCCTTTGATGTGAACGTGCTATATTCTCGTTTTGAGGTCTCCCTTCGATTCCGAAAGCATTTGTGCGTGATACGTACTTATAACTAATTTAAAATATGACCAATAATAATTGAGCCTTATGTGTCATTCCGCATTCCTGATACTCATCTTCAATTTGGTAAAAAATGGCTGTATCATATCATCATCACGTTGCAAAACTAAATCATGTCGCGTAATTTCATAGAATACAAGAGTGAATTATTAAAAGTCTGTCATCGGTTTTATACACAATTTTTTTGCATACACGAGCGGACTCGTGTTCATTTTCACTTGCATCATGGCCCCCAACCGTCCTTGCCAGTCACGGCCTCTCTTCCCGTGTTCCATTTCTAGAAGAGAAGTTCGCTCATCAAGAATAATTCGAGTCGACAACTTAAGTAAATGGTCAACTTAATTAGAAGTGAGCAAATTCAGGCGTGCTAATGTACATCGACAGTTGTCTCAGATTTATGTCATCAGAATCAATGTAAGCCCGTGTACATGTTACGTACGTATCAAGTGATATAGAACTGAAACAATTATTCTGAGCGAGGAAGGTACATGCATCCATTAATCATAACTCATCATCAGTATCTGGTTTTCAGCGACTTGAATTAATTGAAAGAGCATTTCCTAAATTGAATATACTTACTTGATGAGGTTTCTTTCGTCATCTACATCGACCGATAAGACTTTTGTTTTATAACAGGAGGAATTTAACAACAAGGATTTTGTAAGCCAAAATGCATAGAAATGGCACATATTTACATCCAACTGTAGGACCAGAAATTTTCCGCCCACCTTCGTAACGATGAGTTTTACCAACTACCCTGTAACGAAGTATAAATAGCAAGATTCATGCAAAAAAGATTATCAGTCTCTGTTAGATCCACATAAAGTGCGACGGTTTCTCCATTTATTTGTCTTTGTCCTTTCGTAATCAGAAACCAAAAGACTTGAAGTTTTCAAGAAGTTTTCTGTCAAACGTGGAAAGTTTTCATACACCACAAAATCCAATCAACCTGCTGGATAAAGTTTCTTCTTACATATAATAATATAATAATAATAATAGCAATGGAATCTAGCAAGGTAAACTTTAAAATACTTTTAATCTATAATGCATAATAGGGTTAAGGGTTATCACAGGCCGCCACTTACTAATACATGGACAATACTAAATATATCCCACTACTTATGTGTTTGGTATAGCCAGTCGTAGTCCGTTTAAAAATGGGATATTCCGACATTGCATACAAGAAATTCAATTTGGTCTTGAAAGGGATGCAATCCAGAAAATCTTTTTTCAATCTGAAGTTGGAAGCTTTTCATTAATTTCAGGTCTGCCTTATCTTGGTCATCGGGAGCTTATTCGGGCTGATCTCGGATGTTGACTGCGAGGCTTACGAAGAATCAAGGAGCACCCGAAGTGCTAAAAAAGATGACAATGAGGGATATGTAAGTTCGACTTTTGACATTTGGTTGGTGATGCCTTTTACAGCTATGGCCCATGGTTGTCTGAATGCCAGAAAATTACTTGACGTTTTGGCTCACACTGTAAAAATGAATTATTATTTCTTCTTGTCACGTTATGCTAACCAATACAAATTAGCGTGTAAGCATCTTATGATATTGGTTCATGGTGAAGTGCTCTACGTGCCGCCGAAAATAAAATGACCATGCAGTTTCCATTTAATCATAACAACATCTCACCCACTCGTTAATTTCAGGGGTCTGGTTCCGCCAATTACAATTTCCAGTACGCCGTGGCCGACGGAGGAAACGACTTTGGTCACGAAGAAGAAAGGAACGGACTTACCACCAAAGGTCAATATCGCGTTCTTCTTCCCGACGGGCGAATGCAGGTCGTGACCTATTCTGCCAACGAGGAAGGTTACCGTGCTGTGGTATCATACGAAGGTGGAGGTTCTGAGGGTGGTGCTGGAACTGGTGGTTATTCTTCGCCAAATCCTGTACCTTCAATTCCATACGGTCCTCCGGAAAAATTATCCGACGCTGCTTCGTCCGCCACAACTTCTAGTCAAGCGTATAGTGCTCCAACTACGACGTCCTCGTCCACTTCGAATTCTGGATCACCACGTTCATCGTTTGGGCGTAGGAATTCCGCCTCCTTTGTCAAACTCAGGCGGAATATCAAGGGTCAACCTCATAACTATAATTACACATTCTAATAATATCCCCCATATTATCTCTAATTAGAGTGTATGCAAGTATTACACAATCCGTCAAATTTATCCCGTTATCGTTCCATCAAAGTAGCTTAAAGTAGTATCAAGAAATATCTGAACCATCAAAGCAATAAAAAAATCAGCCTAATTTCCGTTCATGAGAAAGCATACTTGTCTTATCGCGACTCCACCCAAGTAAAGATGGATATGTCGTTCAACACTCATTTTTAGACTTACCAAAGACATGATGTGGGCACAAATTCGGAGTTGACACAGAATTGCTAAGGCTGTTGTGAATGGTTGTGATCGAATTGCCACAATGCACGCACACGATAAGCCACATCCAATCCAATTTCAATCTCTAACCACAACGAGGACGATTTTTCTTAGGCTCCAAATAATTTACTCTGCCTTCTACAATTCAATAACAGTTACCTCCGGTTCGTTCGTTCTAGTGGCAAAAAAACTTTACCCACCAAAGTCCTCGCTTTCTATAAAAAGTTAATTTTCTCCATTGCTGTGCACGAATCTATGTATGTATGTAAAATCAATCCTCTCAAAATGTTAAGGTTCACTTTTGTTTCACGATATACATATATCAACTGTTTTACAAATGACAAATTAAAGTTTTTATAAAAATCGAAAACAGTATTTAAAACTGATACCTGCAAAAAGTACGATGTCGCAGCAAGGAAGGACAGTTAAGAACTTGTTATAATTGTCACAATAAGCATAATATCGAACCATAAATATCGACTCTTCATACTCGACTACACACTCTTCTGCCCCTGCTGACAAAGGCAATTTCAGAGTGTTATGAGTAATTAAGGACTGAAATTACTTTATTAAAGTCAAACAATTCCAGACGATGCGAGATGCTTAAACAACTCGAACGGAAGTATCGGCCTTGGCGAATATTAAATTGAACCGAAAATGCATAAATTATTTTCTTGGACTGAAATGAAGGGTGACAATGAGTTGTAAAGTGTAAGCGGAGGAGCAGGAATCTTCGCATTATGGTTGTTACTCGATTGGCGAGAAAAATTGATCCATTTCAGAATGAAATATTTAGAACCTGAGTGGTTGGGACATGTCCTTGCGTCGCACCAACAGAAGCACAAGCCTTCCAACAGTGTATAATTAACGGAATCAATAGTCGTCGTTACTATGCTTGTAGCCGTATAGGAAGGTGACAATTAAGCGTTTACATATATAGGTCAGTGGATCCAATTAAATTATTAAATTGAGTTTCGTGTCCCAAAATCAAATCCATTGCTTTTATGCTTTTCATTAAAAATTGCAAAGAAAATAAATACACAGTTGTGGCGGAATTACTAAAATTTGATTAGGCTTTTATGATGCAATTTTGCTTCCATAATATTTGAACATATTTGAACGAAATTTGGATTAAAGTATAAAAAAAATTAATACCTTTCAATAGTTTAATTTCACATTCGAAATGCTTACAAATGTGAATGTACCCTTGACATTTACTGATGTGCTTTCTCTTCTCTCATGTGTTTGCGATTGATAACGACATAAAAACAAAAACACATTTCATAAGAGACATTTATGTAATACGTACAGATCTAATTGTACGTGCTTTTGTGTGATTCGTCATGTGCACATGTATGGGCTTATGTCATCTCATTAATGAATGCATTATCTCCACAAGACAAATTACTTCTCCTCCTTCAGGATAAGTACGTACGTACGAAGTTGGTTGTTTCTCTTGTTCCTTCACTTAATGCAAGAGCATGGCAGTAAATTGAACAGAGAGTAGAAGACGAAAGTTGACAAGTATCACTGTACATACGGCAAAAAAGCCTCCAAACTGCGTTCTAAGAATCACTTGCACCCTCTGAATCTGAGCTTGTTGAGTCAAATAAAGATCAAAACTTGTACGGTTGGTGTCAGTCCGAGTCTTGGCGAAATCTGATCCGGTTGAAGTGTAAGTGACAGAATATGGTCTTGAGAATTGTTGTCCTTGCACGCAGCAATGCCTCACAGTTTCGAACTACATGGCTGTTAATGCCGGTCGGTCGTGTAAATATTGATGCAAAGCCGAGTAAATTTGGAGCCTGTGTCAATAATGGAAGCCTTCATTCGTTTGCAGGAAGGCAGGAGGAAGATAATGATCCAGCCAACTGGCAGAAATCTCTCATCTCTAATTGCAATTATATTTCTATAAACACGTATTCTTTGTTCACTCCACTGTAGATTTTGTTTTTTTCATTTTTATCGTTGTCGCGAAAATACAGCCTGCATTAACACGTAATGTTCAATCGATTCGATAAATTGGCGGACACATTAAAGTAATTCGAAATCTAGAATTCGCCATTTATGGCAGTGTTGTACAAGAGGATGTAAAATAGTGATAAAATCGACCACTTAAATTTCAACCTATGAAGGGTACTGTCCCTGTGAATATGTACATACTGATACATGTATGAGACATATGTAGATGTTCTACATACATAAATGTCATCTGACTTGTTCATTCGAAAATTGTCAAATGCAAAAGAGCAAGTAATAAAATCACGATCTGCTGATGCATACCCTAACCTAAACCAAACAGAAGCATATAGTTGAATGTAAAACGACGTGATATGTAAAATAGAAATAAATTGACTTTCGAACAAATCAACCTTCGAATATTTGAGGAGAAACTTGATGATTATGTGCACATGACATTGCTATACTTCAGCTTTCTTCATCACACGAGCATTCATGTATCTACATATGCATAGCATTTATGCATAACAGAAAGATATACAGTGTGATCAAAGATGGAAATAAATCATATTGCCTACACGTGAATTTTCTAATCAAAGGAAAAGGTCGTGCCAATCTTTAAAGTAATTTTCAGATTTTCGTCAAAACCACATGAATGAATTTGCATCTCGTTATAAAAATAGACAAAATAAAATTGAATTCGAGTCGTTCTTTCACGTCCAAAAATTTCGGTCGTTATGCCACACTTGTTCCCTCCCTTGTTAATAAAAAATTACATGGAATGGGATGAGTCAGGTTGGTGTATTATGCAAAAATGCCAGTGGTTTGTTCGACATATGACATAGAAAATGCATTACTGCCCTCCTCTCATTAACTTAAACTCGTTGCAAAGGCTATCCGACAATGCAGGTAGGTCGACAATGCCCATAGGTTGACACCTTTTAATTAGATTTGGACCATCCGTTTTTCATATTGCAATCGTGTCATAATGCGTGGGCACTCTCTATGCATGGAACTTGATGCAGAGTGATTACATGCTGTTGTGTCTCATAACAGTGGATTATAAAGCCAGGAAGGAAGTCACTCTTTGTTGCTACTAGTAAATTCACGTCACATTAATTTGAACCCTTATTGTTGTTCGTCTTACAATGGGTGGAATAAAAGAGCGTCGTATGTACATATGTACGCTGTTGTATATATGTAGCATGTGTAAGGAGTATGTCACGGCGAACTGAAATTATCTGTAGTGTAGGAAAGAGGGCAAGCTAGGACAGTTACGGACAGAGTTAGTGGTGGATAATAATGGGAGAAAGTGTTAGTTTAGTCGTTGGACGTGGCAATATTTAGCTCGTTCAAAGGAACAAGACCACGCCGCTGTCTCCTCAGGCTGGAGTAGTAGACAGTCAGCAGTGGGTGGCAGTGGCAGAAAGTGGAGGAAGATTTGACGAGAAAAGGTGATTGAAATTTCTAGTTCATACAAAACCAAGAGTTGCAACATCAGTGAGTCAAAGAAAGCACCGCACTTCTCTGATATTGTTTTTTCGTCGTATCTTGTTGTGCCGTGGAGGAGACAAGCAGACGGGAAAATCAAGAAATCAGCCACCAAGGCCAGGCGAACAAGAAGAATCATCAAAGTCCATTGGAGGAAGAACAAGGGCAAAATGTGGGAAAGTAAGCCCAGCAGACTGGCCCAGAGAACGAGAGACGGAAACGGGGAGAAAACAAGCATGAAACATGCATCGCTCGTGCAGCAGCAACCAGCAACCGTCGTGCTGTAAGGACGTATGTACATCCTTTCCAAGTAGTCGTCGCAGCAAAGTGGAGGTGAACGATAGATAGACACAACTGGCTCATGGTGGCAGTGGCGGTGGTGGATTGACAGTTTTCTCCCTGGAACCTGGCTGCTGAAAAACGTACTTTTCACTCTAACTCGGTCAGAAACTACTTATACCTGACTACCTTTCACTCTCTCCATTAGTTAGCAGACTGCGATCCATTCTCACTCGTACGCCCAAAGTGTAGAATCTAAAATTTCGAAGGAAATTTCCCAATAAATCCACATCCACCAATCAACACGAGCGACATAGCTTCGTGGGTGCGTATTGAGAATCATCGTTCAAACAGCATTTCATAGCCTGCAACTCCAGTTCGCTCCTTCCCATTCTAATCAGAGATTTCGAGTTCTCATAACTTTCTCTTTAGCATTTCTTCCTCTTGGCGAAACGGCTCCTAGCTCAGCAGCAGAAGCAGAGCAGCAGGATGGATGAAGCTCCTGGAAGGGGTGAGTCTTGAACCGGGTAGAACGCGAACAGTCCTCACTCACTCACTGGCTACAGGTGCTCCGAATCCAGTCTAACGTGCTACTGTGCACTTGGTGCTTGACATTGGTGGTCACACTGCGAGTTTGTTGTGGCGTTTCAACAAAGTCGGTCACAACTTTTTCAATATCAGTTATCGTCAAAGTCGTCATACACAGGCCGTGGTTTACGGAGAAATTCTTCTCGGGACAAATTTCTGACCTTGAACACGTGTGCGGTGAAAGTTGATATAAATTTTAAACCAAAGGTACGTCAAGGCATTCTTTTGACACGATTTTTTTTAATTTTCATATTTTTTAATGTTTGGTATAAGCTCTGAAACTAAATATGTATAACTGGGAGCAATTCATACAAGACTCTGCATAGTAATTACCTTCGTTTATCCACTGCTTTATGTGTAAGCATCCTCCATTCTCAACCAAGGCCATCCATTATACGTTACCAATGCATGAGTTTACTTTGGCAGAGAAACCAATATATTTTGCGAACTTACTTTCCCTATTCTGTCAAATTGATTAAGCATCAACTTATGTATTCTAAATTACTTTTACAAAGTGACTTAAACTTCTCTCATTTTGCAGCGAGATTAATTAAT